CTGAGAGGTGTCCAGGCCCATCTGGTATTCACAGAGGTTTCCAGGTGCAGGGAGAGGAAGGGTGGTTTGATGATGGTTTTATCAATAGAGGATTCCCATGTCACACAGTTACCACATCTCAAACCAGTATAGTGACACTTAGGGCACTCAGAGTCATTGGCCCATCACACAGTCACGGGACACAACGCTCTCAGAATAAATAGCGTCAACAGCCACCACCAGTGTGATCATTAGGAAGTGCATGCCTGTCCTCCCAGCACTCGGGAGGCTGAGGCAGGAGGGTCACAGTGAGTTCCAGGCCAGCCCTGACTACACAGAGACCCTGTCCCAAACAACAGAGTAACGATGACGATAATCAGAACCCGTTAGAGATTTGTATTATGCAGCTGTAGTAATAAGACACCACCCTTTCCTTCCCGGCCATCCTGTGGGGATGTATGGTCATTCTGCAGTCGCTTAGAACTTCATGCATAGCCGTGTGTTTCGGTTGATAGCTGACGCTCTATCAGTGGCTTAAGCATTTCTACTGCTTGAACCAGGAGAGAGGGGAAGAGGAAGAAGACTGGAAAATGAAACAACGCACCCACAGCAGAAAGTCTGCCCATAAGAATTGTGTGCGGCATAAGCTCCTGCCTTGTAAGCACACGGTCGTGAGTTCGATTCCGGGACCAATTAAAAAAAAAAGAATTGTATGTGAGACACTTACGTAAGTAAAATCACTCTCATTTCCAGGTCACACATCAGGGTTCTAGGATTTTGTTGTTTCATTTTTTAAACTACTTACGTGGCGTGGAATGGGCTCTCTCCTCCCCGCCGTGCTCTGAGCACCAGGCTAAGTCTCAATGTGTGTCAGGCTCTGTGCCACAGCAGCACCCCTACTGCCCACGCACGAGTGCCCACCACCAGCTGCACAGCGCCACAGTGTGGGTGTGTGGTCCCCAGCAGGCCCCAAGGGGCCTTTTCTGTGGGCGACTCCACCTGGCTTTCCATTGGGTTGTGACCCCTGTTCCAACTCCATGGCGAGTGTCAAGCCCTGTGGGCCTCCACTTGGCACTGCCTACATGGTCTGCAGCTCCCGCCTGGGAGTGGCACTTGAGGGCAGCTGGGCTGCCAGTGCACTGTGGCTGGGAGTGCGTCACCACCCTGCTACCTCTGTGCCTTGTGTGCCAGCCACCCTGCTGCTTCCCGATTGTGTCCAAGAAGGGGGACACTTCCTGTCTCTGTTGCTGCTGCTTGTCCCCACCTGGGAGTGGGCAGGAAGTTCCCTCTGCCGTGAGCTCCTACATTGCTGTGACGGTCAGCTTCCTGCTGGCCCGTGTGCCGCGTTTGGTGACCAGCCCTATCCTGGGCACTGAAGAAATCCTGAAGAGCAGTCTCTGGGGCCCACCTTGTAGCAGCCCCAGGGTGGGGTGCGGGCAGATCCTGCTTTTGTCTGAGAAGCCCACAGTGGTGCAGGTGATGAGGCAGCCTGCAGAGCTCTGCAGACACCTGGAGGGCTTTCAGGACACCCATCCTCGGTGAGCCGGTGCTGGGTCTCCTCTGCAGTCGCTGGCTGTGCACATGCAGTGTAGCGTACAGCCCTCCTGTCTCAGAAATGCTGCCTGCAGGAGGAGGCCTTGACCTGGGCCAGACCAAGACCTGTGTTGGGCAGGAAGGTTGGTGGTGAAGACAAGCCACCGCCTGGCAGCCTCTCTTCAGCCTCAGGCTGCAGAGCAGTGGAAGGGGGCACCTGCTGTGCCGACGTGTCCCAGTGTGTAGGCATGCTCGGACAGGTTTGCCATCCCTCATTAATCAGCTCCGGGCTACTTTCTGGAAGGGTAGCAGCCTGGTCCCAGGCGCTCACAACCTCCGCAGTTCTACAGGCCTCTCCGCTCCTCTGGCCCTGAGTGGGCTCCAACTGTGCTATCGTTGGGCCTTTGACCCCTCAGGCTGCAGGGCTTTCAGGACCAGCTGTCCCCATCCTCTCCTGCACCAGGTGCAGGAGGCCACCTCCCTCCAACTACTGCTACCCATCCCCACATAGGGTTCCGCCTGTGTCACCAGCTAGGGAGCTGCTTCTGGATGTGCACATTTGATGACAAGAAGCGTGTGGATTCCCCTGTCTGGCAGCCCCAGGTTCTGTGGCCCCACTGTCACATCCTCCCAAGCAGGCTTCGTGGCCTCAGCAAGATGAGCCTGCCTGTCTTACAAGGCTGTGCCTCAGAAATGTGTGTCCACTGAGGCAAGTGACAGCTGGGCCTGCCAGGCTTGTAGGGTCTCGTCTGGCCTACTCGTCTGGGTCTCATTTCCAGCAGTGCAGCAGGGAGCCCCGCCCAAGGACACTTCACAGCCACCCCAGCTCTTAATGGCCACACTGGAGTCTCATGGGGTCCCTGAGGACTTAGCTCCTCCCACCTACTTTAATGCTTCACTAGGGGCTGACCAGGCTCATCTTACTGGGACAACTGGCCTTTCCCAGGAGCGCACACAGCCCTGTTCTGCTCCCTGGACAGAGTCTGCCCCGGACAGTCCTCCACTGCCCACAGCAGACTCTCATCTGCCCTGGGAACCTCCAGCTTCCATGCTAATAACACAGACATTTTCCTGGAAGTTTCTGGGGTTTTTATTGATATCTTTGTTTTGTTGTTTTGGAAGGGTTGGGGTTGTTTATTGCTTGGAGTATTTTTGTTTTGGTTCAGTTTTTAGTTTTTTGAGACAGGGTCTCGCTCTGCGATTCAGGCTAGGCTTGAGCTCACTACCTAACCCAAGCTGGCCTCAAACTCATCATTATACCTGCTTCAACTTCCTGATTGCTGGAGTTACGGGCCTGAATATGTTCATGGTACAGACTAATTGCATTCATCTTACTACAGATATGCATTGCATCCTAATTATTCTTATTTCTCCTTCCTCTCCTGGGCATGAATCTTTGTAATATGTTAAGTTTGACTCTTTGGGGAAGATGTCAAATAATATATATATACATATATATATATATATTTCTCTTTTTTTTTTTTTTTTTTGTCTTTGTGAGACAGGGTCTCTATGCAGTTCAGGCTGGCCTTGAGCTCACTTTGTAGCCCAGGCTGGTCTCGAACTCACAACAATCCTCCTGCCTCAGCCTTCCGAGTGCTCGGATTACAGGCATGAGCCACCACGCCTGGCTTTTTTTTTTTTTTTTTTTTTTTTTAAGACAAAGTCTTACTACATAGTTCAAGCTGGCCTTGAGCTCACTTTGTAGCCCAGACTGCCCTCAAACTCATGGCAGTCCTCCTGCCCTAGCCTCCTGAGTGCTGGGATTACAGGCTTCCCCCACCAACCTGGCCAAATATCATTTCTATTTGTGGTTCTGGAGAACTCTCCTTACTGGTTGTTCCAGTTTACATTTCACCATCCATGTAAAAGGGACCCTTTCCCAGCTGCCTCGCCAGCATGCATTGGTTTTGTTTGATTGTTTGCTTATCGGGTACCAGGAATCAGACCGAGCGGCTCCCCAAGCCACTGCCGTGCCACTGGGCCAACTCCTGGGCCGTGGGCCGCTGGGTTCTTGATGCCGGAGTTTTGCTAGAGAAAGATAGAATCTCAGTGCTGTTTTGGTTTTCATTTTCCTAATGGCCTCAGATGCTGGGTGTTTTCTCGTGTATTTGTTGGCCATTTATAATTCTTTTGAGAAGTGTATTTCAATTACTCAGTTTCTGATTGGATCTGGAAGTTTCTATTCTATTACCGTCAAAGCTGAAACTCTTGTAGGATTATAACCCTGGTATTTACATTTATGAGTTTTTTATTGTGTTTATTTTGTGGTACTAGGAATCTGTACCCTAACTCATTTGATCTCCTTTTTTTTAAGCAAGATCTTGCTAAATTGCTGTCTGGGCTCCCATTTGAGCTCTTCCTGCCTCAGCCTCTCTGAATACTGGGGTTATGGGTAAGCACCACCACAAGCTATGAAGATCTTTGATATTTCTTTTAGTTTGTTCGTCCTTTTTTCCGGCTTTCATTTTTGAAAGAATCTTTGCTCTGAGAGGGACATTAGCTCTGCCTTGCCTGACCCCCGCCCACAGTGAGCGTCCATGGTCAGCACTGGTCTCCAGTCCAGCAGCCCACAGCCGCTGGTCCAGGGAGACCATGCTGTGTGGCCTGCTTGCATCTCTTGCTGCACCTCTATTTGACTTCTGAAATAACACTCCTGCTGCAGTGCCGAGGCCCAGGATGGCCAGCCCTGGCATGAGCAGGTGGTAGAGAGGACATAGGGCACAAGGTGGGGCAGGGCAACAAAAGTCCATAAAATTGATTACACAACAGATGGATGAAAATCATTAAAATGTGTCCTTCACGGAGTGGCTGCCTCTCACAGGCTGTGGGTCACAGCTCTGCCTTCAGAGAAGGTGGATTCGAGAGCACACACGCGCTAAGGTCAAGTCACCCCTGTAAGCCGGGAGGGCGGGGGAGAGAGCCGAAGCGATGGGCAGTTGTGATGTCTCCTTGGTCGGGGAGATCCTGATGGGGAGCTTGGGAGGCTGCCACCTGCAGGCTCCTCTTCCCTGTGCACCCCAAGTGCTCTGCATTCCCTCTTCTCACCCCAGCCGGATGCTTCTGAGCCCCTCCCTGCTGTTCTCTGGCAGCCACAGAACCAGCTGACCCTTGGCAGCGCTGTGGCACACGGCTCCTACCAGCATTAGAGAGCTAGAAACGCAGGTCGTCCTTGCCCACCCCACCGCACACCACATGCGGACTAGAGGGCTCTTACTGCAGGGAAGGCGCTGTGCTGCTGCCACAGTGATTTCAGGACAGGGACTTGCCCTTTCCCTTTGAGAGGAAGTGCTTGGCGCACTTGAAACTTCTTGACGTGCAGTGAAGGTATTTTTGGAGGTTGGGGACGTTTTGGGAAGTTGTGCAGATACCTAAAGCAGATAACCCTTGCATTTAGGGTGTGGGGAAGCACGTAGGCACAAACGCGAAGCTTGGCCTCTGGGAACAGCTCAGGGCATCACTGTTGCTCTCTGGCTCATTGGATGCAGGAGCTGGTCAGGCTGACCATCGAGAAGCAGGGCCGGCCGTCTCCAACCAGCCCAGTGAAACCCAGTTCCCCAGCCGGCAAGCCCGACGGGTGAGTGTGGTGGCGGGGCGGGGGCTGTGGTTCCTGCTGCTCCGAAGTGTGTGGTCCCCCATCGACATGCAGCCCTTCTTCGCCCTCTTGTCACGTCCCGTGGGACTGTTTCTTAAGGTGTTGCCTTCACCCGACAACCAGGTGGCCCTTCCTGACCATCCATGTTGTGGCTAGAACAGCCAGGGACTTGACTTGGGGCCCTTTGGGTTTTTAACGTCAGCTTCATCAAGAGGGGAAAGCAAGGGCGCTGGCCCGGAGCCCATCCTGGAGGTGGGGTAGGCCCTCTGGGGACACCTGTGACCCCACATTCCCTTCCCCTCATAGCCAGCCCGAGCTCCCCCTGAATGATCGAGAGATGGAGATTCTGAACAAAACGACAGGGATGTCGCCGTCAGCTGAGCTGCTCGCGGATGCTGCAGACGAAGAGGTTGCACCCCCCAAGCCTCCTCTGCCTGGCATCCGGGTGGTGGATAACAGGTGACAGCCCATTTCTCTAGCACCCCTCTGCTTGCGACACAGTTGGGGCACCAACGGGGAGAGCTGGGGGCTCAGTCCTCACTCCTCGGAGCCCAGGGTCCTTGCACATCCTGAGTGCTCTGTAGCGGCTCTCGTTTTGGCCCCTGGCAGGTAAACAGGACGGGGTTGCCCTGGGATTTGTTCTTGGGTGTTTACAGATTTCACCTTAGCAAGAAGGGGCTGGTGGGAGTTGAAATGTGGAAATTGGGTGTGGGGAGTCTGGGAAAGGGACCCCTCCTGTGTGCTATACCCTACCACTGCTCCAAAGAGCCCATGTTAACGGCATCTGGTTTGTCTGGACATTCGATGTCTTCCAGTCCCCCAGCACTGCCACCCAAGAAAAGGCAGTCTGCTCCGTCCCCTACCCGAGTGGCCGTGGTGGCGCCCATGAGTCGAGCCACCAGCGGCTCCAGTTTGCCCGTTGGAATTAACCGGCAGGTAATGTAGCCCCAGTCCAGGGGGGTGTGGGGTGAGGACAGCTGGGGCAGGGTTTGTAGGTGGCCACCCTTCTCTGCAGGGCAGGATGGACGCCCCACGAGGACATCATCCCTGGCGCACACATACATGCACTACTCTGTCCCTGCCTGTCCTCTGGTGTGGGGTCAATGACGGCCTCTGGCCTTGGCAGATCCCGGTCACAAGGCCAGTGTCTGCTGGAGTCTCGGGAGCCCCTCGAGTCTGTCCTCTTTTTGCCCCCAGGACTTCGATTTGGACTGTTACACGCAGAGGCGGCTGTCAGGAGGCAGCCACTCATACGGCGGGGAGTCACCCCGCCTGTCCCCCTGCAGCAGCATGGGGAAGCTCAGCAAGTCTGACGAGCAGCTGTCCTCCCTGGACAGGGACAGTGGGCAGTGCTCCCGGAACACAAGCTGTGAAACACTAGGTGAGCATGGCGGCTTCTTGGGACCATATGACTCTGGGCTTGAGTTCTGCCGACCTGGTCGTTAGCCAGGGTCACTGCCAGAACACTTAGTCCACATCCGGTCACCTCATCCACAAATACAGCTAACATCTGCCTTTCACAGAGGCACTTGGGGAAGGTCGCTGTCCTCTGGAGATGTGACCCCACCAGTGGTGCTCAATTGGTAGTGTAGGTGTGAGCTCCTGGTGGCCATGCTGCCAATGCTGTGGTCGGGCAGCTTGGCCGGAGCCTGCGGACACCGGGCTCTGTGTGTCCCCTGAGCACCGTCCCCACCTCTGTGAATGCAGTCAGCGGTAGAAGCAGCCCAAGTCCGGGCCTCGAGGCCAGCGTCACAGGGTGGCTGCAGGCCAGTGACCTGAACACTCAGTGCTGGGGATGCAGGGGCTGTGGCCTGTTCCCTCAGTGGACTCACCCTCAGCTTTTAAGCATCACTTCAGTGTATGAAGGCCCCAGCCATTTGCAAAGCTCTTTCTCAGGTGAGCTTTTAAAGACAAGGAACTCTAGGGCAAAGAAAAACTTCAAAGCAATATATCAAGATGTAAAGGGACGCTAGGGTCTGGCGCCGAGCTGAATTCTATGGTTACGCTGGCTTGCCGTGTTGCTGCCGTGGTCAGGTAGGTTAGGAATTTGAAGATAAGGGTGGGCAGAACAGGGGAGGTGCCAGCTTGGAGAGAGCTTAGCTGGCACCAAGCCCCGGGTTCCCGCAGCAGTGCACATGGAGAGGGAGCTAGGGAACGGCAAACACGGTGAAAGCAGGAGCTCAGAAAGGTGGGCAGGGGCTGGGGTCTCCACAGGAGCGGGGCCAGGCAGGGCCCAAGGCCACATTGCCATGTTCCCCTTGCGCTAACAGAGGGCCAACCATGATTGCAGATCACTATGACCCCGACTACGAATTTCTACAGCAAGACCTCTCCAACACGGACCAGATACCTCAGCAGGTGGCCTGCAACCTCAGCCCGCTGCCCGAGTCCTCAGGGGAGTCTGGGTCTCCGTTCCTCGGCCCCCCTTTCCAGCTGCCACTTGGCAGCTGTGCCCTGCCCGAAGGCCCCTCGGCCACAGGACTGCAGATGGACACCCCGCCCGCCCTGCCAGAGAAGAAGCGCAGGAGCGCGGCCTCGCAGACCACGGACAGCTCCGGCTGCCGAGTGTCCTACACACGGCACCCCTCACAGTATGACAACGTCTCAGAGGATGACCTACGGGGCTCCACTCCAGCACCGGCTGGCCCCTACTCGCCCTTCGCCGCGCTCCTTCCCTTGCAGCAGGGAGGCTCCTCGACACCCTTGGAGTTTGTGGGTGATTTCACCACTCCCGAATCAGCAGGCGACCCCGAGAAGCCACCTCCCCTGCCGGAAAAGAAGAACAAACACAGTAAGCTTGTCGGGCCCTGGGCAGGAAGTATGCTTCTCACGGAGTAAATGGTGCTGTGTTCAGTTAGTTTGGGACCCGAACCAGGCCAGGGCTTCAGAGGACACTTCAGGCACCTGTGGCCCTGCCAGGAGCGGGTGTCACCATTCAGATGGTCATCGTTTGGTGGCCATTCCCTGAAACCCAATAATCTGGCCTCTCCTTGTGTCTAAGTGAAGACCCAGCCTGGTCCATGGAGCCCAAGTGCTTCTCTCAGATGGCAGGCAGTGACCCTCTGCCTTGATCACACAGTGGTGGGAGGTGAGTGTCATGGTACACAGGCCCGTGCCATGCAGCATCTGCAGGGAGGGAGGGTGGGAGGAAGGTGTGAGCGGAACTTTACAGTGAGCAGAGCGGCTCCCCAAGGATCCCTGTTAAGGGATGTGCTGGGTCGATGCCAGGGGCGCACCGTCCTCCTCGGGCAGCACAGGGCCAGTAACGGAGCAGCCCCACACAGAATGCCTGGGATTGGACCGAAGGGGCTGGTGATGTTTTAGCAGATGATGTCCAGGTCCAGGGGTGGATTGGAAACTGAAGTGTGTATAGTTGGGTACTTTCCAGCTGTGAATTTACAGCACACTAACTAAGCAGGGTTTTGGGGGAATTCCATGTCCTCCTGGCTTCCCCATCTGCTCCCATAGCAGGTGTCACAGGTCCTGGGCTCTTGCCCTCCCAGTCCTGGCACCTTTGGCTTTCCCTGGCAGGATAGCAGTCACCATCCTGATGTGTGTGGCCAAGGTCAGCCCAGGGTCCAGCAAGCACAGCCACAAGCTAGGAGTGAGATCCGTAGACCGGAGGTCTGCAGGGAGGGCAGACCCAGCCTGGTCCAGCCCACAGGATAGGAGTCACCATGGGGCACCATGTCCTGGCTCCTCAGTTAGGGGTCCCCAGCTGGAGGAAGAGCTGGCTCCAAGGGCTGATGATGTCCCCCCATCTGTCATGCACACTTCCCCATCAGAACCTGGGCACAGAGTTTGCTGAGAGCAGAACGGTTCCGTTCAGACCCCACCCTCTGCCCCAGCCAGTGTGTGAGGACCCCAAAAGAAACTCCCTGCCTCTGTGCCATCTCCCTCTGCTCTTCCTGCAGTGTCTGACTTCCGGTTCCGGGAAGCCCGGATCCAGGTACTGGAAGAGTCTTCCCACTGCAGATAGCTGTGCTCCTTTCTTAGCATCAGCCTGTGTGGGAAGCAGCACGTCTGTGGGTAGCCAAGCCATCCCTGTCCTGCCACACGCTGACTTAAAGCTTTTGCTTCCCAGCCCAGGGACCTCGGCATCCCAGCTCCTTTGCCACCTTAGCTACTCTGTGAGTCAGTTCACTGGAACAAGCTCCTAGACAAGTATCCCGCTGCCAAGGCCATGGGAGATGCACGGGTATTTGGGTACTCTGCCATGGATGGTCCATGGGGATTGGAGGAGAGGCTTCTGCTCCAGGCCACCCTCCCCACTCCGTGAGGACCCGGGCAGCAGTGCACAGGGTCACCCAGCACCTACTGGCTCCAGCGGCAGCTGGGCTCAGATCTCAAACTCTGATGCCAGGAATGGGGAGACCACACCTGCTCCATGGAGCAGTGCCTGCAGGAATGAGGTCACGGAGATGCAATAGCTGGGCTGTTTTCTGGCTTCTCTAGTCCTCTGGAGGGGAGGTCCCTCGGTGGTGGCTGTCACCCTGCATGGACAGGAGAGACTAGCCTGCTGCAGCCATGAGACAGGCAGCTCCACAAGAGGCAGGAGCTTCACATTAGGCCACAAGGATGAGCTGGGCTTCCCACAAGGACAGCTAGGCTGGCCTCTGGGTGCAGGGGCTGGCATTTCCTGCACATCACAGATACGCAGCAGGACACACTCCGGGGCTCCCCTGGCTCCCAAGTCCCCAAGGACCTGTTTTCTCACACCAGTGACCCAGCACCACCCCAGCCCAGTACCCCCAGCAGAACAGGGCATGGAACCTTGCCAGGCCTGGTTTATAACTGAGCGCTTCCACCCACCACCCTCCTGCACCAGCCCTTCCCCGGCCGACTCGGGGCCCAGGCGTTATCTGCAACCTCAGCCAGCCCAACAGGCCCAGGAAAGGACTTTCAGGGGAACACTGCTCCCCTGCCGGGCATCCTTCACTGTCCCCAAGCTGCTGTGCTCTGCCATGACCATCATGTAGCCCTTTGATGTGCTAGAGGGCACCACATGACTGCCCACTCACTGTCCCCACAAGACCCGCTTCCCAACTGCCACATCACACTACTGTCTGTCTCCTATTGCTCCATGGGGAGCTCGAGCCCCATGAGACAGCTTTCCAATTAGTCCGGTGCAGTCTGGGGGCTTGCAGCAGGCTATGGGGTCCCTAGCCACCAAGCGCAGCTGAGGGGACTGCACATGGGGAGCTGGTGTGCAGCCTGAAGGCGGCCTGGGCCTGGAGCAGGGTAGCCTTCGGAGGGTTCCAGCAGCCCGAATGCAGCTGGAAACCCCAGGGCTCTGCAGGAAGGGAGCAGGGCTCCGCATGCTTTCCATGCCCCAGCTTCAGTTCCGGGGACATTTTGAGGTTTCAGCAGCACAGAGTGGAAAGTACAGAAATTTCCTGTGTCTCCCACGTACATGCACCCCACGGTCAACACAGCCACCAGAGCAGCACATTGCTGCTGAGGTGGAGCCACAGGGCCTCCCACAGGGTCCTGGGTGCAGGACATGAGTTTACAGGCATGCTTGAAACCCAAGGTGTCCCACATGGTGCCCTGCCCGAGGGTCCCTGTGCACTGCCTGTTCACCCCGCCCATGCCAGCACAACCTCTTTCCCCACAGTGCTGGCCTACATGCAGCTGCTGGAGGACTACTCAGAGCCGCAGCCCTCCATGTTCTACCAGACACCACAGAGCGAGCATATCTACCAGCAGAAGAACAAGATGCTCATGGAGGTGTATGGCTTCAATGACTCCTTCAGCAGCGGGGACCCCACACAGGAGCTGGCCCCACCGCCCGCCCTGCCCCCCAAGCAGCGGCAGCTGGTAAGCGCCCGCCTGCCTCACGTGCCCACCAGCACCACTGGGCACCCAGCGCCTCCTGACCATCCTGGCAGAGCCCTCCCCATGGCACAGGCTGCACGCAAGGGTCTGCCTGCTTTGCTGCTGGGCTCCTGTATGTCTCCTTTCTTCCTTGACTGCAACCTAGACCTCGTAGAAGGGAAGGACTCAGGCAGAGCACAGGGCTGGTCTGTGTGCGGCCAGCTGGTACTCCGTTTCCATAACGGCCTAACTGTGGTGACCTCCACCCCGCCCCCAGCCAGAGGCAGCCCCAGAAGACAGAGCTACTCTGTGCTGTGGGACATCCAGTCCTCCGCTCAGACACACCTGTGTTGGAATCCTGCTGGGGGGGGGCAGAAGACCGCAGGCTTTGGGGACAGCTTGTTGGCACCTCCTGTACCAGTCGCTGATCCTGTATTTGAGCCTCTGGTCTGCCACACTGTCTAGGTAGGATGGCTCATGCTCCACCTGGCCTGATAGCTTTCTGACCGGGGAAGGGCCTGCTGCAGCGAGCTAGGCCTGCTTTGGTTTTGGTTTTGGGTGTTTTTTTGTTGTTGTTGTTTTTGTTTTTTTGTTTTTTTTGGTTTTTTTTTTTGTCTGTTGCAAGAGAACATGAATCTGCCCCCATCTTCTCTGAAAGCCAGTTACAGGGGATCCCAAGACTGGTCGGCCTTAGATTGCAGTCCTGCCTCTCATGAGCCAGGTCCCAGGCTGTGTCCACCTCTCAGCCCTTCACTTGCCCAGCGTACAGACACTGCATATGAGTCCAGGCTCCTCTGAAACTACTCCTGAGGGGTCTTCATGGAAACATCGGCCTGTCCTGGGACCCCGACCCAAGCCAGTATTGGGCAGATTGCACTGAGAGCTGCCCGTGTCCATGGATATCCTCAGAGTGAGCACGCAGAGCACGTGCCCGATGGGTGTGCCGAGGGAGCCACCGTGCTGGCAGGACAGGGCACAGTGGGCAGCTCCCTGAACTCCCCACAGACAGGCATAGCCACTTTTATTGGCTGCCACGAGCCTCCCACAGTGCCTGGCGTCGCACTGTAAGCAGAGGCTGAGACCGATCCCAGGCCTACACTACCAGGCAGGAGGATCGAGTGTGTCACACAGAACTGCCTGCCTACCCAGCTGATGCCTGTGGCAACCTCAGGCTGGCAGGTGGTTGGTGGCCAGGTCCAGACTCAGAGCCAGTGCTCTGGTCCCTAAAGAGGGGCTCAGAGCCTGATGTCGCCCCACGTCCAGGTGGCTCTGGCCAGCGTGTCCAGAAGCTCGCCTTCTGCCTCTGTTGTGAGGAAGTTCAGCAAGGCCCCCTGTTTCTGGGTCACTGTCAGCAGGTGTCCCTGACTTCTGGCCTGTCCAGCGTGTCCCTCAGGATCAGGGAGCGGCCCCCCACCCCGGCTGTCTGTGCTGACCGATCTCTGCTCTCTCCTCCTCCCTACCTTCTCTCTCGCCCTCTGCCCAGCAGGCCTCCTATGCTGCTTCTTCCTTCTCCTCTGTCTCCCACTGTGTCCAGCAAACTAAAGTGGCCTTCACCCCCGACGACGGCAGTGCCACTCAGGGCCTCAGTGTGTCCATGTCTAACTCCTTTCTCAGCCGGCACGGCAGCTTGCCTGTGCCCTCGGTGAGTCGCTCCCTGCCGTTCCCACAGCAATGCAGGCCCCGGTCCCTGTGCCTCCGGACGCGCAGCAGTCTGTGCCTGCAGGTTGTGCAGGGCGGGCCAGGGGGCTCTCGGGGACTCTGGGGAGCCGGGAGGAGTGTGGAGAGGTGAGTGGCCAGGTCAGTGTCCAGCTCAGGGCACTCTCGGCTTTCCGTGAGCCTGGGCCAGCCCTCTGGTGCCTTGCGCAGGAAGCCAGGCCCAACACAGCTTGAGGCTCAGGACCGTCACTCAGCTGCTGCGGAGTCATCAGCCGCCTAGAGCTGAGTGTCCTAGGACAGCGGAAACCACCTGATTGTCCTAGGGTGGATCACCCTAGGCCAGGGGACGTGGTGCTGATCTGGCCCAGGCCTGGCTCACTGGGCTGCTATTGCTGGGGCCTTATCAAGAACAGTTGGGCTGGTTGTGTCTGTCACCTCCATCGGGCTGGCCTGGGCTTGTACCCTGGCACCTGGCAGGGCTCCAGGGAACAGAGGGATGTATGCCAGGTGCCCTGTGGCCTAAGCTCCTAAATGACACAGTGTCTCTAAGTAAGGCCCCACCCGCCCCACAGCAGGAGCCCTGGACCCATAGTGCAGAGCACAGGCCCACACAGGTGGGTCGCAGTCTCTGTCCCTGTGAGAGGGAGAGAGGGGCCCCCGTCTTGTCCTCCAGCTGTCTACCCCCATGTAACTCAAGCAGGGATGGGACAGAACCGGCTCAGGCTCCTTGCAGTCGCTCTGGCCCCGTGACTCCTTCCTTCCTTCCCAGCCCCCTACTCTGGCCTTAGACTGTTTGTGGCGCCCCATTAGGTCACTGCTAGCAGCCGTGCACCCCATGCACTTACAGAGCAAAAGAGCCTGGTGTTCTGGTAATGTTCTGGTCCCACTTCCAGTTCTGTGCTCAGCAGTGGAGCAGACACCTGCATCTGTCTTTGCCGTCACCCCAAACACGCACCCTGGAAGTGGAGGGGGAGGGGCTGGACCACCTGAAAGGGTTGTCCAGGGCCCCCCACCTGGCTTGGTTTTCTCATGTGCCCATCTGTGCCACGGTTTCACTCCCACACCCAGGGCCTGAGGCGAGGACTATGGAGTGGACCCTTCTGAGGGTGCTCAGGTTGCTCTCGGGGCCTTGGCACCAGGTGAGCTGGGAGGGCTGACTGCTGCCCGGCACCCACCCTGCTGCCTCCACTTGGCGCCCTTGGTGTACACGGACTGTAGCCGGTCTCCTGCTCTTGGCTGCTCTTTGCCGCTCCTTGAGCAGAAGTGTGCGACGTCCTGAGTTCCTGCCGCATCCCCTTTGACTATGGGCCCATGAGGACTATGAGTCGGCTGCACTGTCCGCCACAGAATTGCAGAAAAACAAGGGCAGTTCGGTTAGGTTTGGGGAAGAACGCATCTTGGTTTGTATCCCTGGGACACAAAGGTCTGAGGTACCAGTACCAGGGCACTCGAGGGGCTGAGCTGCTCTGCTGCACTGGAAAGAAGGCGCCGCAGCGCAGGAACCCTTGCCAGTGGCTTCAGCCTTTGCCACATCTGACCGGAGCACCCCAGGGCTCTCGTGCCTCCTCAGTGTGACCTAGGCGTGTGTCCAGCCCAGCATGGGGTTCTGAGGGGTGCCTCAGGGACACAGCTGAGTCCAATATGAAGGTTCTTGGCAGTGACCCATTCTTGTACTGAAAGATTCTGACCACGGAGCACCCCTTGCCCAGGGAGTTTGTAGAGCAGTGACCCTGCACCGAACCTGGGTATGGTAGCATCCACCTACAATCCCAGCACCCCAGGCGGCTAAGGCAGGAGGGTCCCAAGTTGGAGCCCAGCCCTGAGCATCTTAGCAAGATCCTGTCTGAAAAGATCCTGTCTTAAAAAGGCTGGGGTACATAAGTGCCTGCCTGACAAGTGTGAGGTTGTGAGTTTGATCCCCAGTACCAAAAAAAAAAAAAAAAAGCACACCTGTAATCCCAGCACTCAGTAGGCTAAGGCAGGAGGACCACTGCAAGTTCAAAACCAGCTTGTGCTACAAAGTGAGCTCAGGGCCAACCTGAACTGCATAGTAAGACCCTACCTCAAAAAGACAAAAAAAAAAAAAGGGCCTGGGGGTTTAGCTCAGTGGCATAAGTGCCTGCCTAGCAAGTAGGAAGTGTTGAGTTCGATCTTCGGTACCAAAAAAAAAAAAGACTTTGTTTAAAAAATAAAATGGCTGGGATGAGATGCCGTACAGAAGTTCTGGGTTCAATCCCTGCTATAAAACAGACACATGCCTTAGCTGATGGCAGTGGAAGAGGGTGCTGTGGAAATACCTCTGCTTGGTCTCCCAGGTCCATCCAAGGTGAACCCAGGCTGCGAGGCCACCTCCTGCACAGGACTGGAGAGGGGGTCTGCAAGGTTGGAGACCAGCAGAGGGAGCCCCAGTACAGAGCTGTGAGGGCAGCCCCTGGTGCAGGGCATAGCGCCTGCAGGGTGAAAAACTGTCCGCATTAGAGAGGCCAAAGACAGGGCAAACCAGAGCCAGGGCTGGGGGAGAGACCTGAGGGGTGACAGCAGCCAGTACTCAGATGAGCTCCTCGGGGGCCCTCCCACCCTCCAGCCTGCAGGCAGGGTCTGCTGGCCGCCCTCACCCAGTGGGGTCTTAGCACCCAGGCTTGTGGGAAGCCAGGCAAGTGCCTGTAAAACCAGCTTGACAGAGAGAGGTGGTAGGGGTGATGAGGGCAGGCTGGGAGGCAGGACGCCTGGAGAAATTGGGGGCGTGGAAGCCAGCCTGTCTCACAGTCAGCCAGACCGCGCATTCCTCTCCTTCCCTTTCCGGAGCCGAGGCAGGTCCCTCTCTCTGTCCCCGATGCCCCCCCCCCCCCACCCAGCACGACCCTCTGAACTCCCATGTCCCCCAGCTGCTGCCTGTTGCTGTTGTGGCTTCCTTCATGTCCCCTCTCTGTCCTGTGCTCTGGCAGATCTGGGGAGCTAGGAGTTTGACCAGGGATCACTGAGGCTCAGGGTAAAGCTCTGCAGTGAGGAAGTCAAGTGTGTGGTGTTGTGGGGATCTTGCTCTTCACTTAGGGGCCGAGCAGGGTCTAGCAGGCCATGGCCAGGCCAGCGCCACCTCTTCGGGCTCCTCCAGGCCATCTGGGGTGCTGATACCTGCTCTTCCAACACCCCCTAAGCTCCTGGCCACAAACTGTCCTGCGGCCATGGGCTCAGTGACAGGAGGGAGGTGGAGAGAGACTGGTGTGAGGCAGGAAAGTGCGGCCCGGATGGGGGCAGTGGGGTCTTCGGGAGGGAGACAGTCCCCCACCCTTGCCTTCCCTGTGTCCCCTGGGCGGACTAAATCACATAACAGAGGGGAAGGACTCCATGGTCCATGGGTGGAAAGTGTCTCTCAGAGCCACCTTGCTCCGGGCATTATGTTAGGGATTCCTTGTTGGGTCCCTGAATGGTCACTGTGGGACCCCCTTTGGGGGAACAAGGTGCCTGTGCTGTCCTCCCGTGGGCGGTGTCTGTGCCCCTCCATCTTGGTCTCCCAGCCTGGTGAGGCACACGGAGCTTGTAGGTGTTCAGATTTAAGTCACTGGGCCCTAGACACCCCCACCCCCACACATGCCACCCTTCCCTGGGGTTCCAAGCCCAACAAGCCGACAGGTCCAGTTCTAACTTCTGGGGTCTCTGGCCATTTGTATGTAGATCACTCTCCATGCCGGACTCTAGGCTCCCCGAGTTCAGGAATTAAGTCCCCAAGGCCCAGTGCATGACAGGAGTGTGCTCACTCCAGTCTGTGCAGCTCTGCGTGTGTCCACTGTCCAGGCCGGCGACAGTAGTGTCACCATGTCACACCCACTCACCGTGTGTGAGCCGTGCTTGTGACATAGTCCTCAGATCCTGTCATGCTTCCCAGGCCCGCTCACATGGCCACCAAGGCCACCAATGTACTCCCATTCAGCACCCCAGCCAGACTGGTACTGTCCCTCCAGAGCCAGGGCCAACAGGCACATGGTCTTCCAAGGCCCTGGCTCCCGCAGCCTTCTTGCATAGAATCCTCCTCTCTCTCCACACTTGCTCTTTTCTCCCGTCCTCGGCCTTCCTGAAGAGTCCTCCCACCCCTGTTGTGCTTGGTCCCCAGCCACAGCAGTCCCTGAATGTGCCTGGCAGCTCCCTCATCTGCCCAGGACAGGGTGGCAGGTGCCAGGTCCTTCCCCACCACGCCTACTGTTTCTCAGGCATGCCTTCCTCTGAGACAGCCTGAGCCTAGACTGAGGGCTGAGGTACTGTCATGTGGTTGAGCCAGCCCAAAGCATCTTGGTGTCCCCAAAGCAGTGAGCAGTGACAGGGAGGTCTGAAGCCTTTTCTCCAACCCCACGTGTGGTCTTCTTTCCTGCGCCCCTCCATTCTAGAGCAGGTGACCCTGGCAGTCCCCTGCCAGCCTCCCACCCTGCAGGACAGCCCCAGCTGCCTTGAGAACCTATGGTCATCCTCATTCCTTCTCACGGACCCACAAACCCCGCCTCAGGGCTCCTTACTGTCTGCGGGGACTTGAAACTCACTCCGGCTCCTGTGGGAATACTGCGTTCTCCCCATGTGGCTCTGCTTCTGGAGACCCAGGCAGCGCTGACCCTGCATGTGTCATGTGTCTCCACAGACACATCTGCAGAGTGGGGACCGCCCCAGCCCCTGGGGTGCCCTCAGGCCTCCCCCTCGCACCTGGACTTTGTGTTGCTATCTGTGGCCACAGGCCTGAGAACTCCTTGCTTTTGCTTTTGGTATGCTTTGACTCCACCCTGGAGCTCACGGCCAGAGCCTGGTCAGGGAGCGAGTGACTGGTTCCTAGGAAGGAGCATCCTTCCTGCTTGTGGCACACCTTCTGTCCCTCATCCAGGGCCTGCTCTGCAGCTCTGCACCTGAGTGTCCCCTCCCGCTAGAGGTAGAGAAGGACACACGCAAAGGCCCGGGCCCTGGATTGCAGTCTTACACCGAAGCCAAGGTTGCAGCCAGACCCTGTCCGTAGAAACCAGGGCTGGGCCAGTGTTTGTAAACTGCCCAGTTACCCAGCAAGCATTGAGCTCAGATATTGCTTGATCAAAAAGCAGCCAGTTGGCAGGACACGCAGGGCATGTGCCTGCCCCAAGTCACAGAAGGGCCCCAGCAGGCCGAGAGGAAATAGCCATCCCCTCACCATGCAGCTGATCCAAGGGGCCTAGAAATCGTTGCGCTGGGTTGCCAGGACCGTGGGCATCCTCTCTGACTCGCGCTCAGCCGCTCCATGAAGAGCCAGCACATTCAGGCCCTGAGGGAGTCCACAGAGCACCCTGAGAGGCAGCAGGGTATAGAGGGCCAGCGGACAGGTGCAGCCCTTCCTGGAGGCTTGGGACCCGGGTCACAGTAACTATGATTACAGGAGAAGGGACTCCCCATCTACACGTCCTTCCGCTTTCCACTCAGAAAAGCAAAGTGTTCTGTTTTACGCCCTTGCTTTTAGGGCTGTCAGATGGCTAGAGAACTATACTAGAAAGTGTGTCTGAAACAGGAAAGGCTGCAGGGGACCTGATGTGGCTCTTGTCACCTTCTCAGTACAGTCAGCATCCTCATCGCTCTCATGGTGACCTGCAGATGCACCTCTCCTGGGCGGCCTGCGGCAGTGTTTAGGCCAGAACCTGGCACTCAGCTTTGGGACCCTGTCTATTGTGCCTGTGTAGTTATGAATTAACAGTGACATCAGAGGAGAGCCCGAGGTAGATGCAGAGGCAGGCCTTGTCACCAGAGCTGCTGGGGCCGAGGAGTAGAGAAGAGCATGTGGAGGTCTGAGCCAGGAGGGGCTGGCCAGCATCCACGCCACTGTCCTTGCAGTGACTATCCCAGGCGTGTCCAGGCAGCCACGCAGGCTGCTTGCCGTGCAGCAGCTGAAAGCTTGGCTTCCTCTGAAGACAGATCAGCTGGGCCAGAGCCAGGGCCAGTGCTGCACTGGGCTGCTCCACAGGGAGGGACCTCAGCCGCCCCCATGGCTCCCCACACACCAGAAGGTGTGCCTGCAACACAAGGCCATCCCTCTTGCAGCCTCTCCCACTCAGCAGGTCTGCCCATGGCATGGTGACCTTTCCCCATCCCTGGCCTGTCTCCCTGTCCTGCCCCGCACCTGGGGCTTCCTGCCAGCGGGGGCAGTAGAGAGCTGCTGAGACGAAGACTCAACTCTTTGGAGATCTGCTTCCTGCCAAGGTCACGCGGGGCCACCCCTGTCCTGTTTCATATCCAGACTGCAGTGGACACAAAACATCTCTGAAAATGGACATCTGCCACCTGCAGAGGTCCTGCCCTTAACACTGTGACCACCAGTGAACCCAGAAGGTCAGCCGCTGCCATCCCCTTTTTGCCCCATGCCTCCACACAGGGTCTCACTGTGGAGCCCAGGCGGGCTTTGAATTCCTGCTTCAACCTCCCAAGTGCCAGGATTGCAGGCAGGCACCACTGAGTCATTGATCTCCGGTCACTGATCTTGTTTAGCTCTGAAACCTGCTCGTTCCCCGAATGTGCATTTCCAGAAGAGCTGGTTGTTCTGTCCGACTTCTGCCTCTGTCGGGGCACTGTTGTCTGCACCGCTGGCTTGCACGTGAAGCCCCGCTCACCTGGCTCCAGCCCTTGGCCAAGAAGCTTTCTCAGCCATGGAGGGCTGTGGACTTCCGTGAGGGCTTGGCTGCCCAGAGCACACCTCAGAGCACACCAGGGACCCCAGCAGTGGATCCAGGACAGTGTCCCTACCATGAGGAGTGTACAGCAGAGCCCTTGGAACCCCATCTGCTCAACAGGAAGCACCCCATGACAGTTGCCTCAATTAATCTTGACTGTGTGTGTGACCAGTGCTGGCCATGGGGGCCGAGTGCCCTGTTCCTAACTGCTGGGTTGCTCTTGTCTCTTGCCAATGTCCATGGCTCTTGGGAGCCCTCCGTGTCCCGAGCCCTCAGCCCAGGCTATCAATACCAGTTCCCGTCCTGCTGTGGAGTGCCAGAGCTCATTCTAGTGACGCCAGCTCCAGCCAGGGCCTGAAATAGACACCAGACCAGGGTGGTATGGCTTGGAGCAGCCGCCCTGCCCTTCTGCTGGGGAGTGCCTGTTCTCCAGGCAACCACTAGAAACCAGACTGCTTACAATTCATTCGCAGCCCCTGGGCTCCCTGGGGCATCCAGCTCACTTGCAGTGAGGTCAGCCTTCCGGCAAGTCCCTGCCTCTGGATGTGGCTTCTGTGGGGCTTGGCGGAGCTCCCAGCAGGACTGCATAGCTGGAATACCAGAGCTGAGGAGAGCCAGGCCCCTTTGCCTGGAGATGCCAGCCAGGCTGCAGTCTTCCCCGCCCTCAGTGGCTGTCCTTCCTGGCCTCCTTCACCTGCCTCCTCTGAACGCAGTGCTGAGGGTCTGGCAGTGATTCGTCACAGCAGTGTCTGAGTGTTGTCCATCCCCCAGCATGTGCCAGGGCCCTGCGGGATGCCTCTGCCTTGTGAGCAAAGGGCCCTGCGCAAGAGTCCTGGCAAGCAGAAGGGACAGTGGCGGGCACAGGGCACTTACAATGCCTGCCACGCTGCAGCCACATAGCAGGCACTCGCCAGTGGCCACAGGTGCCCTTGCTTTCTTCGCTGGTGATGCTGAGGCTCCAAGACCAAAGGCACTTGTCCAGGGCCACACAGGTAGAATGGTGTCAAGGATCAGGCCCACATTCAGGTGACACAGCTGCTCCCTGGCTCTGCCCACAGAAACCTGTGTGTGGAAGTCCACTCAAGCAAGTGGCCCTGTGGCACATGGGCCCTGGTCAGTGGGTTAGGAAGCCGCTTCCTGCACTCTCAGTGTGGGAATCAGGGCTCTCTTGAGTCCCTCGTCTGCCTGCCTGCCAGGAAGCACTGGCTGAAGATGAGCCTTGTGCTAGGTGGCAGTGAGTGGGCAGATACACAGGCTGAGGAGAAGGAAGAGGAGGCGAGGGGGAAGCAGCCGACAGACCTGGAGTCTCCCAGACCACGGCACCCAGCACCCATGAGCCAACCTTGCCTTGGGCCCAGCCCTTACCCTGCTACATCACCCTTGGTAGCTGGCAAAGCGTCAGGGCAGTGAGTGTGGCACCAGCTTGGGTCCCAGGTGGGGCTCTGCACCCCAGCTCTCCCAGCCGGCAGGCGTGAGTGCGCTCTGGTGTCTGGTGGACTAGGGTTGGCCTTGAGCTGGTGAGGTGGATGGGGAAATGAAAGTGTTAAAAAATAACAGGTACCTAGGGCTGACACCATGGGTCTGGTATAAGCCACAGCCACTACCTTCAGGGTAAGGAGCACCAATAGGTGCCCCCGCCCAGCGAGGCTGTGTGCGGGTGACCAGAAGGTGGCTCGTCCTGGAGCCTGAGGCTAACACACAGCTTGGCAGAGCTCCCTGAGACTGTGCAGAGCTCCAGCCTCCCATGAGTTTGAAACTTCATCGCTTCTTCCTCTCCTCCTTCCCACAGCCATGAAGAAGACACTTGGGGTGGGGATGTACATTTGTGGGAGTCCTTCCCGCATCTGCTGTGCTGTCCCGCACAGCTGGCAGGGTGGCAGCAGGGCTCTGCAGGCCACAGTGACATGATCGGGCTCTCGACTACAGCAGCAGCTGGCCAGGCTGCGTCGTTGGGCTGAGAAGCTGTGGTCTGCTGTAAGCTCCACTCAGTCAGGTGACAGACCTTGCTGTCCCAAGAGAATTTGGGGACCGGTGCCTGGTGACTCTGGGTGACATCAGAAGTATCCCATAATCACCAGGTTTGTTTAAGAGCAAAGCCTCCGAAGGTAGGAAACTTAACTGGGCCGGAAGGGAAACGAACTCACGCCAATTCTTGGCATCGGAACCGCGCAGTCTGTCCCTCTGGGCGATGTTGAGGCTTCGATCTTTCCTTTCCCAAAGGGTTCAAGGCAGATTTCACCACTTTGAAAGTTGCAGTATTTGTCTTGGAGTAAACAAAAAGATTGGTCCAAGAGAGTCCCGGCGAATAGCTAAGTGCTGAGACGCTGAATGTAGCTCTGAGGCACAAGGGCAGAGAGGGCCAGGGCTGGGCTGTGGCCGCAGCGGGCGTGTGGTCTCCATGCGGGCATCAGTGCAGGCCAGCCCTGCCTCTGGGGCGCTAGCCTCCAGACCTCTCCCTCTGGGGAGTGGGGGATTGCCACGGGCCCTGGGCGACGGCCGGTTTGCTGGCCTGGCTGGCTGTCCTGGCCAGCTCTGGCTGGAGTGCCCTGCAGCCCACAGCCACTGTTAACCTAATGACTTTTTCTCTTGTCTGTCTGTCTTCTTCTGCCCGTATCCTCGTTTTTGTTCGTCCCCACCTGGGTTCTGTAGTACAAGTCTGTGTTTAGGTCCTACTCCCAGGACTTCGTGCCTCACCGCCAAGCTTCCGTCCACCCTTTCCTTCCGCCCACCTCCTCTTCCTCTCCGCATTTCCCACCTGTCCACCTGTCTCCGAGCTCGGATTTGGCGGGCCCCGCCGTAGCCAGCCCGCCTGCCCGCACCGTGGATGGGCCTCGCTCACCTTCCCAGGAGAGCAGCTTCCATGGGAGCCCTGTCTGCCTTCCTCCCGAAAGCTCTTTCGCTGACTCGGTGAGCACCGGCACGCACACCCGCACGCAGCTGCATGATTCCACACGGCGATGACCCGGCCTCCCTCCGCTGACAGCCCGGGCCTGATGGGCCCCCAGGCATCGCTGCTAGATGGACAGCTGCAGAGGCCCCGGGTGCCATCTGCTTCCTGAACAGAGTGGGGGTTTGACATAAAACTCCTGCCACACTGGGAATCGGGTTTTCCGCAGACAGACAAGTGACCAGTGAGGGGAGCCTGTGCCCCTAGCTGTCTCTGTGGCTATGTGAAGGAGGGCACGAGCCCTTGGGAAGCGTGGCAGTGACAGGTGGAAGGCAGTGGCCTGGAGTGAGACAGGCTGGCTTCCTATCCCATGAAGTGGCTCCACCACTAGCTGCAGCTCCTAGGGCCAGAGGGGACAGGAGGGGAGGGACAGAGAGGGCACTGTGGCAGAAACCCCCCACCAGTTGCACTGTCTGCATGTGTCACTTCCTCCCTCCTTACCCGGCACCCTGTGACCTCCCCCATGACCTTGGGGCTACCTTTCCTGGCCAGGCTCCAGGATAGGCCTTGAACCTTGGAAGATGCAGCAGGAAGCTTGGGTGCCCACTAACAAGAGGCCAGAGGTAGCCAGGGCAACGTCACAAAGGACCACGGACTCTTGGCCTTTGGCCCTTTCTTTCTCCCGAGGCTGCATCCTGGTCTGGGCCCATGTGGCCCTCTGAGCTGGGAAGGCCAGAGGCCTGGCCCATGGTCCTCCTTTTCGTCCTGTCTCCCCCAGAGCGAGAACACCAGCGAGGAGGCTGGTGAGGGTGAATACGTCAGTCTGTATTCCTCTGGCCAGAGCAGTGTGGAGCGGGCTCGCCCTCGAGGAGTAAGTAACCTCGGGCAGTGGCCTGCTGCATGTGGCCTGGCCTGGCACAGCTGGCCCCTTCCGGGGCCGCTTCCCTGGCACTTGCTTCTGTTTGGCTGAGCCCTCAGGCTCCTGGGAGCCAACTCAACGGGACGGAAGCTGTGGCCTGCAGGTGGCTCCTCTGCTCCTGCTTCATGGGTGTGGTGCTGCTCAGCCCCAGGACTGGCTGCTGGGACCTGGCCACACAGCCAGTGTCGGTCATAAGGCCAGTGCGTGCTGCACTTCCCTGGCCCTCTCCAGGACTGAGAGCGCTCCGGTGCTTCCCCCCAGCACCCCCACCTTGCTGCTCCCCAGCAAGCTGGGGAGCCCAGCAGGGTTGCGCTCCTTGCTCCTGAGAGGAGCCCCTGCCGTCTTCGCCCTCCTTGTGCTGATGCCCCAGCTCCTCATAGTTGGGGTGCAGTGGTGCTTCAAGCATTCAGCTTGGTAAGACATGAGTGAGTTCGGAAGCTTCAGAGGCCACTTTTGCTGTGAGCCCAAGCAGAAGGAGCCCGCAGGGAGGAAGCCAGGTCCATGAGAGTCCCCCCAGTGAACACCCCACACAGGCCCCACTCTGGAGAACCCCACTCCTTAGGAGTGGTCCCACTGCTATGGAGGAACCAATGTGTGTGCACCCCACAAGTCACACAATCTGGAGGAATTTCACCCCATAGGAGTTCACCCTGCCCCACCTGTCCGCACCGGTGACCTGCACCACCAGCGTCACCCAGCTTGGCCCTCCACCCTGGCCCACTGGGCACATGGAGCACTGACTTTCCTTTAGTGCAGTGCCCTCCCTGGTGGTGCCTCTGGCCCCCACGCTGCCCTGGTTCTCTGGGATGGATTTGATGCAGCCTGGCCCTATCACAGGGCATGTTGTCGCTGAGTGAGGCTGCAGTGAGGCTGCAGGGTATCTCGCAGCTGTGTGTGCACAGTGGTCCCCTTGGTGCTGTCCCTGGCTGGGTGGCACAGCCCTCAGAGCCTCTCATTAGGACATAGTGAGGTTCCACTGCACACAGTGGGGCTCAGAGCGTCCCAGGTTCAGACACAGGCTCTGCCACTCAGACGCTATGTGGTCTTAAGCAGGGCTGTGGCCGCTGGCCTGGGATCCTTTGAAGCAGGGCCTTAGCTCCTTAAGGGGCCGGGGAGGAAGGGGACTTGGTTGAGCTCTGCAGTATGGGCTGGGGGCAGCCCTTTCTTCTGGAAGGCAGTTCAAGGTGGCTTCATCTGGGCAGCAGCTGGCAGAAGCCCTTTCCTTCCAAAGACCCCCGGGGTGCTAGCCCTGAGGGCCCTTGTGTTTCCTGTGCTTTCCTGTTTCCTCACTAACCTGTTCCCACCTTGCTTTATTCATTAGGAACCTGCATCCGAGCCGCCTGTAGGCAGGATGCTGGGGAGACACATGGGCCCAGGTACAGGCACCTGTCCAGAACCCAGCACTCCCTTCTCTCCACAGGAGTCGCCAACTGGGAAAGATGGGCACTCCAGGGACCCTTCAGCAGGCGGCAGCACACCTGGCAAAGATGGCAGAGATGGCAGCGAGAGGTAGGCGGTGACCAAGGAGTGACTGGTCCCCAGGGCCGTACATCCATGCAGAAGGACCTGTGTGTTCGTGTTGGGGGTCTTTCCTTCCCTGACGCTCAAACACAGCAGTCCTTGCTCAGGCTGGGAGCTGACTTCGAGAAGACAGAATCAGCAGGTGCAGGGTCACGGGCCTATGCTTCCTGCTGCTTAGCAGGCTTAGAAAGATCAAAGCTTAAGCTTCCTGGGCAGCTTCATGAGAGCCTGTGTCAAGTGTTTTTTAAAAAGCCAAAATCAAATAGATAAAAATTTCTTAAAAATAAAAACTAAGTGGACATGGTGACACATGTTTGCAATTCCAGCACTTGGAAGGCTGAGGCCGGAGGATTGCTGCAAGTTCAGAGCCAGCCTGGGGTACACTGAGTTCAAGGCTGGGCTGAAAAAATGGAAAACTTAGAAATAACCACATCCACCAGAGGTACTGACGTGGTGTCTGATGTGCCTTACCTCTTGCAAACCTAAGACAGCCTTGGTGTTTTTGGGTTCCAGCCAGCCTTCTGAGCATCAAGAAACTGAGACATCCCAGGATGTGTGAAAATCCACCCTGCCGCCCACCACTTTGTTACCACATGTGCTCCTGTGCCTGCGTGCGTGGGTTATGTTGCTAAACCATCTCGAACATCAGGTGCAGATGTTGTGATGCTAGGTCCCAAAACACCAGCTTGCCTTTCCTAAAGGATAAGAAAATCCTAGCTGGGCATGGTGACAGGTGCCTGCAACCCTGGTCCTCAGAAGGCCGAGGCAGGAGGCGTATGAGTGCACGGTCAGCCTGGGCTGCACAGCAAATTCAAGGCTGGTGGTGCCTCAGTAGTGAGGCCCAGACTGAAGCAGGCAGCCTGCAGCACTGTGCGGACGTCTGCACGGGCAAGGGCCAGCAGCTCTGGGGTCCTGCGTGGTCATCCTGTGAAGGCACAGAGGGTGTGTCTCTCCCTGTCCACTTGCTCATGGCTTTTTCACATTGCCACCAAAGCTCCAACGGCATGGCCAGACTTTGAGGATGGCAGACATCAGTAGTGGGAACTGGCTGGCCTCCCTGCTGACCCTTGTTTGTTTTGAGACAAGACAAGATTTCACTGTGCAGTTCAGGCTGGCTTAGAACTCATGTTGTAGCCTGGACCAGCCTCAAACTGGCAGCCGTCCTCCTGCCTCAGCCTCCCAAGTGCTGGGATTATAGGCATGTGCCACCACGCCTGGCTCCTGTCCTTAAATATTTACTGTGCCCACAGTGCCCTTGCTGGAGCATAACTGTGGCCACCATAAATAGCCCGTGGGACCTTCCCATCCCCAACACCATCCATTCCATTCACAAATGAGACCTAGAGGGAGGGAGACAGGAACTGGGCCAGGCCGCAGAGCCAGTCAGCAGCAGCAGAGCTGGGAGCCATCTGAGCCTCCGGCTCCTCATCCCAGCATGATGCAGGACCATGTCTGGAGCAGTGCTCAGGCCCCTCACACCCTTGAGCGGTCAGCACTGCCTTGGTCTCTGGCGTCGGGTCCCAGGCCTGAGTGACACTTGCCACACCAACCACTTCTCCCTCCAGGGTCCCGAAGTCGCCGGATGCTCTGGAGTCAGCTCATTCAGAGGAGGAAGTGGACGAGCTGTCCCTCATCGACCACAACGAAATTATGGCCAGGCTGACGCTCAAGCAGGAGGTCAGGGCTCCCCAGCTTGCCAGCGAGAGTCAGGAGGGTCAGAGCCAAGGGGACCTGTATGACCTCAGGTGTCTCCTTAAGACTGACCTAGCCAAGCGTGGCTTCCAGGAGGCAGAGTGCTGTCTACAAGTGGCAGAGTCCCCACGTCCCATAGCTGCACCCCCAGGGTCCAGGCAGGCGAAGCCCCTGGCAGCGTTGTGCACAGCAAGTCTTCCTCCACGCTGCTGGCAGAGCCTGGTGGCCTCTTCCCAGAGGACACACAGGCATGGCCCTTCTTGGAGGAGGCGGGACCAGCAGAGCAGAGCCCGCCTCAGCCTCGAGATGTGAGGAGCTGCTTCCGGGACCCCACTTGATGGCAGCCTCATGCCCACTCGTCATCTTCCAGTGGCGAAAAGGCAGAGGCTGCCCTTGGCCTACTCCTGGGCCGGGCAGGGGCAGCCGAGGACAGGCAGGCAGGGCTGGGGACCTGGGCCACAGAGCTGCTCCTTGGAGGGACCTTGGAGGGTTCATGGCCAGGCCGCCCTATCCTCAGGATGCCGAGAGGCAGGCACACAGTGGGGCTGGCTCTGCCCCCTGCGTAAGGAGGCTGCCAGCCCAACCGCCTTCCCACTCTGCTGGCTCTAGGCCAGCGCTAGTGCCTGTTCCCGTGTGGAGGTGGGGCCGGGGCCCTCGCCGGTCTCCTGAGCGGCAGTACACTTAGCGTCTCTGGTGCTCTTTGCTCGCTTGCTGGGTCACACAGAGGATCCTGTGATCTGCATCACGGACCTCAACCCTCAGGGAGCAGGCGCAGGCCTGGGACATGTGAGCACGGGCAGACCTGCTCTGCTGCCTCCCAGGCATCCAGGGACCAGGAGCCATGATCGGGTGGCAGCGTGGGATGGCACTGAGTACCACCGACCCCTCACGTCCCCAGGATGGTCTTGTAGGGCTTCGGGACATCAAGTATCCTTGGGGAATGTGCCCTGGGCCCACACCCGGTGTCTGTCCACCAAGTGTGGAGCCACGGACAGGCTCAGAGGCAGCACAGCTGGCCTGCTGGCCAGAGGACACCATGGTGTCTTTGTCATCCTGGTCCCGGCTCATGTTCTGCTTGGCTGTTCTCACTCCAGGGTGATGACGGGCCCGATGTGCGTGGAGGATCAGGAGACATCCTGCTGGTTCATGCTACTGAGACGGACAGGAAAGGTACGACTGGCCTTTGTATCCGTGGGCTCACCAGGAACCCCACCAGGGCTCACCAGGCTCCCGGCAGGTCCGAATTTCCAGTCTGGGAGTGCTGAGTAGAGAAGGTGGAGCCTGTCCAGAGCCTGCCCTTTGGGCGTGCTATCCCACAAGCTATTGTGGTGCTGCCCCCAGAGCCTTCAGGGAGGGCCCCCTGGTGAGGGCAGCCTCCTGGGTAATGTGTGCCAAACCAAGTGTGAACCCCAGGCAGCTCCTACGCCTTTCCTGTCCTCGAGCTGATCTAGTATTCCAGTCCATTGGGTGAATTGATATGTTCCTCGAGGAAGATCCGGGAACACCTGTGTCCTGTCCCGGGGCCTCATCATGGCCAGGACATGGCTTCCACAGGCCAAGGTCCACCAGCCTCACCAACCTTTTGGGTCCTGACTACCTGGGGGGCAGAAGTGCAGGAGCCATCGTTCTGCCCAGGACATCCTGCTTCCAAGTCCTGTCCCAGAAGGACGGGAAGGGGGGCCACTTGCTAGGTAAAACCCGCACTCTGGGAGGCTGAGGCAGGATTGCTGTAAGACCGAAAACAAATTGTCCTGATAGAACATCAGAGAGATTGTTGAAGGACGTCACCGCCCAAACCAAGGGGCTGTGTGGACTGGGGAGGCAGCGCCTCTGGCTGCAGCACCCCCCAAGGCTGCAGGAGCCAGGGTCCTCACAGCAGACCTTCCCACCCGAGCCTGCTCTCCTTGGCTACAGTGTGCAGGTCCTAGGGTAGTGGGCGCCGCCATCTGAAGAGCCCCTCTGGGTTAGCTTTAAGCTCCACTGACCAGTTTAAAATAGGGTTAAGGTCTGGGGATTTAGTTCAGCAGTGTAAGTGCCTTCTTGACAAGTGTGAGGTCACAAGTTTGATTCTGGGTTCCAAAAATAAAATAAGTTTTAGGGGCTGGGGATTTACTGGCAAAAGCGCCTGCTTGGCAAGAGCAAGTTTGCATATTTGATGCCTGGTACCAAAAATGAGATAGAGTTTTAGCCAGGTGTGGTGCCGCACACCTGTCATCCCTGCACTGAGAAGGCTGAGGGAGGAGAAACACTGAGAATTCAAAGCCAGCCTGGGCTACAAAGTGGGTTCAAGGCCAGCCTGAACTGCACAATGAGACTGCCTCAAAAAGACAAAAAATCGTAAGAGTTTTACACCAGCCCCGCTCTTCCCTGTCCACTGAGTGCCCCTGCTCCCACAGACCTGGTGCTGTACTGCGAGGCCTTCCTGACCACCTACAGGACCTTCATCAGCCCCGAGGAGCTCATCAAGAAGCTGCAGTACCGATATCCTACCCGCTCCTTAACCGCAGCTGGTGCCTGGGGCTGCTAGGAAACTGGGAATGGGCAGACCTGCAGGCAGAGCCAGCCCCCTTGCACCTGTGCCAGCCAGGCACTGTTGGTGCTGCCTTCCACGGCTCTGGGCTCCCAGGCCTGGGAACCTATGACCCCCGACAGAGGTGGCAGGGAGGATCCCTGGGGGCGTGGAAGGGTACATACTCATACCAGTTGCCTCTTTCTCAAACCCGTGCCTGCCCAGCCCCTGACCAGCTTGCAACGCCCTCTACTGGGCAGCCATTGCCCCTCAGGCAGGGCGTCCTGAGCCCTCTACAGGCCCTGAGAACCCTGGGCTGTGGGACGGATGCGGACACTTGTCGAGAATACAGGGTCCCTACCAGCCAGCAGAAAGCGGTCACACACCTGCCAGAGCACGCTCACCAGGTGTGACATGCTTTGTGTGCGGGACCATTTCTGTATCACCACCAAATCCTGTGGGGCTGTGATTGGCTCCCTGTCACACATGAGCCAGGGTTTGGGCTCCACCCAGCCCAGCTGCTGCTCCCCTCTGTCCCCTGGTCATAAGCCAGGTAGCCTCAAGATGCCAGGAGCAGGTGGGGCAGCACTGGGAGGTCTGGGAGTCCTGCCTCGGAGCAGAGGGCACCCTGAGCACAGTCTTGAGGTGCACACGGGAGAAGTGGGGGAGCCCGCCCACCTGTGCCCTCCCTGGGACCAGGTGGGACAGCTGCAGTGTGCTGTCTCCTTAACCGCACCAACATATGAGAAGTTCTCGCCCTTCACTGACACGTTCAAGAAGCGTGTGAGCAAGAACACATTCTTCGTGCTGGTGCGGGTGGTAGACGAGCTCTGGTGAGCGTTTCTCCTGGGCCTCGGGCAGGGCACCCCTCCCCATAGGACCACGTGACCACTGTGTACCCACCACCTGAGGTCACCAAGGCCCTGAGTGGCTTGTGCCCTGGAGCAGGGGAGAGGCCGTGGGGCCACCCAGGCTGTGCAGCCCTCCTACCTGGGCCAGGCCCGACGGTCATGCTCTGAGCCTGGGGCCCTCAGCGTTTGCTCCCCTGTCTGCTGCCACCGTGGCCTGTGCGCCCTCCACCCTAAACATGGCTGTCTCACGCAGCCGTTGCCCAAGTGCCAGAGTTAGGGGACTGGAGAACCAGCGCTGGCCTGCCCAGGAGAGGGCCTCAGCACCCCACTGAGGCAGTTCCCTCGGTGTCTGCTTACCCCACAGCCTGAGCACGCAGGCTTCCTCTCTGTCACCCAGGCCTGCGAGGCCGGGGCCCACTGTGTGTGCCAGGCAAGTGGCTGGGAGGCCAGGGCAGCCGCTCTCCCTCCCCGGGGTCCCGCACCCACCCTCACCCCGTGCCGGCCCCCAGCCTGGTGGAGCTGACGGAGGACATCCTGAAGCTGCTGATGGAGCTGGTCTTCCGCCTGGTGTGCAGCGGAGAGCTCAGCCTGGCCCGGGTGCTGCGCAAGAACATCCTGGACAAGGTGGACCAGAAGAAGCTGCTGCGGTGCGCCAACTCCGACCAGCCCCTTGCGGCCAGGGGTGTTGCAGCCAGGTGAGGAGCCTGCTGTCCAGCCCATGAGCTCCCATCCCCTGGCGGACAAGGTGCCACGAATAGCCACGGACACCCTGGGGCTGGGCCTCAGCCCTGGGGCTTGCGTGAGGTGACGGTCATTTGCATGGAGTGGGGCAGGAATCCGGCCCACCAGGACCCTAGGCTGCATGGGTATGAGGGGGCTGATGCTGCCTCCCAGCCATTCTGCCCATTGCCAAGAGCCCAGGCACACCCCAGTCTTCCACCTGTCCCCATGCCCCACCCAAGGGTGGCTATCAGCCCCAGCTGCAGCAAGCCAGTGCAGCCCAGAGGAGTCTTGGGGCCTCGGGGCTGCTGAGCTCAGGAAACGGGGTGTCCCGTGCCCTGCAGGGGCAAAAGAGGCAGGCTGGCCTGTCCCCACAGAGCCCTGTGGCCGGGCATCGAAGAACCCTGTGGAGCCCATTGTGGCCCTTACCCTCCTGCTGCAGAGCGAGGTCAGGGGGGCAAGTCCTTCCACCCCACGCCTGGAACCTGGGGTGGTGCCTGACCGCACTTTCGCTGTGTCCCCAGGCCCGGGACCCTGCATGACTTTCACAGCCACGAGATCGCTGAGCAGCTCACGCTGCTGGATGCCGAGCTCTTCTACAAGATAGAGGTACAGAGAGTGGGTGGCCTGGGGTCGCCTAGCCACTCCCAGTGAGCCGGGCACTGCAGTGTCTGGCCTGTCCCCCCTGCAGATCCCCGAGGTTCTGCTCTGGGCAAAAGAGCAGAATGAGGAGAAGAGCCCCAACCTGACACAGTTCACGGAGCACTTCAACAACATGTCGTACTGGTGAGCGGGGCACAGCCTGGGGCAGCTCCGGCCCTGAGCTCACCCGTGTCCTGGCAGAGGAGAGACCAGAGCTCCCGCCCACCTGGGGGCTCACTTGCCCCTTCTGTCCATGCTCCCCCAGGGTCCGGTCCATCATCATGCTGCAGGAAAAGGCCCAGGACAGGGAACGGCTGCTCTTAAAGTTCATCAAAATCATGAAGGTGACCATGCTGAGCCCCCAGGCCCCCTTGGGCCCCTCCAGGAGCCCAGGGCCCCGGCCCTGTGCCCCCCTCATGCTCCCTCTCCCCACAGCACCTGCGGAAGCTGAACAACTTCAACTCCTACCTGGCCATCCTCTCAGCATTGGACTCGGCGCCCATCCGCAGGCTGGAGTGGCAGAAGCAGACCTCGGAGGTGAGCACGGGAGCAGCCTGTGGGGCTGAGCTCGCTTGGGCCCTGCCCTGCCCTGCCCTGTCGTTCCCTGTGCTGAGAGCTTGGTGGCTGGTTCCGGGGTGTCCCGCCCAGCACCTGGCTCCTTGCAGCCAAAGGTACCCCCTCGGCCTGAGATGAGGCGGGTGCTGCAGGGCCAGGGCGAGCGCACAGCAGGCCCGAGCAGGATCACCCTGTGCTGCAGAGGGCGTTGCCCACAGATAGAAGGGCTCACTGCCTGCTCCTCCTGTGCAGGGCCTGGCTGAGTACTGCACACTCATCGACAGCTCGTCCTCCTTCCGTGCCTACCGGGCCGCCCTCTCGGAGGTGGAGCCCCCGTGCATCCCCTACCTGTGAGTGAGGTGCTGGGGTGGGGCCGCCCAAGTGTGCTTCCAGTCACCCTGCCCAATTGCTGTCCCCACGGCAGGGAAGGGGCAAGAGGATCCTTGCGATCTTTCCCTGCTCCGCCCCCAGCCAGCACGGGCTGCATCGTCACCGTCACCGTCACCAAGGCAGCCCAGGGAGGCCTGGGCTACAGAAGCCCCGGCCCTCACCCTCGGGACTCAGCAGCCCTTCCTAGGTTGCTGTGCCTGCAGATGAGGGCTCTGTCCCCTGCAGGGTCGGGTTGGGTTTGCTTTACTGTTTATTTCATAGTTGGGCTTCTGCCCCTCACCCTGCCGTGGGCACACCACTCCCCAGTAGCACCCCAGAGCCACACTCGTAACACCCGGACCTTCAGGGTCACAGTGTGGAGTCCAGGTGGTGGCGGGCAGGCACCTGGGCCCACACTGGACTGGAGTTGGTCCTGCATGCTGGCCAGTTCTGGTACAAGGCCCACTCCAAGCGGCCCCACTGCCCTCCGAGTCAGCCTGCAGTGGTAATGGGCTCTCTGCCACTGTCCAGGGGTCTGATCCTGCAGGACCTGACCTTCGTCCACCTCGGCAACCCTGACTACGTGGATGGCAAGGTGAACTTCTCCAAGCGCTGGCAGCAGTTCAACATCCTGGACAGCATGCGCTGCTTTCAGCAGGCGTGAGTGTGGGGGCGTGGGGGACAGGGCAGGGCAGGCAGGGGACACCGGGCTGGGGGCAGCTCACAGCCAGCCTCCCTGGCCCCAGGGCTGCCCAGCATGCTGGGACCCAGAGCAGCCTGTTCTGGTGCTGGTATCTGTCGGCCTGGGCGGTGGCGGCCTGCAGGCCCAGTAGCTGGCCCAGCAGCTGCTGGGAGGTGCTGGGGTGGCCCAGGACCAGGGCCCTCTGAGAGCATGTGGCCACCGCTCCCCACAGACATTATGACATCCGGAGAAATGATGACATCATCAGTTTCTTCAACGACTTCAGTGACCACCTGGCCGAGGAAGCCCTGTGGGAACTCTCTCTGAAAATCAAGCCCCGGAACATAACCCGGAGGAAGACAGACCGGGAGGAGAAGACCTAGGAGCGGCTTACACCGGGACCAGAGCGCTCCAGAGGCCGGGAGAGAACTCAGACTGCCCAGCGCTGCTGGGCTCACAGGCGGCTCTGCTCTGGCTCCAGCTCTGGCTCCCTCCTGCGGGAGCTGCTCAGGGCCTGGTGCCCCTGCCTGTAGTGGAGGGAGCACAGCGGCAGGTGGGGCTCAGGACTGACCTCAGTGCACTGCCCCCCTCTCCACCCTGTTTTGGGTGTGAGGAGACGCAGGGCGGGGCAGGTGGTGTTCACTGGAGTGGGGACCTGCCGTACTCAGGGCCTTGGGGTTGGCTGCAGACCGCCGCCAGGTCCGTCCGGTGCACAGCGCAGCACCGCCACCTGCCACCCCGCAGCCCCAGTGCAGGACTCCACCGCCGGCATTGCTTGAGCTCTGGGAGCAGGGGTGAGGGGCCAGGGAGGACTTGGCCGCCCCGGGCGCCCTGGTGAGGCCCCTCCGCCATGCTGCTGTGTGCCTTAAACTCCACCTCCCACCCACCCCAGTTGGGCCAGCAGGTTGGTGGGGAGCCTCGGGGAGCCTGGCTGCAGAGCAGAGGGGACCTAGCTCCCGGCAGCGCTCCTCCCCTCCCCACACCAATGTTGACAATCGGCCCAGTGGCCAGATGCCCCAGGGAGCCGCCCTGTCCACCTGGCACCATGGCTGCCAAGCTGGGCCAGCAGGCAGGTCAGTCCAGAGGTGCCACCAGCTCTGTGCTGCTTCCCTCCCGGTGCAGGGTGAGTCAGGACCGACTTCCACTTCCAGAAGGAGGCTGTAGGAGAGCAGCAGCTGCCTGCTGGGCTGGGCTGGGCTGGGGACCCCACCCCGCTAGACGCTCAGCGCCTTCCCTGGGTCTCTGAGCAGCTTTCACCCCAACTGTGGGGCTGTTCCACTCCCTCCTGGCCTGTCCTGTAAATAGGGAGGCGGAGACTCGGGCTGTCACAGCAGCTGTCCTGCTGGCTGGCCAGGACCTGTCACTTTATTATTTAAGGAGTGTGCAGTTTATTAACAGTATTGTGTGGGTTGGGTTTTTAGTTTGCGCCCCCTCCCGGAAGTCCTCCCATTTCAGCCCCACCTCCTCATGCCCTCACCCCGTCTAGCCTGGCAGGTACTGCCCTGTGTGCACAGGGCCTGGGCCATGGGATCCAGAAGCCCCGCCTTCCCGCTGTCCCAGCTCCCCCCACCCCCCTCCGCCAGCACCCTGCCCCTGTCTGCCCACCCCGGGGAGGCCACATCAGGCCAGTGCTCCAGCAGGGTGCTCCCAGGGTCCAGGACTGCTGGGCCAACGCAGGTATGCATGTGCAATGTGCTGGCCCCTTTCACCTCTGGCCACCCTGTGCCGTCCTGAGCCAGGCGAGTCCTGGGGCCTTCCTGCGGGTGCTGTGGAGCAGAGCCCAGACCTGCCCCTGACACCCATGACCTCCCGTGTCACAGCGTCACGACCCCACTGTGGTCTGACGTGGCGTCTTCCTGCAGACATTTCAAATGTGTAAATTTTTATATAAAAGAAAATAAAAAGAGGTGAACGCTGCCCGGGAAGCCGCCCATCTGCACGGCCCTGGCCTGGGGTCTGGGTCATAGTCTCTGGCACCAGCCTACTTGCCATGGTTGGGCAGTTGGACTCTTTTCCAGAACATTTCCTCCGGGCTTGCCATCCCCTCCTCACCCCAGGTCCCCTAGAAAAGCACCAGGTCTGTAGCTGGCCCTGGTTCCCCAAGGTGCCGTCCATGAGCATGCCCTTCCTAGGCCCCTGGCCTCTCCTGTCCAGAGCTGCTGTGTGCCCTCCTGCATGCTCCCAGAGCCATGCTGCATCCTGTGACCCAGCCAGCCTGGGGTCCCCACCCCAATACCTCCCCTGCAGGGAGACCTCACCCCTGAATGTCTGCAGGTGGGGTGGCAAGAGGTGGGGGACCCACTGGTCTCGGCAGATGCAACCCCAGAAGGCCAACGTGAGCCTCTCTGTATATTTGGGGGTGGTGGTCCCCAAGGAGTCACATTGAGACCCAGTTCTGACCTGGGCTGACACTCCTGTGAGTGCCTAGGGGTTCACGTTTGGCCAGGAAGCTCCTGCCAGCCCCAGGGAACCGGACTCCTGTGACCTCAGCAGACCATTCTGCCAACCTGCCTTGGGCCTCACCAGGGAACCCAGAGGCCCAGACAGGGGCCCCTTGTTTCTCCACCGCCCTCTCCCAAGCCAGCCAGCAGAGTCACAACCCTCATCTGGCCCCAACACCAGGGACAGGAAGCTCCCTGGGGAAACCATTGTGGCCATGGGCTGAACACAGGGTCCCAGAAGGCCCCACCCAGGTCCTGGAAACCTGAGTGCTCAACAGGGCCCAGGAGACTCTGGTGCCCTCAGCGGGGACCACGGCACCAGAGGGTCACCCACGTGTGACAGTGATGCCATCTGACCTGGCCCTTCCCACTGGGCCTGGGGCACATGGGCAGCTGGCTGGGGGTGCTGCCCTTGGCCCCAGAGGGTCTGAGAGACCATGGTGGGAAGGAGGGGCACTGGCAGGCTCTTTCAACATGGGAGTGTGTCCACCAGCCACTCTTGGTGCCACGTACTCATGCAGCTTCAAAGGAGCCCCAGGAAGAGCTTCAAGTCACGCACAGTACACAGGTGTGGTCACCTAGAGGCTGGGCAGGAGGATCATGAATTTGAACCTAGACTACAATGTGGTCACTTAGAGACTCTGGCTCAAGACACAAGCTGAAGGCCAGGGTGGAGCTCAGTGTGAAGGCCTGGGGCCCATCTCCAGCACAGAGCTGCAGCCCTGGGGGTGAAGTGTGATCTGGATTCACCCAGCAGACCAGGCCTGCTACCCAGCTGGACAGAAACCACGTGCCAGAGCCCATCCCTGCCTGCGCTGCCCTGGAAGGCGGAGGGGCACACTTCTCGCCCTGGCATGGGCTTGGGGTTTGGGCTTTTAATTGTGGTCCAGAGAGTGGAGCCTAGGTGTCCTCCACAACAGAGCTACGTCCCCAGCCCATTTCGGTTTTGTTTGTTTCAGGAGGATTTTGTATTTTTTTGTTTGTGTTTTGAGATAAGGTTTTGTTATGGCCTCAAAGTCAGGTGATCCTCCTGCCTCAGCTTCTTGAGGACTGGGATGACGTGTGTGACACCACACCCAGCAAAAACGCTAAGGTTTGGTTTGGTTTGGTTACTGGAAATCAAGCTCAGGGCCCCTCACACTGCCAGGCGGGCACTGTACCACTGAGCTACATCCCGGGCCCCAAGTTACTACTTTGAAACAGGGTCCACAGTTACCCAGACTTTGGGCTTGAATTAATTAGTGATTCTGCTGGCTCAGCCTCCAGAGTGGTGGGCTTGACAAGCAGTGACACCATCCCCAGCCCAGCTTGCTTGGTGACCAGAATGTCAGTGGCCCCAGCAAGGGTGGGCCAGGCAGTGACAGGCCGGTCTGCATGTGAACGCCGGTGCCAGGTATCTGAAGTCCTTGGCCCACCAGCAGTGCCTGGAGACCAGACCTGAGCTGGGCCGGGACGGTCAGTGCCACACCAGGCCTTCACACTGCGGCCCACCAGCATAAGAGCACGCCGGGCACTCCCTTCCCATGCCACTCATGACCAGAGGGCCGTGTCACTTAGGACCGCATAGCTCCAGGCCCCATCGCCTGCCCACAGAGAGCCAGGTGTTGGGGTGCAGGGTCCTGAGCAGGACATCGGCACAGTGACCGCCCAAGGCCCCACCCTGGGTGTCACCAGCACAGGATGCTCGAGGCTGTCATGGCCACAGTGTGGGCTCAGGCTTCCAGAGCATGGCCCCAACTGCCCTGATCACACTCAAGTACAGCAAGGAAGGAGACCCCTCAGGACCGAAGGGCCTGAGCAGCCATCTAAGAATGCAACCCCCTGTCATCACAGTACCCATGGCTGAGGCAGGAGGGTCAGCCTGCGTTCAAGGCCAGCCTGGGCTACACAGTGAGGTGCTGTCCAAAGCATAAAAGAGACTAGAGAAATATCCACCACCCATTTATAGTTTTTATTTCAAAACTTAAACAAGCGGGGCTGGGGATTTAGCTCAGCGGCATAAGCGCCTGCCTTGCAAGCAGGCAGTCGTAAGTTCAATCCCCATACCGATAAAAAGAAAAAAAAACAGACTTAAACAAGCGAGGTGTGGTAGTGCATGCCTATAATCCCAGCACTCAGGAGGCTGAGGCAAGAGGATCGTTGAAAGTTTGAGACCAGCCTGGGCTACAAAGTGAGCCCAAGGCCAGCCTGAACTGCATAGCAAGACCCTGTCTCAAAAAAACAAAAATAAAATACATAAATAAACCTTCACGGACTTGAAAAGCTTCCTTCAATCTGACAAAGGCTGCCTTCGAGAACCCTGCCCACCAGCCTCGGCACTGAAATGTCAGGGGCTCCTTCCAGCTCACAAGAGGAGGCTCCAGCTGCCCACCCATCTGCTGGTGGTGTCCTGGCCGACACCACAGAAAGGAAGGCGGAGATGGATGAAGAGCCCCATGGAGGCCAGGCAGCTCTAGGGTCAGGAAGGGTGAGGCACAGGGCACGGCCTTGAGCCCAGCTCCTCTCGAAGCTGAGGCAGAGGGTCCTGAGTGCGAGCCCTGCTGGCAGATTGGTGTGTGCCTGATTCACAGGACCAAAAAGGCAAGAGGAGAGGCACCAGCACCACAGAGGGAGTGGTGCTAGTCTGTGGTCCCGACAGACAGACAGACAGACAGACAGGAGGCCAGCTTCCTGAGGGTACCAGCTCTGCCCAGCCAATGTGTGCACCGTGGCCACCCTCGGGAGTGGACAAGTGCTCGGCAGCGAGGGGAGTGGGCACAGCTGGCATTGGAGCCACCTGCATGTGCCAGAGCTGACCAGCACTGCTCACCAGGTGACATCGGAAGGGGGTTCAGGTGCATGCTGAGGAGGCTGAGGCAGGTGGACCTCTGTTAGTTTCATTTCTCCTTGCTGAGACAAAATACCTGATATCCAAAATGAAGGAAGAAGGGTTTACTTAGCTCACAGTTTGTGGAGGTTTCAGGCCACACCCAGCCGGCTCAAAGGCAGGGTGGTGCATGGCAGAGGCAACGGTTCATGGTGGGGGAGGACAGCACAAGCAAGGTCAGAAGGGGCAAAGGGGACGCCCCTCTTACCCTCTAGGTCCTATGCAGGCCCTTGCCCCAGGAAGGGTGCAGTGCGCATCCCCAGTCCCAGCGCCAGACAGCGAACCAGCCAAAAGCTCTAAAGTAGCTGCCTTCAAAAGGCCCGCCAAGACCAGAGAGACTTTGAGGGGACATCCAGGCCCAAACTGTCACTGCCACTGTGAGCCTGGCCCAGCAGGCTACGTAGTCAGACACTACATAGTGGTGAGGGCTTAGAAACCAGCATGCTCTGAGCTGGGAGCTCGGGGACCCCATGAGTGGAGGGTGCCCTCTGTCACTGGTGTGACTGAAATCTAGGGTAGGTGTCTCCATAAAACTGTACCCCAGTAAAAGGCATTGCCACAGATCCCCCTCAGATCCTCTGGCTGTGTGCACGTTTCCCCTCAGGCCAGCCGCGTCTGCAGCAACTCAGGAGGCCTCTTTCACGAGGGTCCTCATCAAGTGCGACTGGAAATACAGTGGGCACTGCTGCTGAGTGTCCCTCCGTGGAAACGCAGGCCCAAGAGAACAGGACGCTGTGTCCTCCACTGCATTCACTGGGCCTGGCACCAGGGGACTTCTGGCTCCTCCCCCAAAGTCTAAACAACCTTGAAAGGGACTTTTCTTTTTCTGTGAGACAGGGTCTCACTAGAGAGTCTAGGCTGGCCTTGCACTCTGTGTTCCCCAGGTTGGCCTCACACTCGGTGATTCTCCTGCCTCAGCCTCCTAAAGGCTGGGATTACAGGTGTGCACCACCACACCTACCAAAAGAGAAATGTTTTGAATGGATTCAGGACATTGAGGCAGCCACGACCACACAGCTGAAGACCTTCAGGAAAGAACACTCCAGAGCTGCTGGGGAAAATGTCCTGGACGATGGAGAGTGTATCTGAAGTGAGGGGAGGGGACTCTTGGCAGTGTATCTTTTGCTGTTACAAATTTAAAAAAATAATAATAAACAACACTCACTGTATTATACCAGCCTAGCATGGCAGCACATGCCTGTAATCCCAGCACTTGGGAGGCTGAGGCAGGAGGACACAGTCACTGCAGGTTCAAGGCCAGCCTGGGCTACTTGGTGAGTTCAAGACCGGCTGAATATAACTCAGTAAACTACTGTCCGGCATGTGTGAGTCCTCAGGTTCAAATGTCCCATACTCCAAACACGGTCCATCCCAGTTGACCCCTGGATGAGAAAGCACATATGCCCCAGCCCAGCCGTGTGTGTGGACACCCACACCCCAGGGCTGGAGGCGCCGCCCCCTGGCACAGCCCTGACCTGGCACACAGGGAGGCCCGGCTTCACCCCAGCACCATGGACAGCAGGCACAGAAAGGAACACTCACACTCACAAATGCTCCTAAAACGCCAAGCCGAGTCTGGCGACGGCACCGGACTCACAGCTACTCGGGAGCCCAACACAGGGAAACACTGTCTCCAACACACAGGAGAATTCAATACTGACTCTTAAGATGGCAGGGGCACCTGGCTGCCCCAAATCAGGACTTACTATGGAGCCCATGGGGGATGTGATGGTGGCACAAAAAACAACCAGACAAGGGGCTGGGGGTTTAGCTCAGCGGCATAAGCACCTGCCTTGCAAGCAGGTGGTCGTGAGTTCGATCCCCGGTACCGATAAAAATGAAAAAGACCAAAAAAAAAAAACAACCAGACAGAGGACAGATCTGAACTTGAAAGTCATTTGAGAGGGTGTCCAGATGCCAAGCTTAGAGGAGGCCTTCTGAGTGGGGCCCCTGCTACCAGGGAAAAGCACTGTCCACACGGGAAAGATAGGCTTGACCCCACGAGAACGGAGTTGTTTCATTTTGTTTTGAGACAGGGTCTGGCTGAGTAGTTTAGGACCCTTCAGCTGCCCTTCAACTCATGGCAGTCCTCCTGCCTCAGCCTCCCAAGTGTGGGATGACAGGTGTGGTATGCACCACCAGGTCCAGCATGGAGGAGCTTAGCCTCTGTCCTCCGTACCTCAGACAGAGCTCATCAGAAACGCAGAACTCTGGGCTCAGTAAGGAGCACAACTCGAATTCTGATCAGGTCCCCAGGAGATTCAAGCATGGTTACCACCCAGCGCCAGGCTACATGGGTTTTCCGCTCTGATTTGTGTTTGAGTCCAGCCACATATGCGGCTGGGCTCAGTCCCCAGTGCTAGAGAAAGGTCCGTGAGGAGCCGCGGTGGGCATTTCTGGCTAGGGCCAAGCCCTAGAGAAGTATTCTCCTCTGATCTGCTCCAGCCCTGCCCCCAGACGGGGCCAGACCCGGCCTCCTCAACCCCAGCGTGGGCATCAGGATTGTCACAGGGACGCGGACTGGGTAGGAGCTGGCAGGGCAGAGCAAGCATGGTCCTAGCAAAGCCATCAGCGATGGTGGCTCTGGCAGTGTCACAGCTCAGTATGCACCACAGCAGAGATGTCCAGGGCCAGAGGTGCCTCACAAGGGCTGGGCCAGGCACCAAGCCCAGCTGTGGACAGATGCTGGCTGGGGTCCCCTGGAAGTCACCCAGGGTGCCACTCCCGGTGGACTGAGCAAACCTGGGCCCCAGTTTCCGGGCGTGGGGTTAGTAGGAAGCCAGCTGTCCCCTGCCCCTGTCAACTCCAGCAGCTGCCAGGCGGAGGCAAGTGGCCACTGTCCTTCTCCCAGGACAGGTCTGCCACCAGGCAGGGCTGGAGGTCATGAGCGCGTCCAGATAGCTCTGCACAGAGGGCTCAGTCCTGCCGCAATCTCTCACCTTGGAGCAGGCTCTAGTGTCCCTGTCCCAGGGCCACTGCAGCAGCCACAGCTGCGGACACCGGCCACACCTGCCCTGTCCTTTGCCCTCTGTGGGCGTCAGCTGGCCACGCAGGGATCCAAGTCCACAGAAAGGGGCAGCCCCCTCACGTCCTCAGGGCAGGTACAAGGCCATCACCACATAGAGGACCCAGCTGGTGGACACGAAGACCCCGAAGAGCAGGCTGACCAGCACGAGCAGGCGGGCCTTGCGTGACGCCTCCTCCGCCTGGGCCAGGTCCCCCCTGGCCAGCGCCGCACGGGTCTGCAACAAGACAGCAGTGAGGAGGACCCACTGGGCCACAGCCCACGGGGCCACGGGGACCACACCGCCCGGCCTGGGAAAGAAGGGATCGAGGCTGGGCATGGGCATCGACTGCCCCAGGCCTCCGAAGTCCCAGGGGAGCTGTGCTGAGAGCCTCAGCTCCCCGAGGGCCTGAGCACGGCCCCTGGGTGACTGCTCTGTTAGTGTCACCCAAGGGCGCCACCCAATCCCCAGGGCCACAGCCTGTGGCCCCGTGTGAGGTCAGTAAGGCCGGGAGGGTAGGAGGTAAAGGGATTGGTGGTGGCCAGAGGGAGGAGTGCAGACAGGAGGGGAGGAGGGCTGGAGTGGCTGATGGCAATGGAGGACGAACGGACACACAACGGGTGGGTAGGTGGACAGGTGGACAGTGAGTGGGTGGATGAGTGGTGGACAGTGGAGGGTAAATGCAGGATGGGGGAGGGGGTGAGTGGGCAGGGGCTGGGCAGGGTATGGAAAGTCGGATGGGGGGACAAACGGACGGTGGACGCATATGTAAGTGGTGGGGGATGGGTGAGTAGATGGGCAGAAGGACAGGTAAGCAGGTGGACGGTGGACAAACTGACGGTGGACGCCAGATGGTGGGCGGATGCTGCCGGGGAGGTGGCAGCTGGCAAGTGGGAGCTGGACAGGAGACGCAGGCGGGGACGGAGGGGCAGACAGGGGCAGGAGAGGGGACAGCTGCCCACCCGAGATGGGCACGGGCCTCCCAGTGCCCGCACCCCCCATGGGAGCCCTGAGACACTGTGGCCCCGGCAGAGGCCCGCCCCGCCCACCTCGTGGGAATAGACGACAGCCAGGAGCCCGGAGAGCAGGCAGCAGAAGAGCATCACCAGCACCGACTCGGTCATGTAGTCCTTGGGCGGCGGCCTGTGCTCCCCTGGGGCCACCACCGGGCTGCAGTACTGGGGACAGAAGGGGACTTTGGCTCTGCCCTCCTGGGGACCTGGGACCTCCTCCCACCACCGGTGTTTCCTTTCCTTTCCTTTTTCCTACTTTCTATTTTTTCTTCCTGTCTTCTCTCCCTTCCCCCTCTCTCCCTCCTTCCTCCCTGGCCAAATTGCTAGACCACCCAAGCTGGGCAACTTGGGATCCTCATGCCTCAGCGTCTTTGTGTTCTAAGATCACAGGCATTGGCCTGCGCACCCCATCAGTCATCACCTACAGCTCGAGGGCCCTGAGCCTTCACCATAGATGCTGCCTTCCTCTCCCCTACATAGCCAAATCCTGTCCACCCCAGGATCAGCTGCCCTGCACGCCTTTGCTGTGTCCTCTTCTGGTAGTGCCCTCTCCTTCTCCTGCCTGAACTCCTATTCATCCCTCAGAACCCAGCCCTCCCGCCCCAGCTGCTCGGGTGCTCACCGTGGGGAAGGCGAAGGCCCCGGGCGCTGCGGGCGGCGGGAAGAGGGGGCCAGGCGGGAAGAGTGCGGCGGGCGCCGGCGGCAGCAGCACAGGCGGCGGGAAGGGTGCAAAGAGCGCAGGAACCGCCTTTGGGTCCGGCGGCGCGTAGGGCGGGGGCTCGGGCATAAAGCCGATGTGCGGGGCGCTGCTGCTCTCAGCCTTGGGTCCTGGCGACAGGGACAGCGACTGGGACGGGGCCGTGAGGTCCGCGGGTCCCGGCTCACCGCCCCTCGCCGCCACCGGCGCTGCGTCCTCCTCGGGCGCTTGGGCCTCGCCCAGGAGCCGCGGGCGGCGCGGGAGCTGCGGGAGCGCAGGGTGCGTGGGGTCCGCGGGTTCCACGGGGTCTGCGGGGGGCGCGGAGTGCTCAGGGCTCTGGGGACTCTCGGGCTCCTTGGGGCGCGCAGGGCTCTGGGAGTCCTCGGAACAGGCGGGGCTACCGCGCCCCTTGGTGTCCGGACCTGGAAGAGGACAAGCAAGCGTGACCGCCCGTCCTCTAGCGCTGTGGCCTGGCCCAGGCCACCTCACTTGCTGAGCCGAGAGCAGGAGCATTGGGAAAAGCACCACAGGGAGATTTTGAGCTAAAGTTCGTTGCATCTGAAATTTTAAAAGTGACCGACCCAGGTGGACTTGCTGCCCACACCTGTAATCCTAGCACTCTGGGAGGCTGAGGCAGGAGGATCGCTATGGGTTTGAGGCCAGCCTGGGCTACATAGTGAGACCCTGTCTCAAAAACCCAAAGAGAAACAAATGAAAATTAGGAAAAAACAATAACAGCAATTCCAGGAAGAAGCAGATGCTGCTGGTCCTGAGCGCCCCGAGGTGCAGGCCCCAGGCTCTCCTCGAGGACCCACCCAGGAGGAGCCAACGGCCAAAGCCTGTGTGAGCTGGGAGCACAGTAGTTGGTCCCAGTCACAGGTGTTCCATGCCTGGCTCCCTGGCCACGAAACCCTGGGGAAAAGCCACCAGCCATTTAATTTGGGGATGGAAACTGGCCACAGGTAACCGATGCAGCTACCACTCAGTGAAAAGGACATTGTCAGCTGGGCATGCGGCTGCACGCCTGTGACCCCGGCACTACGGGAGGGAGCCGGGGCAGGAGAATCACCCGGTCTAGCCCAGTGTGGGCAATTAATAGAAATTAACTAACCAACTCTGCTATGACTATGTTCTAGAAGTCTGCCCGCAGGAAAGAGAAGCAGTGGCTCAAGTGCAGGGAGGAGTCACCAAGGATACAAGAAGCTCTCAGGGCACCGGGGATGTAGCTCAGCAGCACGGCGCCTGCCTGGCAAACGTAAGGCCCTGAGTTCGAGTTCTGCGAGTCCCAGTACAAAAGGAAAGCTCTTTGGGATGTCACATCCATTTTGATGCGGCGAAGGCTTTGTGGGGCCTCATACTCCAAATGATCAGAACCCGTGTCTTAGACACATGCAGCTTGGTGAGCTTGGATTAGACCTCAGTCAAAACAGTAAACAAAACTATGAAGCCCAAACTGGCTTTAAAATTCTGCCGATCCTCTTGCTTCAACTTCTGGAGTGCTGGGATTCTAGGCATTCGCCACCACGCCTGGGGCAAAAAGCTTTAAATGAGTATTTGTTTGATGGATAGCTCCGCTAGGTAGAAATATTCCAGGCAGGCAGGCAGGGCCAGGCCCTGGGGGGGCTCAGAGCAGGAGACCAGAGCGCCCTGCGGCTGTAGCCAGGGCGCATCTGGAGGAGGCCAGGCCTCAGACAAAGACGCAGGGACCAGGCCTGCACACCTGCCCCGAGGAGGCACCAGAGATGACAGCTGGCACCACCGGGCCATGACATCTGACAGACATCGGGCACCCGGTCACCGGGGGGCGACCAGGACCCCCGATTCATGTCTTCCACAAACGTCCTTGTCCTTTCCAGGCGCACTCGCAGCATGACCTGCCCCCCTCCCGGGTCAGCACTGCCTCAGCAGCCACGCTGGGCTCCTCACTGTGGACCACGGCTTTGCACTCGCCTGGTGAGCCTGGAAAACTCGCCCAAGACAGTGGGGTACAGGACAGCCCTCCCGCCTTGGGGAATTCTGTCCCTCAGTAAACATTCCTGCCCTGACCTCTGCTGTTCCTTAGGGTTCATTCTTTGGTTTTGGGGAACACAAACATATCACAAGTCTGGCAGACTGGGGTTACACTATTCCCCTGTATCATGTGGAGCTCCTGATCCTCATATAGGGGAAAGAAATTCCCAGCCTGCTAGCTGTCCAGTATGAGTTTGTGTTCTCTAAAATTTGAATTTTAGGAGCATCAGAGGTGAAGAGCAGAATTTATTTATTGAGAGAAAGAATGGGCTGCCAGGGACCCTGTCTTTTCTAGGGCCTTTTATAGAACAAAACCATGAGGTGAGACGGGTCCAAGGTGGGTCCAAGGCGGGTGGACAGAACTATGGTCAGTTAATGGCATTAACTGCTCAGGTAAAACTGATTAATCGGGGACAAATGGGGATGGAGTCCTGGAGCAGGCGGGCATGCTCACCAGCAGGGACCCTTCGTGTAGGGCTGGAGGTGACTCCTGGCTCCCCAGGGTGACAGAGATCTATTTGCACCGTCACTTGACATGGGTGCATCTGCTGGATCCTTTGAGACCTGGCCCACAGCAGAGGTGCCCGTCTCCTCCAAGGTCACCAGACATCTGGTCCTCTGTGCGGGCTTCCTCGAGGGCCCAGCCCTGTCTGACTGCCTACACTGTCTGACTCACTCATCTGCCTGTGACAGTACCCTCTGGAGGTTCTGTATCACGTGCCCCCAGGCGTGGTGGCACACACTCTAGGACTCCAGGAAGCTGAGGCAGGAGTGTTGCGAGGTCACAGGCAGCCTGCTGGACAGGCTACGCAGGAAACCACCAGGGCAGAGGCTGCCAGACCCCAGGCCGTGCAGTGTGGACCTGCCTGTGACTCAGGGTAAGCCCAGGGCCTTCGTGTGTGCGTGTGTGTGTGTGTGTGTGTGTGTGTGTGTGTGTGCTGAAATTTTTCCAAGGGACGGAGGATAGAACCCAGGCCTTTGTAGGCAAGAGCTATATGAGTAAGTCTCACCCCCAGCCCTTTTTAAATATTTGAGGCAGGATCTCACTAGATCATCCAGGCTGGCCTGGAACTGGAGACCCTCCTGCCTCAGCTTCCCCAGCAGCTGGGATGACAGACTATGGGCAGTCCAAGCAATCTGTTGTTACAATCTCGGTCTCACAAAGGGAGCTGATGTTCCTAGCAGGGGCTCAAGGACTCAGGTCCCTGGAGGAGGCCAGGCCCTGTCACAGGAATGCCAAGCCTGTGACCCACTTACCATAACAAAAACAAGCAGTTTCTTTGCTCCCCAGGGCAAAGCCTTGGCTGAGGGAGTGGGCACAGCTGGTAAGTGAATCTGAGCTTCTCAGGTTCTCCTGACACCGGAGAACTCAACTCAAGCCGGGGGACACTGCGGCCAGGAGAGGCCAGGGAGGGGACAGGGCTGGGCTTTGGGAACACAGGGCCAGGCTGTCCCTCCCCAGGCCCTGTGGGGCAGGGCAGGTGGGACCTACATACCCACCCACAGCCCCGCTCGCTCGTAGGGCCAGGGGGACAGGGCTGGGCTGTGCAGCTCTGCTCCTGTCTTGTCCCGTGGGTGTCCTCACAGGCCAGGACTCCGGACATGGGCCTGGGGACTCGGGATCCCTGGGCAGCAGGTCCCACCCAGTCCCTGGGTCCTACCTGGTCCTAGGCTCACACTGTGGGGTCCCTGAGGGTCCCCTGTCCCTCCCTGAGGACCCAGCCTGGCCACTAGTGAACAAAGCAACTGGTACAGACATGGCGGGAAGGCACTGTGAGGTCCCCAGGTCCCCCCACCCAGCGAAGGGCCTGGGCTCCCCTACCCTGCTGGGGGTCCTCAGTGTGGTCTAATCAGGCCCCGCAGCCTCACCTGAGTCCATGGCGCTGGGCCTGTCCCGGCTCAGGTGGCCCCCTCGCTGCCAGTTAATGATTTTCCCCTGTGTGCCAACAGCAGCACTGCAGGAGGACTCGTGGTACCTGCCGGCGGCACCGAGAAGCAGAACAGTGCCGGCTGGGGACCTGGGGACAGGCAGGGCCTCACCGCTCCGGACTGGGGTGCGGGGGGAGTGGCAATGCTTTGGCCACCAGAGCAGGAGGGCCAGCCCAGCCGGTGACAACAGGGAGTGGCTGAGTGTGTGCCTGACAGGCAAGGGGCAGCAGAGCTTCACAATTACAGCTGTGCCCCACCCCGGGAGCTGGACATGGCCGTGCTGCTGTGAAATTTCCTAGGGTTTAAAGTAACACGTACGCTGAGCCTGGGGTGCGCACCTGTAACCCCAGTGCCTGGGAGGCTGATGCAGAAAGGCTGCCACATGTTCAGGTCTGGCTGGGACTACTGGGTGAGGCCCTGCCTTTTTTTTTTTTTTTTTTTTTTTGTCTTTTTCCTTTTTATCGGTACCGGGGATCGAACTCACGACTGCCTGCTTTCAAGGCAGGTACTTATGCCGCTGAGCTAAACCCCCAGCCCCTGAGGGCCTGTCTTTAAAAAACACAATATGGGGGCTGGGAATTTAGCTCAGCGGCATAAGCGCCTGCCTTGCAAGCAGGCAGTCATGAGTTTGATCCCCGGTACTGATAAACACACACACACACACACAAAATGAATAAATAAATAAATAAATAAATAAATAAATAAGGTGCCTGCAGGAGGCCTGGGGAGGCCGAGGCAGGAAGGTTGCCAGGAATTGGAGGCCAGTCTGGACTCCCAAAAAACAGACACGATGAATGTGGTCATTATGCACACCTAGACTGTACCAATAAATGTTTTTTTTTTTTTTTAATTGGTACCAGGGATCGAACTCACGACTGCCTGCTTGCATGGCAGGCGCTCATGTCACTGAGCTAAATCTCCAGCCCCATGTAACTGATTTTTTAAAAAAGCAAGCAGAGGCCCGGGATTTAGCTCAGTGACACAGCGCCTGCCGGGCAATCGTGAGGTTGTGAGTTCAATCCTGGGACCAAAAACCAAAAAAACCAATACGAAAGCAGCCAAATAAAAAAACCTCCAGTCAACCAATCAATCAGTCAAACAGGCACATGAACCTCCCCTAACTCAGAAGCAGGCCGCATGGACTCACCCCAAAGTGCCAGGAATACGCCTGACTCGGAGGCCCAGGGTGGGGTGTGGCTGGTGTCCCCAGACAGCGACAGGACATGAAGTCTGCAGCTGCGAGGGCAGAAGCGGGACGCGGAGATGAGAAGGGGAATCTTCTGTGGCTCCCGGGGGTGCCGAGGACGCTGACCCGCACAGCTAGGCGGGGGCGGGGGAGTCTCTCCCGGCAGTCGTGCCCAATGGGGTGTAGATCGAGCCACCCCTCACAGTCCAGAAACCCTATGCTATCTTTTTATTTTGTTTCACTTTCGAAGCAGGGTTATGATATGTAGTTGGGGCTGGCCTTGAACTCGTGGAGGTCTTCCTGCCTCACCCTCCCAAGAGGTAGGATGACAAGCTTGAGCCATAACACTTGGCTCAGAAATCCCTAAACCGGAAACTGACGTTAAAAATAAAAACAGGGAAACAGGCATGGTGGTACACGTTTGTAACCCCAGGTACTCAGGAGGCTGAGGCAGGACGATTGTGCGAGTTTGAGGCCAGCCTGGATTATATAGTGAGTTCAAGGCCAGCCTGGGCTACATAATGAAACCTTCTCTCAAAAAGCAAAACAAATACAGGCAGTCACTTGGATGTGGTGTCACTTTTTTGTGGCTGTAATTTCTGCTCTCTGTGAGACTGAGGCAAGAGGTTCCCAATTTCCAAACTCACCCTGGGCAATTTAGTGATTTAGCCAGGCCAGATCTCAAAATCAAAAATAATAAAGAAAGGGCTGGGGCTGGAGCTCAGTGTAAAGGCCCTGGGCTCAATCCCCAGTACTGCAAAGAAAAGAAACAGGAAATAGAACACAGTAATATACCTGCCTGTGGTGAACAGGAGAGGACAGGCAGATAAGAAGCCCAGCTGGAGGTGGGGGATTTTAGCTCAGTGGCTTAAGCCCTTACCTGGTTAAGTGCAAGATCTTGAGTTTGGTCCCTGGTACCAAAAAAAAAAATTTTGGGGTGGGGGATTTAGCCCAGCAGCACAAGTGCCTGCTGGGCAAATGCTGAGTTCCATCCCCAGGACCCACCCCCCAAAAAAACCCAGCTCCCCTGTGCAGGAGGGTACCTTGAGGGACAGACCTTTCTCTGGAACCCAGGAAAGTGGCAGTGAGCCCCACACTGGCCAGCGCCTCAGCAGGGTGATATTTAAACTCCATGTCACTTGGGCCACTCTGGGCCTGCTGTGGGTCCTTCCAGCACAGGGACAGCATGGGGACACACTGGGGTTCCAGATGCCCTCACGGGGCACAGGCGGCCAGGCCCCCTCCAGGTGAAGCCCTTTGGAGGTAACCAGAGATGCCAGCATCAGCACTGGCCTGTGCAGGCTCCCGTCTGGGTGCTGGGCAGCCTTCTGCCCTTGGGGACACTTTGGGGACAGGTGATCAGAGCTGCCCCACTTGCCTGGGGCCGGGGTGTCCCCTGCCCACTGCCTTCTGGGCACTCACTGCCCGCAGAGCCTCCTCTGATGGCACCACCCACCCTGACTGGAGGATGGGAGGGGTCTGAGGACCACGCGGGGCTCCAGAGGTGTCCTGAAAACCCGGACTGTTCGGAAGACGAGGAGGACTGCTGTGGGGGGCAGGCCCAGACTGTGGCCTTGGGAGCATATAGGAATTGGGGTGCGGACAGGAACAAGAGTTGGGGTGCTTAGGAGGCACAGGGCCCCAGAGCTGGGCGGGTGGCAGAGGCCAGTGCAGATGGGACCCTCCCGCCTCATCCTCACGGCCAAGGGTCTTCTACCCCTCCTGTTGCGGTTTTTTCAGGCCTGGTTCCTCCGGGCCCCGCCCCTCCGCCCCCGCCCCTCCGCCCTGCCCCGCCCCTTCCTCCCGGCCCGGCCCACCCCTCCCGCCTCTCCCTCCAGGCCCCGCCCCTGTCCCGCTACTTCCAGACCCCGCCCTCGGCTCCGCCCCCGTCGCGCAGCCCTGTGACGCATGCGCCTTGCGCCCCGGAAGCGGCCCGCGCCCCGACCCCGGCGGCCTAGGTGGGCGGCGCGGCGGTCGGGGCCGCGGGGCCGACATGGCTGCTGCGGGAGGCGGCGACTGCGAGGACCCCGCGCCGGAGCCCGAGCGTCCCCACCCACGTCCCTTCCTGATCGGGGTGAGCGGCGGCACCGCGAGCGGGAAGGTAAGGGGCTGCTCCGGGCCTGGTGCCTGCGCCTTGGCGTCCGGCCGGTGCTAGGGCGGCCGGCGCAGGGGTCGGGGTCGGGGTCGGGGTTGGGGTGGGGGTCCTTGTGCGGGGGCGAGGCTGGGCCGCGGCGGGCCAGGCCCGGCGGGAGCACAAGCAGGCGGCCGTCCTCGCCCTTCCAATCCCGCCGGCCCCGGTCCTCCCGTGGCACCTGTGGCAGCGGGCAGGGCGGCCCGGCTCGCGGTGTCGCTGCAGGACCCCGACCTCCCGCTGCGGGCGGCTTCTGTCCCCAGACCACGGTGTGTGAGAAGATCATGGAATTGCTGGGCCAGAACGAAGTGGACCACCGGCAGCGCAAGCTGGTCATCCTGAGCCAGGACCGCTTCTACAAGGTGCTGACCGCCGAGCAGAAGGCCAAGGCCCTGAAGGGCCAGTACAACTTCGACCACCCAGGTGCGGGCCGAGAGGGCGCCGGAACCCCGCAGGACTCAGAGGGGCGGGGCTGGGTGGGAGCAGTAGGACCCCCATCTCCCCCCCCCCCCCCCCCGCAGTGCACTGCCTGAGGGCACCCGGTTGTTCCCTGCTGTGACCTGCACAACTACAGGGGACCAACACTGGTCCCTGTCACTCCCAGATGTGAATCATGGGAGCAGCCCCTGTTTCAGGTCCTCTGTGGCCCCCGTGCCCAGCTATGCTAACCCTGAGGCCAGGCAGTTGTTCCTTCCTGTCCTGGCACAGGGGCAGCTGGGCTGTTGCCTTCTGCTCCACCTCTGCAGATGCTTTTGATAACGATTTGATGCAAAGCACTCTGAAACACATCGTGGAGGGCAGAACCGTTGAAGTCCCAACCTACGATTTTGTGACCCACTCAAGGTAAGCGAGCGGTCACAGTAGGCCCTGCAGCAGGTGGTTTTGTGGATGTCCCCTCCACTGCCCCCATCTGGTGTTGGCACCTGGGGACCAGGATCTCCCTGGCAGGTTGCCAGAGACCACAGTGGTGTACCCCGCGGATGTGGTGCTGTTTGAGGGTATCCTGGTGTTCTACAGCCAGGACATCCGGGACATGTTCCACCTGCGCCTCTTCGTGGACACGGACTCTGACGTCAGGCTGTCTCGGAGGGGTGAGACGATGGGCTCTGGCTGGGCGGCCTGGTGGGGTTGGCCACCAGCCTGCAGAGGGCTGAGCGCATCCTGTCACCACTGCAGTTCTGCGGGATGTGCATCGCGGGCGGGACCTGGAGCAGATCCTGACCCAGTACACCACTTTTGTGAAGCCGGCCTTTGAGGAGTTCTGCCTGCCGGTACTGCTTGCGGCCGCGTGCTCCCTCTTGACCCATGGCGCCTGTCCCGTGCACACTGAGTCCCGAGTGCATGTTGCTTGTTACTGTGCCTGAACCCCCAGGAGTTCTCAGCTCTTCCCACTGTGAGGCCAGCTTGTGTCTGCCCTGCCTGGGGCCTTACAGTCTTTTTTCACCTGCACGTTTTGCTTATTCTCCAGGCGGAGACTTCTGTGTGCTCTCTGCCGACAGCCAGCTGCTGTCCAGCAGGCATTCAGCGGCTCCTCCAGGGCCAGTGTCCCTGGGACGCTGTGGGCTCATGCAGGCTTCCCGACTGGCTTGTAGACAAAAGGATTCACTGGCTCTTTTTTCAGAGTTAGAGCTGGGGCTGTTGGTGCTATTCAAATTGGAATGGTTGTTTTAGTTGGTTTTCTTTTTGAGACGGGGTCTCACTATGCAGTTCAGGCTCGCCTTGAGCTGACTTTGTAGCCCAGGATGGTCTCAAGCTTACATTGATCCTCCTGCCTCAGGCTCCCGAGTGGTGGGATGACAGGTGTGCACCACCACCCTCGACTCAAATTGGAGAATTGTTTTTTTTTTTTTTTGTCTTTTTCATTTTTATTGGTACCGGGGATCAAACTCACAACTGTCTGCTTGCAAGGCAGACGCTTATGCTGCTGAGCTAAATCCCCAGCCCTGAGTGTTTTATTTTTCTATTTCATTTCACTTCATTTCATTTTTTGAGATAGAGTCTCACTGTATAGCTCAGGCTGGTCTCAAACTCATAGTGATCTTCCTGCCTTAACCTCCCAAGTGCTGGGATTAAGGGCATGGGCCACCATGCCTGGATGGAGTGTTTTAAAGAGAAATTTATCATTATCTTGCCTCAAGAAAGCAGCACAGAGAAACTGGAACTAGGATTCCTGCTTTTAAAAAGTAGAAGAGAGTTTTGCCTATGGCTAGTCAAAGAACACTTTTTCTCACTTTCATATTTCCTGGAAGCTAATTTGAAAAGCACACTGGCTGTTTCGTATTTGCCAAGGCTTCACTGACAGAGCGGAGGTTTGCAGGCAGCCCCAAGACGGGGCTCTGACCCAGTGATCCCGCACCCACCCCGAGCCTCCCTCACCCTTGGGGTGGCTGCTGGTGAAGTCCAGCTCACCTGGCCCCAAAGCAGCTGCAGTCTGTCCACACCCACTGGCCCTGGACTTCCAGGCTCTGGGCTCCCTCCCTCCACCCTGGCCCCTGCTGTCTCGTGTCAGCCCCCTTGCACTGTGATGCCACCCTGTGTGCCTGATCCATGTAGATGCCTGTCTCATATGTCCAGCTCCCTCGGCCCAAGTTCTTAGGCGCAGGGCAGCAGATACTTGGCAGGACCGTGCCTGGGAGCTCCTGTCTTGTGGCTGGGTGCCCACTTGGTGGCCCTGACATTGTCTGCTAGTGACAGGTGTGAGGCAGGGGTGTCCCTGTGTACATGAGAGGCTGTGGCATGGTCCCGTCCTGCCCGCTTCTCTAGGCCTTGGCAGGAGAGGTGACCAGGTTCCAGTGTGGAGAGGCACACACTGAACCTGGTCCAGTCAACTCATGATGGGCACAAAGGACTGTGCCCCATGGGGGTGCCTGGGAAGGATGGAGGGAGCATGGTGGGGACAGTCTGGGCAGTTTCCTTAGCCCCATCACCTTGGGAGACTATCATGCACACTGGTGACAACTGCCTGAGTCTCTGTCCCCCACTTACAAGTGATACCCGTGTCTCAATGCTTCTGGCCCTGGTCCCCCTTGAGAGGATGGAGGCTCAGGAGAACCCCTTTTGTGTCTTGCAGACCAAGAAATATGCTGATGTGATCATCCCTCGCGGGGTTGACAACATGGGTAAGGGACTGTCCACTCCTGTCCCCTTCCCATCTCAGAGCAAAGACCAGTACAGCCTACCTCAGGGATGCTTGGTGTTTACCCAGCGCACAGGTTCAGTATATACTTTACAAACATACTCAGAGCTTGGGTGTGGTGCCGTACACCCAGAGTCCCAGCAACGTGGGAGGCTGAGGCAGAAAGACTGAGTTCCAGGCCAGCCTTAGTGAGCCCATGTGTGAGAATGAAATTCAGGATGTGGCTCGGTGGCAGAATGCTTGTCAACATGCACAGTGCCCTGAGCTCAAGCCCCAGTGCCACCAAAACAAAAGAATGAAAATTCAAAAGAAGGCTAGAGGTGTAGCTGAGTAATTGCCTAGGTGTGTGCAGCCCAGGTTCAATATCATGTGCTGCCCCCTGCAGAGGCAGCCGCTTAAGAGCTGTTGCCCAGCGCAGGTCCCATTAGCAGAGAGCCCTGTAACCAGGCCAGGTGGACATGTGTCTAGGTGGAGAGGCAGACCCTGGGCTGGGAATGTCCTGTGCTGTCCTGGGGACCCCTGCTGAGCCCTCACAGTGGGGGAGGTGCAGGGGCTGGGGCTGACTGCTGAGGGCCGCCTGCCTGTCCCCTGCAGTCGCCATCAACCTGATAGTGCAGCACATCCAGGACATTCTCAACGGCGACCTCTGCAAACGCCACCGAGGTGGCGCCAATGGGCGCAGCCACAAGAGGACCTTTCCTGAGCCCGGGGGCCACCCCGGGGCGCTAGCTGCCGGCAAACGGTCACACCTGGAGTCTAGCAGTAGGCCCCACTGAACGCCTCCGGGGATTGGGCCTGGGGCTGCTCCTGGAGGCCTTGGGACCCAAGTGTCCTGGTGAGGAGGAGGCAGTCTGGGTTGCCAAGGCAGGAGGAGGTCAGCTTCGCTGGGTCCCTGGAGGCCCTGGGGTGCACAGGGAAAGCCCAGGGTGCCCACTTTTGGAAGGAGTGCATCTGGTATAGGGGAAAGCAGACATGGCCAATTCATGGCAAGGTCAGGTTCCCAGCTGCGCCTCTACTGGTGACCAGGACATTCGCCTTCGTTGCTATGCAGCACAAGGCCAGCCTCGACCTGGAGGCCTCATCCCCGGGCGGGTACTGGGCCATGGTTCGGGGCCCTGGGAGGCAGGGAAGTGGCCGAGCCTGGTGAGCTGGCCCCAGCCCAGGTACCAGCGGAGGTTTCTGCCCAGGAGCCTCCCACGGTCCCTGCCTGCATCGTGCGAGTTAGCCGTCCAGCCATCCCTCCCTGTGGGGGCCCTGTTGCAAGTGCTGTTTGCTGCCAGCACTGCTGTGGTGGACACGTGTGGCTCCTCACCATGGTTGCGTAGCCACGTGTCCTGACTTGGTGGTGCGGTGGAGTCTGTGTCTCAATCAATAAACAGCTCCAGGCAGCAAAGCCAGGTTGTCCCTTGTTATTTACATTTTTAAAAGGCGGGGATGGTGACAGTGTCCAGGTAAGCCAGACCCCAGGGCTGCAGGTGAAGGTGGAACCCCATGGTAAGACTTCGGAAGTGACAGCCTCAGGTGCCTGTAAGGACAGGTCTGCTGGACCCCCTGAGGCCTGCTCAGGCCAGTCTGGGCCTGAGGACTCAGCCCACAGCTGAGGGAGGCCCTGGCTCTGCGTCAGGCAGGGCCCCATGCTGGCTGCAGGCCGAGGGGACAGGCAACAGCTTGTGTTGGAAATGGTGGATGGATTCAGCCGCAAGGCCCCGAGAGAGACCTGTTTGGAGAAGGAGGCCCAGATACACCCTGAGGTCGCACCTAGGCAGGGGTCTTGTGCTCAGGAAGGGGCATGGGTTGCCAAGGGGCTGGCAGCTGGCCCTACCCCCACACTGAGCCCCCATCCTAGGGTTTTTGGATCAGGATGTCCCAGCTGTCTCTCCAGTGCAGGGCCAGGAGCTCCCCTGGGGACAGCGGTCTGTCCCCATAGGTGAGTGGGCGCAGCATGTTGGACACGTGGCAGGCGGCAGAGTACCAGGTGACCACTAGGGCACTGAAGACACCTCGCTGCACCTGGGTCCTGTGGGCAGAGGCGCCGAAGCCTGAGCACGGGCTCCACCCTGCCTCCCAGCAGCTTCCGGGCCCCTGTGCTGTACCTGAGGCTGTGTGGCAGCCAAGCCCTCCCAGTCTGAAGCACCCTGCAGTGCCGTGTCCCCAACCCTGGCCCATGAGCCCCTTCCCGTCCACTCGGCCTCCCTGCCCGTCCGGCAGCCGCACCGGCACAGATGGTCCCAGGTGTGCTGCAGGACAAGAGGCAGCAGCAGCAGCTGGAAGGCAAGCGCAGGCAGGTAGTGGTAAAGGAACAGCGTCTTCTCCATCAGGAAGAAGGGCAGGTAGTTCACGGCCCAGCCACCGCCGCACAGCGCCCCGGCCAGCACCCAGCGCTGCCACACATCTGTGGGGAGCACAGTGTCAGGCGGGGGTAGCCGGGGCCCACACAACAGCCCGCTAGCCCACAGGGTGAAGCCAACCCAAGTGAGGTGTCTGAAGGGACACAGAGATAGGGCCCTGTTGCCCTGCGGCGGCAGAGGGCTGGGCAGCATCCTGTGGTGCCGCCCGTCCTGGGAGGTCTTTCCTGGCGACACATGAGAGGCCAGAAGCCTGCCCATGGCTCTCCCTGCCACTCTGCCCCCTGGGACCCTCATGCCAGGCACCATCTCCTGGGCGTGGGGCAGTGGACCCCTCCCTGCAGAACAGCTCCTGGGAAGGCTGGGGCAGCAGGGGCAGCACTAACCCTCAGGGAGGTCGTGGATGTCCCTCTGCCGCCTGAGCAGGTACCACAGGAAGAGCAGCACGTAAGTGGCCGTGGCCATGCTGGCTGAGGCCCAGATCACAAGGTTCCCAAGCAAGTGGATCTGAGCCTGTGCGCAGGGAAGGTCGGGGTCAGCACACAGCAGGGTCCAGCACCCTGCAGCCCACCGCCCAGCTGTGTCCCCAGGAGATCCATTCTAGAAGAGTCCTGATAGCACAGCTTTGTACAGCAAATGGGAAAACTAGGGAGGTCTCTTTTCTTCTTTTGGGGGTTTGCAAAGGCTCGGCGTGCAACCCAGGGTCCCCCACAGGCCAGGCCAGTGCTCTACCCCTGGGGTGCACCCCCAGCCCTTCTCATTTTTTGAGACAGCGTCTCACTAAACTCAGGCTGGGCTCAAGCTTGCAAACCTCCTGCCTCAGCCTCCTGAGTAGCTGAGATACCCTGTGCCCAGCCATGTCCAGCTCAAGGTTCATTAACGACTGAGCTCTTCACGGAGAGGAGGTTGTGCCGCCCCAGACCTGAGGGGAGAACCCCTCACCAGCACCTGTGCTCCACTGCCCTGGGCAGAGCGGTGAGGCAGGGCACTAACTGAGCTGGTCACAGTGGCCGGGGAGGCCCAGCCACGAAGGGCTGTGAGGGCGTGTCCTGAAGGCCACTTTGGCCACCACACCCGTGCCCACTGTCCCGTTCCCTCGCGTGCTCACACTGCTCCGGGGGTTGAGCCAGTAGGGGATGTTGCTGTCCAGCGTGACCCAGTCCAGCGGCGTGGAGCTGTACCTGTGCTCTGCCTCCTCGCTCTGCAGCGTCAGCATTCTCCACTGTGGGACAGCATATGCTGGGGGGCGTCCGGGGCCAGGGCCAAACAGAGGCTCCCCGGCTCCCCGTCAGCGCAGACCCCAGAGCCACACCTCTGCCCGTGTCGCCTGGCCAGGGACCGCAGCACACCCCAGCGATGGAAGTGTGGAGCTGATACAGAACCTCTCACCCCTCTGGCTGGCTATGAAACCATGGGGGGAGGGCATGGCAGCCCCGGGGGGACAGCCATTGCGGGAGCGTCACCTGCAGCTCCAAGAATCTGGCCATGAAGCTGAGGTTCAGGCTGAAGTTCGCCTTCATGGGTGTGTGCAGCTCTAGCTCCTGGCCCCGCTGCTCCTGGCCTGTGAGATGCCCAGCGTGGTGGTCAGGGCTTCTGCACCCCAGGCTTCCCCGCGAGCCCCGCAGTAGAGAAAGCCAGGGCTCACTGGTGCGGTAGTGGTGCTCCTCCACGTTCCACGCCATGCTCTCATGCTGGCCCCTCGACAGCTTCTCGCCCACCACCTCCAGCTGCCGGAAGCCCCACTCAGGCAGGTGTGCCCCACTCAGCTGGCAACACCGAGGAGACAAAGCAGCGTTGGGTTGGGGCTCATGCCTGCCAGCCAGAGTCACCCTGGCAGGGGCTGGGACCTTGATAGGGCTCCACCCCGCCACCTTCCCCCACCCCGCGTGGGACCCATGTGCACCTTGAGCACGGCAGACGTGTTCAGGTGCACAAAGCGCACGGTTGACAGGATAGTCTTCCAGGTGTCCCTGTCCGACTGCCTGTTCACGATGTCCTGTAGGGACAGCTCATCAGGTGGCAGGGACCCTGTGCCAGCATGCCAGGCCCAGGGCTGCAGGCCAGCGCCACATGGCTCTCAGGCCACAGCTGAGAGATGGGACACATGTGGAGGCTGGTCAGGGACCGGCCCGTGGGACTGGGGACCGGGAGAGGACTCCTGAGAACAGCACAGCCGATGCCAGCCCGAGCTCCTGCCCTGTGCAGTAGGGTTGCTTTGTTTCCTGTCCCTCAGCAGGGCCTGCACTGCGAGAGCTGTGGGCAGGACCCATGCGGGCAGCACAGAGGAGCCCAGGCCAGTGGCAAGGGCTGAGCCAGCCACTGTCATCTCGCAGACCCTGGCTTGGCTTGGCCAGGCAGGTGCAAGGCTGAAACATGGGAAGAAGGGACAAGCCAGAAGCCGGATGGGGCACGTGCCTGTGATCCCAGCACTCCAGGAGGCTGAGACAGGAGTGTCGCAAATTCAGGTCCAGCCTGAGCAACTCAGGAATTTAGTGAGACTCTGACTCAAACATAAGAGATGGGGCTGGGGATTTAGCTCGGCGGCATAAGCGCCTGCCTTGCAAGCAGGCAGGCGGGAGTTCAATCCCCGGTACCGATACCAGCCTCCAGAGGAGAGAGGAGCCGCTGCAGCTGGCAGGAGGCTGGAGGAGCCCACAGTTCCCTGGACTCAGCACCGCCTAGGGACAGAGGCTGAGGCCGTTTCTTGCACTCAGGGCCTGGGCTCACAGGGCTGGGACAACCCAAAGCCAGGACACTTGTTGCTCTTCCCAGGAAATCCGGTCCCACCAGGGGACCAGACCTGGCCACTTGGAGAGGTGACTGCACACTGATGGTGGAGCCTGTCCCCAGGGAAACCATGACAGGGAGCCCAAGGTGGTAGGGGAGAGGGGAGCAAGGGCCAAGCTGGGGATCACACCACTTAGACCCCACAGGGTGCGGAGGAGGGAGTTTGTGAGCAGCTTTCTCAGCAAACCCTGGCCCCTTCCCGCATGTGCGGATCCCCCAGATGCAGGCTCCGGAGCTCACCAGCCTCCAGAGGTTCTGGGCGGGCATGGAGATGTTGTAGTCCACATAGCAGGATACCTCCTGAGCGTGGAGGCTCAGTGGGGCGGCCACGTCGTGCCTGGGGAGGCAGGCAGTGCTGCAGTGCACGGCTCCTCCCAACCGGTCCCCTGAGGGTCAGGGCCCCCAGGGCACGGGGATGGGGAGCAGGAGGAAGTGGGGCACTCACGTGTTGAGGAAGCGTGTGGTCATGCCGTGGACCAGCTGGACCACGTCCCCGTGCCGCACGGGCTTGGGCGGGTTGCTCACCACCAGCTGGTGCCTGCGGCAAGGACAGGGTGAACCTGGTATCCCCAGAGGGGACAGCTTGTCCGGAGACGGTGTCCCTCCTCAGCCAGGGTAACCTGCAGCCCTGCCATCTGCACCTTGGATGAAGTGACTTTGCAGAGAACCAAGGAAATCATTTCATTTCCTTTCTTTCTGCAGTACTGGGCTGACACCCAGAGCTTGGTGCAGGCTACACAAACTCGGGGGCACCCTGCTTAACCCCATATCTTTCAGCTGCTCACTCTGAGGCCGTGTCACTAACTTGCTAAATTGCCCAAGCTGGACTCAGACTTGACATCCTCCTGCCCTGGCCTCCTAAGTAGCTGGTTTTACAACTGGAGGGCTAAGTACCACAGCAGGAAGGCCCGGGACCAGTCCCCGGAGGAAAGAGGGATGGTTGTGGTCCAGCTGGCAAGAGGCTGGAAGGCTGCACCTTACCCAGCCACGTCGGGCACCTTACCAACGGCCAAACGCGATTCCATGTGCTATAATCAGCCTTGGTGCCAACGCCACCATGACCAGTACCCATGGCTAGCAAGAACCCCTCCTACAACAGAGACCGTTGGCTTCTGCCTGCCCCAAAGAAGTTCAAGCAGGGCCACAGCGGCCACTGCCCTGCATGGCACCGGTGAGTGTGGCAGAGAGGGACTTCAAAGGCCAATGCCCTGGGCAGGGTTACTGCCGGCCCCAGAGGGTCAGGACTGGAGCCGCAGGTCCAGAGGGGCAGGAGGTGGAGGGGACCAAGTGTCAGACCAGGGCCTGGGCCTGGGGAGGAGCAGGGTGGTGCCCTGAGCGAGAGCATGGGATCCTGTTTTCTGTTGCCCTGAGGCAGGCAGGCGGTGCAGAAGGGGGTTCCTGCCACCCCGTCACACAGCTGAGAGATGCCAGGTGCCACTGAGGCCCTGCTCTGGACGGCGTGATGTGGGACCCCAGGCTACCCCAGGGCAGGGGCGACGCAGGCGGCAGAGCACAGACGAGGCTGGGGACCTCTGGCCAGCACCGGCACTCACCTCTCGGGGTCCTTGATGACCCACCAGTTGTTGATGTCCTTGAAGGGGTAGCAGGTCACCTGCTGCTGGTGGGAGCTGCCACGGCCGTTCTCATAACTGCTCGAGGTCAGAGGGGACTGGGTCTGGGGGCAGCTGGAGCGCACCCTGGGCCCCCACTTGCAGGGAGTGAAGAGGACCCCAACAGTGCCGCCTGGGCAGGTGTTGGGGAAAGGCAAGTGGATGTGGCCATGAGGGGTCTGAATCTCACAGGGAGCATGCGGGCTGGGATGGCACTCAGATGGCACCTGTGGCCGCCCAGGGAGACACAGGCACTGAGCCCCAACCCCCCTGACAGGCTTGCCCTGGATACTACCCCCACACCCAGCCCAAAAGCAGAAGCTTCGGATAGACATGAGGCCGAGGCAGGACACCCTCCTTACATTATGGGGTAGGTGTTCTGGTGCGAGTGGAGCCAGCAAGGCAGGGGCTTGCCGAAGACATTCTTGAGGGTGACTTGGGAGCCGAAGGCCACCTCCAGGGGCTGGCCTTGGGTGATGCGGGCCAGTCCTCCCTGGGACAAAGGGCAGAGAAAGAGCCGAAGTCCTACACTGCCCTCGGGACAGCCACTCCCCACCAGGGTGACATGGGGCAGGGCTGCGGCAGATCTTTTTGAGGGGCAGGGTGTAGAGACGGCGTCTATGTAGCTCAGGCTGGCCTTGGATTGAGCTGACCCTCCTGCCTCAGCCTCCAGGACCCTGGGATTACAGACATGCACACCACACCCTGCTCCCAGGGCAGCTCTTACAACCTCCTCCTATCACACTTCAGCCACAGCTCCAACGAGTTCCTGCTGCCCTGAGCCAAGGGGCCCAGCGAAACGCCCCCTCCCACACCATCACTGGCTTCTTACCCTGCCTTGTGCAAGGCAGGTGATGACAAGGTCTAACAGACGAGGGGTGGAGGCTGGGTGTGGGCACAGAGCCGCCCTGGCAGAGGCAGGGAGGATGCAGCCGTGCCCCCAAGCCCTGTCCCTCACCCCACCCACTGGCTCCTAGTCTAGGCTGAGGCTCCCTGGCCTACAAGGAGTGTTCTGACTTTATTTTTTTTTAATTTTGGGAGATTTGTATAGATCGTAAGATGCAGGTGCCCCTTCTTCCTGATCTCACGTTTTTCTGGAATGTTCTCTCCACACTGTGTTACCAAATGCATGGAGTCCATGACATGCAAAAAGCTGCGTCCTAAGGTGACCTCGACATCCCACTTCTTACCTCCAAGCTGGCCTGGAAGGCGCTTGACATGATCCTGTCGTGGGGCCCAGAGCGGTAGAGCAGTGTCAGGTGGACGTAGAAGCATAGTAAATACAGAACAGCTGGGAGGACCACCAGGGCCACAGCCCTGGCGAACACATGGCACAACACACGGACCTGGTGGGGGACAGGCGCACAGGTGACCGCCGCTCCCTGTAAAGCAGGGCACGTCCAGGGGACACTGCCAGGTCAACAGAGAGGCAATGCTCCCTGGCCAGCATCCAAAGCCTTGAGGGGTCTCTGCACCCACACCCCGGGGACAGGCACCCAGCGGCCCCATGTAGACCAGACAAAAGGACCCCGACACCGGCACCTACATTTGACAGGGTCTGGTCTCCGATCAGGTGCCACGCGTGGATGGCCGCGACGCACAGCACAAGCAAGTAAGTGAAGATGCCCATGTATCTGGTGCTGAAGAGATAGTGGTCAGGCGGGGTGGGCAGGAGCCCCTCAGGAGAACCTGCCATAGGCAGCCCTACTCACCCCACGGCACAGGCACAGGCGACCCCTGTCAGCATCAGCCAGAACCACCAGCGCGGAGAAAAAGGGCTGCAACACGGGAGCAGTCACCCCATGCCCAGCGGCAGTGGGCATGTGTTTCCCAGGCCTCCCTCCCAAGCACCCCTGTCTCCCTGCGTTCCACTCCTGGCTGGTCTTCCTCCCAGTTCGGTGGTCCTGGAGATCAGCCCTTTCAGTTGTGACACATGGTTTCACCCCATCCCTAAGTTGTCCAGGCTGCACCCCCAACTTGCAATCCTCCTGCCTCAGCCTCTCAGAGTGCTGGGATTACGAATGCCAAGAATTTTTTTTTTTTTTTTTTTTTTTTTTTGTCCAGCAACTTTTCGTTAGCCAGTTAACATTATAGAAAAATGAGGGTACTCTTTATGAAGTCACAAGCCAAAGGCCAATCCCCAAAATACAAAGTGGCCACAAGATATCCAGCAAGCAAGTCCCCAAAATAATGGGCATCAGAGGCCTCCCGACCCTGGTTCCTTAGGAACTCAGGAGGGCGCACCTGCCTCCTGGCCCATACCTGTGCTTCTGGACGTTGAAGAACTTCAGATAGGACAGCACAGCCAGGAAGTTGAAAAATATTAACAGTGACTCCAGCTGCATGAGCCTGGACTGGGTGATCAGTGCGTTCTCTGTCACAAAGATGAGACAGATGTCATCTCACGGCGGCACGGGAGACGCACAGAGATAAAAGCTCCACAGGAAAGACAGCCAGGCCTGCACTCTCAGGGAACGGGACAGGGGCCCCTTCTGGGAACCTCACGTGTCTTACCTTGAAAGACACCCCCCCCCAATTCACATGAGACCCCAGACATCCCAGACAGCCTCCCGTAGACCCGCAGTCAGCTCCAGGCTATGCCCAACACCCTGCTAGTGCTGAGTGAGCCACCGTCCTGGCAGTGGGAATGACAAGAAATCTACAGCCCGGCACAAAAGCAGGTGGAATTTGGGTCATTTAGGTCTAGGCTCCTGGATCTGCATGGGCACAGCCCTCTGTGCACACAACACAGACAAACCTAGCAGCCACTGCATCCCGGCTTGTGGCTGCAGGAAGGCCAGATGCAGGTGGCTGGGCATGGCCGAGCTCCAGAGCCACCACGCGCCACAGGCGTGCAGACACCTGTGCGGATGTGGGCAGGAAGCTTGCTTTTCTGAGCCCTCCCTTTTCTTATTTGCACAGTAATAACTCCACAGTAATATCTCCATAGTAATATTAGCAGTAATATCTCCACAGTAATAACTGTGGAGAGCTGCGTGAAGGTGGGTTTTTTGTTTTTCAATTTTTTTTTTCTTTTTTCTTTTTTTTTTATTGGTACCGGGGATCGAACTCATGACCACCTGCTTACAAGGCAGGTACTTATGCCGCTGAGCTAAATCCTCAGCCTTATTTTTTTTTTTTTATTGTTTTTGATTTGGAGTCTTGCCATGTAGCCCCGGCTGGTCTTGAGGGCATGTCATCTTCCTACCTTAGCCTGAAGAGTGCTGGGATGGCTGGGTGTGGTGGCACACTTCTGTAATTCCAGCACTCAGGAGGCGGAAGCTGCAAGTTTGAGACTAGCCTGGGCCACAAAGTGAGCTTAAGGCCAGCCTGAACTGCAGAGCAAGATCCTGTCTCCAAAAGATAAGAGAAAAAAAAAAAAAAAAAAAAAAAAAAAAAAGAAAGAAAAGAAAAAGAAAGAGTCTTGGGATAGTGAGGTGTGGTGCTGCAGATCTATAATCAGACTTAGGAGGCTGAGACAGGAAGATTGCTGCAAGTTTGAGGCCAGCCTGGACTACATAGATGCCCAGGCCAAGGCCTGGTGGACTACATAGCAAGATCCTACCAATAGAGAAACAAAGAAAGAATGCGGGCATTAGAGATGGGAGCCACCATGCCCAGCTTAGTCTGACTTTTCCGTGATTGAACTTCACCTGTTCACCAACCTCAGCTGAAAGGGTGTCCTCTAACTCCGGGAGTCTCCTAGCGCTGGGACCCAGACAGGAGGGGGCGTGACAGCACCGGTACGCATGCGCTCTGGAGCTCGGCGTGGACCTGCCCCTAGCGCGTCTCCACCACCACTATGACGGCTCTGGATGCACATTTCGTGCCCGGGACCACAAGCTCAGCCTGGGAGCGAGGTCTTGCAGAGCAACATCCAGATCAAGGGGTCGTGCCCACTAGTGCTGTGCAGCCACTGCACCCCAAGGTTCCCAGCAGAGCGCTGGGAAGGAAGGTCCCCCGAGGCAGGCCTGGGCTTACCGATCAGCAGGAGCAGGGCTGCGCCTATGGCTGCACAGTGAGAGAAGCGCAGCTCTGACACGATCTGGTAGCCCATGGGCACCGACAGGGCCCCTGCAAGCGCTGGCAGCAGGCGCAGGGCCCACACGGGCACGTTTTTGGTGTATTCTGCAAAGGCAGTCACAGTGCCCCTGAGGAGCTGGACACTTGCCAGCCTCGAAGCCACTAACCTGCACACCTCCAAGCCCGGGCTGTGCTAGCAGCCCAGTGTGCCAACAAGGCCTAGGTTTTGCATCTGTTGTAACACTGGGTCTTGCTACATTTTCCAGGCTGGCACTGCCTATGCTACAGTGACCCTCCTGCCTCAGCCTCCCAAGTAGCCAAGAGTACAGGTGCTTATCACTGTGTGCCTGGCTGCTTTGAAACTGGCTTTACATAGTCAAGGAACCAGCTCTCACAGGACATAGGGAAGATGACTAAGGATTGTAAAATTAATGCTTCCTTATGTGTACCCCACAGATTTCTTTCTTTTTTTTTTTTTTTCTTTCTCTTTTTTATCGGTACAGGGGATCGAACTCATGACTGCCTGCTTGCAAGGCAGGGGCTTATGCCGCTGAGCTAAATCCCCAGCCCCTTACCCCACAGATTTCTAAAAACACCTATATAACGTATATGTACAAAAGCTAAATACAAACAAATACCATGGGATGCATGTACTGATAATTATTACAACAGTAAGGCTTTTCCAAAGTCTTGCGCCTGTATCTAAGTAATTTACTGACCCTGCACTCTGATTCATAAACAGTCATTGTTAATGCCCTTAAAAACTACCATGGCTTGGTTCTGTGTGCACAGCAAGAAGGAAAATTTATCTTTTACCTGCTCCGATTCTGTTCCACAAAAAGTTACCATCAAATCCTCCTAAATAACCTAAAACAGAAAATTAATATGTGGAGTAAGTAACAAGCAACAATACAGAGACGAGGGTCACGGCTGAGGTCTAAATGCACCTGGGGGCCGAGGGCAACGGCCGCTTCCCTCAGGAAACCTACCGCCCAGAGCGAGCAGCATGTGGCCCAGCGGTGGCCCACTGTCATCCAGGAAGAAGACCCGGTTCATGTAAAAGGAAATGAACGGCCCATAGTAGACTTCGTCAAAGCTGAAAGACACATGGCTCTCGTCAGCTAGAAACCTCAACTGTGAACAGAAGGTGCGGGGATGCGCATGTGTGTTCTGACCAGCTGCAGAGGAGTGGCTGACAGTGCTCAGATCCTTTGCTCCAACTCTATCTCGTCCTCCAATGTTCAGACACACACACTGCACCACCGTTCCCAGGGACAGGGTGGGAAATTTGCCAGGCTGGCTCTCATCGCACAGAGGTCCTGTTTCTCATCCTCATTTTGTGTGTGTGTCACACCAGATACTGAACCTTGCGCCTTCTTACTAAGCCTATCTTTAGTCCCTTTTATGTCTTACTTTGAGACAGGGTTTTTGCTAACTTGATGAGGCAGAGTTCAAACTTGTGATCCTCCTGCCTCAGCCTCCCAAAATGCTGATGACAGGTGTGTGCTACTATCCCCCGATATAATTTTTTTGGGGGAGGGAGGCGCTGGTTATTGAGCACAGGGCCTTACATCTTAAGCCCGTGCTCTCCCATTGAGGTACACCCCCATCACTGTCTGCCTTGTTTTCTGCTTAGCTTCATACTGGATACTGATCATGCATCTGAAACACCTTATAGTGTGATGCTAACCCTATGCCCCACATACCAGCATCTGTCTGTGCCTATGAGATGGAATTAGCCCTGCTGACCCAACAAAACAGCTGCAAGTGTGAAAGGAGGATGTGCAGGACACTCCCAAAACCTGTTTAGACAGCCAGAGATCTGATGTTGGCAGGGTACTGCTTCAGCTTCTTAGGTGCAGTGACACTGCCATGGTTATGTACCTTTTGTTTTCCTTTGAACATATATCCTTAAGTCCTTTTTTTTTTTTTAATCTTTTTGAGGCCAAGTCTCACTATCATCAGTTCAAGCTGGTCTTGAGCTCACTTTGTAGCCCAGGCTGGTCTCAAACTCACAACAATCTGCCTGCCTCAGCCTCCTGAGTGCTAGGATTACAGGCTTGAGCCACTACACCTGGCTCTGAATTCTTTATAAATGAAATATAATGTGTAGAATTTGCTTCAATCAACTCACTGCAAGGAGGGGCTTGGCTCTAAACTGACAGTTGTTGAAGTTGGATAATGAACACACTGATGGAGGGTCATCTACGATTTTCTCTACTTTTGCATGTTTAATGTCTCCCATAATAAAATGTTAAAAAAAATATATAGGAGTTAGAAAACAGCCCTCCATAAATAATAGCAGTAATTTCCCATTATGACCCAAACTGTGCTCTGGGCACTCTAAATAATGAGATTAATCTATCCAAATCTATGCATTCTCTGTACTCCAATTTTTTGGTGGCGAGGATACAGGGCCTCACTATGCAGTTTAGCCTGGCCTTGCCCTCTTTATGTAGCCCAGCCTGTCCTTGAACTCCCAGTGATCCTCCTACCTCTGCCTCTCAAGTGCTGGGAAGACAGGCACATGCCACCACATCTGGCTTGCCCTCTGGTTTTAAAATGGAAAAGCCGACTCCTTAAGGAGATTTTCCTCTAGAGCATCTCTTTCATGTGTCCAGTTTTTCTGCTATTGAACCACAGGGCAAGACTTACAAGGTGTCTTCAACAGGCATCGTCCTGGGCACAAATGCTTCTTGCCCTCACTGCCCCCAATCTCCAAAACTAAGAAGCCCAGGACTTCCCAGCTGTCTGAAAAGGCTCTTCCCAGTACTGATCAGACCCTTGTGGGACTCCGTGATGGAGCGGCTCGGCTTACACTACAGCTCGAGGGTAGGAGAGACACCACAGTCGGCTCAGCAGGCTGGCAACTGTCAGAGACACCATATTCAAGTTGACTTCAGCGGTCACCACTATGGGGCGCTTCAAAAACCCCAACATCTTGTCAAAACGCAAGTTCGGGAGACCACCCTGAAAAGGGAAGAACTGTCATCAGTGAAAAGAGGCCACAGACAGGATCCGAAGCAGCACCAAGGGGTAAGCAAGGCCTAGGGGCTTGGATAAGCAGGTCCGAAGGGAGGCTGTATGCGTGTCGCCATGGGAACACCAAGACCTGTAGGATACCAGGAAGGGCAACAATCCTGGGGGGGGCGGAATTCAGGAATCCCAGGACTGGATGTGCACTCCGACAACGCATTCCCCCAGCACCTGCTGGCCACCTCCTGGGAGCAAGGCCACTGTCAAGGAGGCAAGCGGCTTCCCTATGGGTGCCACAAGCTACCCGGATTTTGGGCACCTCCCAGAGAACCATGGCAGCCACTTACAGCCCAAGGCCACACCTCTCAGGCCCTCAAAGCCTCATTTTCTAAACACATCTGTCCCAACAGCTTCCTTCCCAGTCCCAGGTCAGCATCAGTCAGTGGTGGTTCCCTTATCTGTATTATTTTGTATTATTTACTTTTTTTTTAGACAAGGTATCACTGTGTAGTCCAGGCTGGCCTTGAACTCACGGGGATTCTCCTGCCTCAGCGTCTTGGAATGACAGGTGTGCGGCCTCCGTGCCATGCTGGGGCTCCTCCTTAACTGGAGGGTGCACCGGGATGCTCCATCTTCTCCCTAAGCCTCTGCTCCCCTTGAGCTGCGCCTCGTGGCTGCATCTGGCCTCCAGCAGCTCCTGCTGGCCCCAAGTACCCCTGTCCCGGGAAGCCTCACCTATCCCGCTCTCCCCCGGGAGCACCTGGTCCCCTCCGCTGCCCCCGGTCCCGAGGCCCTTTTCTCCTTTTTTCCCTCCAGAGCCCTCCGGCCCTGGGCGTCCCGCACGAATATATCCCTGAGGCCCGGAGAGGCTCTGTCCCCAGAGCTCACAGACGTACTCGGGTTTCTCCGCCGAAAACCTCCAGGGATGAGGACCGTTGAGGTTAAGGCCGCTCGGGGATCCGCACCGTACCCTGCTCGACGCTCGATTCGCTGGGCCTGCGGAGCTATGGGCAGTGGTGCGCGTGCGCAGTGGATTACAGAGGTGCGCGCGTGCGCACTGGAAGAACTTAGGCGTCCTGTTTGAGTCCGTGGATCGAGGCTCACAATTACGGAGATCTGCCTTTCACCACTTAGCCTGCCCAGTCTTAGGTGACGCGGCATTAAGAACGGCGTGAAGGTCGCACGCCTGTAGTCCCATCACTTGGGAGGACGAGGCAGGCGGATCGCCGTAAGTTCGAGGCCATCCTGGGCTGCATAGTGAGACCCTGCCTCTGCCACACGTACACACACACGCACGCACACCGACTAGGGAATGAAGGCTGAGCCTGTCTTACGCACGAGGGGTTGGGTGACAGCTCCCCCGCCCCCAGGTCTCTGCGGTCCAGCCAGGGTCCTATAGAAGGGAGGAGCTGGGGCCCATTGGGGCCTGACTTTGTTCCCTGGCACGCAAGTGGCAGGTGCTTAATGACACAGAGGCGCCATCCCGCGGACACTCAGTCTCTGCAGAGCCAGAATCCTTGTGAAGGTCTAGGAACCGCTCGACCAAGTGGCCACGGATCAGGGCGACGTGTGTGGCTCTACAAGCTGAGATGCCCGCCTGGTTTTCTCACAGCTATGGGCTCAAAAGGAAATTTGAGAGGCTGGGGTCTCTCGTGCGTTTTTTTTTTTGTTGTTGTTGTTTTTTTGTTGTTGTTTTTGTGGTACTGGGGATTGAATCCATGACCTCGCGCTTGCCAGGCAGGCACTCATGCCGCTGAGCTAAATCCTCAGCTGTTTTAATTTTCTTATCTGCTTTGTGAGCACTGTATTAAATGCTACAAGCCTTCTTTGAATAAATGTGACTCCTTGAGGCACAGATATTGTTACATTTTATGCTTCCCTTACAGTGGTGGTGGCAGAAGTGAACACTACCACCTGAACCCCAATCTAAAGTCCTTTGACCCTTCATCACCCAGACTGGGCTTGCTCTTTCCCCACCCAAAGGACAACATAATCCTTTCCTGCTTGACGTGCTTTCTCCCCAGGATGGCAACATGCAGGTCACGTCAAAGCACTGAGCCACCTCCTCACTGAAGTGGGGAGACAGGTGCTGTGCACACCCGGATTCATCCACAAAGAGGAGACTGCTCGATGCCACAGCCCCACGAAGAGGCACCGAAGGGCAGTTTCCATCCCTGTCTCCCTAAGCCGAGCTCTATTAAGGCATTCAGGCCAGCCACACTGGTTCTGTTACAGGTCCGTGAAACAAACTCCTGCCTGTAGTTAGGTGTGTGTCTGTCTCTCAAGTGGATGGAATGCAAGGGACACAACCTGAGAAAACATGCAGTTTTTTTTTTTACTTTTTTTATTTAAATAAGGAGAGTTCTTTCATATGGAAAGAGCTAGTACAATCACATATTTGAAAGGAGAAACAACAGGTACTGAACTGGAGGAAAGGGAGAGTGAGCGGCCAGCACAGCCGGGTGAAACCCATGGTTCTGTTTCCCATCCGAGGTAAAATGTCCCCAAACACGTACAGACAAGCCGCACAGTACACGGTAAGCCATCGTCTGCCCTTTCAAATATCTGGTCTACATGAAAAGACAAAGAGGAAAGGCCAAAATGAAAACAAAAGAAATAAAAAAAAGAACCCGCTCAAAAACCAAAACCCTCCCCCCAAGTTCTTTTTACTACACAAGGCATGAGGTCAAAAGCTTGGAGTATAGGATCCCTTTCAAGCGGTGGCAGAAAGGAGCCTTGACAGGAACCCCCACTCCGAGGCTCCCCGACATGCTCAAGACAGGAAGCTGCTGCCACCGCAGAGGCCATCGAGCAGGCCAGGGCGGAGACACAGTGATGCACAGCTCTTCCATGCCTTGATAATCACTAGCCAGACATGCGTTGGTCCTGGTGGAGAACACAGCGGGGTGACAAGTCTGTCCCCAGCATGGAGCCACTCGTGTCTTAGGTCACCTGTCTCCTATTCAGAGCTGGCTTTCTGGAAATCTGCTCTTCCCTTTCATCGCAGAACATGATAAAGCACACATACGCCAGTATCCTTGGTTACCAAAGGCCATTTCCAGGAGACCTTCTGGCCCAGGTTGCTCTACACAAAGCAAAAGGACGAGAGGTTTGGAAGGCCACCTGCAGCTCCTGGGCAGAGGGGAAGCCAGTGGGTGGCGGAGAGGGGCTTTGAGGACCGGCCCAGCGCTGCCTCAGCACCTGGTGCACGTTCACCGCCTGGACTCTGGGCAACAGTCACTTCTACACTGTGCCACTGACCATCTGAAGGCAGATCCAAAAGCCAGAAGGGCAGTGGTGACGCTCAACAAGCTACTCCGGGTATCCCTACAAGCAGCTGGCGGGACCACAGGTTTGGGAACTGAACCAGCTTTTCTGGTTGTGTGACAAAAGTCCTCCTTGGTTTTCCCTCTTAAGGAACCCAGAACCAGAAGTTCTGTGAATTCAGTTTGAAACAGGAAACAACAGTTACCAAAGTCAGACCAAATGCAGCTGGCAGCAGTTTTCAGAGGGTGATGCTGAATCCCAGATGCCCCATACTTTCCACTCTAATGAGCCATCACCAGGGGACCAACACTGCTGCAAAGTCACTGGTTGCCAAGCAACAGGCAGCGACTGGAGGCAGCGTCATGTGAGGACCCTGCGCCTCCCTTCCCCCACTATCAGGAGCACAGGAGGAGCTGGGATCCACCTATTCCAGCCGAAGGCTGCACTCGGTGGCCTGGCTGAGGCTTATGCACACAGATGCAATCTGAAGATGGGGGCTGGAAACCAAAGTAAGATACCGAGTCCTATTACCTTGAGCTTGGCTCTAAAACCACATGAAAGAGAGATATTGCACCATAAATCATCTCTGCACTAAAAACTGCGTTTAATCAGACCATAGAAGGGGCTGGGATGCTGGGCGCCTGGGGCCTGTCCTCTGCCCCCAGTCTAGGTTTAAACCTGCATCTCAGCAGGGAAGAGCCTACAGCTGAGGTCACGTAGTGGCAAATGCACTGGACTTTACATGCAAACCCCTGGCCTTTCCTGCACAGAGTAATCAGACATTATATATAAATAGAGAAGTGGAACGTTTACTTTTTTCTTTTTTCACCTAGACCTACAACATCAATACATATAAATAAATTCTAGTGTTTTTTGTTTTTATTTAGGGCGAGAAGGAGAGGAGGAAGTACAGGGTGCAATGGAGCTGAGATCAGGTGACTTTTTTCTTTTTCCTCCAACCAGAAGCACTGTCCTCTTTACGGCAGGCTCCCCCCGCAGGGCGCTGCTCACGTTTGTGACGCCATCCGGGACCTTTGAGTGCACCAGCATCGGACGGACAGGTCTGGCTGTTTCTAAGGGTAATGGGAAGAGAAGGCTGCATGGCTCCAGTGGACCAGACTCAGCCATTGGCTGCCAGTGGAAGCAGGGAGGACAGGACTCATCACAGGGACAGTGACCGGACACTTGCATGGGGAGGAGAAGAGCAATGAGAGACAGGCAGACCAGAGCTGGGTCACCAGGTGGGCAGCCCTTTGCGAAGAGGCAGGAGTGAAGCCCCTGCCACCCGCAGGGGTGGAGACCACCGAGCCGGGCAGGTGTGAGGTGGAGACAGTGCTGCCTGCAGGTGAAGCAGAGATGCATCTTGCGGTGAGACTGCCCTGTTCAGAGGCCACCCAGACTGTGCCATACTGCATGCTGGGGTGCAAGGTAACATCTCCACCCTGCTACACTGACACGGAAAATAACAAAGCTGCTTCGGAGTACCTAAGGCGCTCCCTCCCGCAGGCTCCACACCGGACACAACTCAGCGCTTGGGCAGCTGTCACATCCATGGTGACAAGGGCAGGCTGTGGGCTCAGCCGTGCCCCGGCACACGCAGCCAGCTGTCCAAGCCAGGGCCTGGGGACCCCACAGGGCACACCGCAGCTCCCACAACAGGGGGCGGGCTAGGGACTCTCCAGGTGGTGCAGGAACTGCACTTTCCCGGATGGCTTCCTTCTGTTCCTGACTTTAAAACAAGCCCAGAGCACAGGGCTCCTAGCAGCCTTCCCTGAGCAGCTCTTCGGACTCGGCGGGCTACCTGCTGGGGGCTGCTGGGCTTCTCTGGAATAAAGACCCACCTCAGTTTGACTGGGGTTTCCCAAGCCAACCAGGAACACATCCCCTGGCCCTGCTTCAGGAACCACATGCCCTTGCTGTGGCCACTAAAGAGATACACATAATTGACTACCACTGATGGCTGTCAGTGACACCGCGGGCTCCCGGAAGCGGAAGAAAGGAAGGGACAGGTCACGAAGGCTGAGGAGAGGAAGCAGACAAAAACAGTGGCCCCCGAAAGAGTGGGTGCAGGGTCCTGGAGCTCAGTGCACCCACGGGGCCTGTGGTGTGTCCGTCTACCACTTGTGCCATCTTGGCCCATCTGGGAAATGACAGGGACCATACCTCCGCCTCCACAACCTGGCACCCCACAGTCAGTGTGTCCATTTGCTTCAGCAGAACCCAGGCCAGAAATCCCCAGAACCCTCCGGCTGTATCCAGCTGTGACACTACCTCCCCACTCTGCTCCCCCGCTGCCTCTAGTGGCAAGCAAACCCCAGAGCGCTCACAACTGTGTCCTCCGGCAGCGACCCCCAAAGGTGACCAGCGTGGGGAGCATGTTAAGAGTCATCTCTTAAGGTATCTCAGTGACACGCTGAACAGGATGAGGTAAAGGCGACCACGAGGGACAGCAGAGAGGGCCGGGGAGAGGACAGCGAGGACCGTATAAAAGTTCGGCTATACAGACGTAGCTGGCGTTTTGTTTTCCTTTCCTCTTTGTAAAAACCTTAGCTGCTTTTTAAAACAAAAAGCCTCAGGCTAAAATGACCCAGCTGCCAAGCCACTGTGGCTGGGGTGCGGCGGGTGGGCAGGCTGCGGTCTGCGGATGGCAGGGGCTCACTCCAGTCACAGGGAGGCAGGGACAAAGGGAGGGAGCCTTTGCTTTTGTCTCAAAGCGAGCAGGTTGATGCCACGTTTCCGCAGGGCGAGCTGGTTGACGTGGAACTTCTGGGACAGAGGAGAGGAGGGACTCTTGGTCAGGCCAGGTGGATGCTGGATTCGGGGAGGTTTCCGAGTGGTGGCTGTCCTGTCCAGGTCAGAGGGTGGCACTGTCCCTGCTGTCCCTGCTGGGGTGAGGTGAGGCGGTGGTCAGGCAACGTCAGGCTTTACTCTCTTCTACTTTGACTGCCCGGGGTTTGAGGGGGCCAGTGCGCTTCATCTGGGGGGCAGCAGAGGGGGCCTCCTGTGGCTTCATGGTTCCCAGGCCAGGCTTTTCATCCACTCGCTGTTTGGCCTTTGGACAGATGAATGGGAAAGAGAGAAAGTGACCCAAGTGCAGAACACCTGTTCACAGAGGCACAGCCTGCACTGCTCCCTTCCTGCTCCTCAGCCACCAGGGAAACCCGCCTGACTTGATCAGACAGAGAAGTCACTCTAGGAAAGAACCTGGTGTCTGTCCGCTCTGTCCTCACCCTGCGGCACCGAGTGCAGTGATTTGGAGAGGCAGATAGACACCAGGTCCTCCACGAAGAACTCAGTGATGGGCCATCCAGGGCAGATGAGTTCCTCAGCAGAACCTTTTCAAATCAGGGCACACCAGGCCCCACGGGCTAGGGAAAGCATCTAGCAGTTTCCAGTGCACCCCACAACACAAGCCCTCAGAATCCCCGGCTGTCTGCAGAGGGAAGGGGCAGGCCACTTAAGTCCTCCCAGACCCCTGACCGTGACCAGGCCATGTCCACTGTGCAGAACCCTTCCCCAGAACCCCAGCTTGGCCTCGAGCTCCACAGTCAAGGTTCCAGTGGTCTGCAGCTCTGCATAGTGGAGGGCGGCCCAGAGCAGCCAGCATGGCCTGGCCCTCCTTGGGTGCCCACAACTCTAGGGGAGCTTCAGAGGTTTCTCCCACAGGCACCAGGGAGTGACGCCCAGAGAGACCTGGCAGTGAGGGGCGAGATGAGAGCAGCCGCCCTCCACCCAGGTGCTGAGCTCTGGAGCCCCGGCATACGCTTCAAGGAGGGAAGAGCACAGTGCCTGCAGGAAAGGATGCTGAGAAAGCCTACCAGAAATCGCAGGAGCAGAGTCCTCCCTGGGTCCCACCCGGCCACGACAGAAGTAAGACACAGCACTTACTAGAACTAGCACGTGCACACACCCCACTCCTGGCACTAACCCCAGGCCTAACTGGGTCTCCCAGAGCGCCATTGCAGCCCCACATGGAGGGGGGTCCCCTGCTGGCGTCAGTTCCTCAGAAGAACCAGCCTCCCTTCCCCACAGGACAAGAAGGATCCAGGCGCCCATGAGGAGCAGAAATGCCCTCACCAGGAGGGGCTCGGGCAGCCAGCATAACTGCTAGGGCGCGTGTCGTTATTAAGGGGCACTCGATGTAGTGGACAGTCCCTTCTCCCCCGCACCGGGGGACGGGCCTACGTGTTGGGGCTGCAGGGTCTGGAAAGCCATCTTCTACCTGTTGCACGTAGGGTCCCTGCACAGAGCCCATGTTAACTGCTGATCCAGAGGGCTTCCCACTGGGGCTAGCAGAGCTAGGCCTGAAAAACCAAAGGCAGGGGTTGAGAATACACATGCGTCACCATGGAAATGGAGTCACAGTCTAGCACGCAGGAGGCACAAGGATGGAAGGGCCCTCAGGCCAGAGGCACTCGCCCTGGGCCACTGGAAAACTCAGAGGGAAAAAGCAGCCGAGACAGCCAAGGACACAGGGACAGTGGTCCCTGTCCACCTTGACTCTGCTAGTGGACGCACCTAGGAGAAAAGCCGAGGTCCTTCTAAGGGTGCCCCACACAACCCCTCATACCGGGGGCATGAAGTAGGTGCCGCAGGAAAAGGTGCTGCAGTCCAGAAGCCTGAGTAGGGCTGCGCAGAACCCCACGGGACCCAGACTCCGTGCTAGCGATGGCTGCTCCACCCCACCGGGCCTTCTTGGGCACAGCATGCCCAGTTTCCACAAATCTCTGGAAACCCTGCACTATGGAGCTACAAACCCTTCACCTCTAAGAACACAAGCTGCTGGCTAAGTTTCCTAAATACATTCATCCTCTGGGCACGGTGGCACACCTGTAATCCCAGCACTTGGGAGGCTGAGGCAGGAGGATTGCTGCAAGTTTAAGTTAATAACACAGTTCAAGGCCAGTCTGAACTACACAGTGAGACCCTATCTCTAAACAAATAAAATGCTCTAGACTCTCGGCCAATGATACTCAAATCCTTTACATGACACGCGTAGTATTTACGGGTAACCTGTACACATTCTCCTGTGTACCTTTTTGGGTGTGCTGGGGGTTGAAGCAGCCGAGCCTTGTGCAGTCAGCCACACTCCCAGCCCCTCCTGGATATCTTAGATTGTCCCAAGATTACCTAGCAACGCCATACAGTTTATACTGCATTGTTTCACGGACACCATGGTCGCCCTCTCCTCAATTCCTTAGCCTCACAGCTACCGGGGCCGGGGCCTGAAGGTCCTCAGGACGCCGCTGCCTTATTACACCTTTGCCCGCCGGTGCCTGCTCTTTTGGGACAGGCCCATGGCAGACGCCGCCTGGGACCCCAGAAGGCTGGAGCAAATGCGAGCCCCTAACGTCCCCTGCCCTTGTCTCCATCCCACGCCCTGGCCCCTGCTCTGGACACACAGTCCTGCTGCGCTGCTAACGTGATGGGTGATGGTGGGAAACAAACAGCACCAACACAAACAAAAGGCGAAGCCAAGACAGCAGGAACAGAAATCAAAGATGGAATGGGGGAGGAGAAGCCAGTCTCTGTCTCGGGACTCGTGGGTTGAACATGCAAAGCAGTCCACGGCGGAACCCCGCCTGACCCACGGGGGGCACAGGGCAATGGTGACAGCGGGTGGCAGGCGGAGCCTCAGTGCACGGTATGTGTCGGCAGTGACTCTGCACTGGTGTGACAGCGCAAACTGCAGGTTGTGTTCTCTGTTGTGAGGGGCCCAGGGATCTCCATGTGCACGAGAGCTGAGCACGCCCACCCTGGCGCCCAGGGCCACAGCTGCCTTCTCACAGAGCAAACGCCACCATGGGTCTCTGCTGTGACCCAGCAGAGCTGCCGATGAGGCAGGCTGACAGCCCCGGGGTAGGAGGGGGACACAAAAGCAGCTGCAGGAATGGGGGCCCCATGGCCCCCGTGACTGGGCAGAGAGAGCGGCCCAGCAGGCTGTTCTCTTCTGCCTCTTTTAGAAAAGCCCTCCCATCCCGAGCGCCTCATTCTGGTGATAAAAGCAAACCTGGTCTCTCCGAGCCCCGCTTCCCTCCCACAGCGAACGCAGGCACAAGCCCACCCCAGGGACTTCCCGGTGACACACGGATTCACCATGAGGATCGGGCCTCGGAGCTCATCAGCAGAGGGCCCAGGGAGCCTCTGTGGGTCACACCTACTGCGCACTCGGCCCAGCCCCAGGGTCTGTACCTGTAGGTCTGTGGCGATGGCACGGAGCCTCCCGTAGGAACATTCTGTTTACTGTCGGCAAAGTGGAAGCCCTTCAGCTCCATCTGAGAGGACTAAAGGGACCAAGAAGCAAACTGTCATCGGAGATGGCCCGGCCCTCATGAACCCCAATGATGTCCAGGGGTATCCACCAGAGCAGCAGTATTTTTTTTTTTTTTTTTTTTTTTGGTCTTTTTTGTTTTTATTGGTACCTGGGATTGAACTCACGACTGCCTGCTTGCAAGGCAGGTGCTTATACTGCTGAGCTAAATCCCCAGCCCCCAGAGAAGCAGTATACAGACTGTTAATCGCGGACTGAAAAAGAGGCTTCTGAGAGGGAAGGACCGTCTGCCTGCATCTGAGTTTTGTTGTCATTCTTTTTTTTTTCTGTTTCTTTTGGGGACTGGGGATTGAACTCACAACCTTGTGCTTGCTAGGCAGGCGCTTGAGCCGCTGAGCTAAATTCCCAGCCTGTTGTCTTTAAAGACAGGCTCTCACTGTGTAGGTGAAGCTGGCCGTCACCTTGTGGTGATGGTCCTACCTCAACCCCCCAAGTGCTGGGGCTACAGGCGAGAACCACCCACCAGAGTTGGGTTTTTAAAGCAGGGCAGGAGAGCTGCGAATGGCCACAGGGGACTGGCCACACTGTCGGTGTTTCCCCAGTTGTCACCCACAGCAGAACCAGCTGGGCCAGTCAGAAATACTGGCTCCTGGCCCTCAGCCTTGGGCAGGCACACTCAGCTGGGGCCTGGGGACCTCCATCCGGGTGAGGCGCTGGTCTCAGCTGCACGTGAGCTTGTTTTTATTATGAGCTAGCACAGAAAAGGAGGCATTCCTGACCTCTGGGTGCTGGCAACTGCCTCATAGGAGAGCCTCGATCTGCTGAGGCCGAGACCCTATACCCAAAGCCACCAGCACTTTCTACACAGTGAGCCCCAGCTGGGTCCCTTGCCCAGACCACAAGGGGTGGGTCTCTTTTACCTCTCTGCTGGTGTTCAGGACTGGTGGCTGGGACCCAGGTGGAGGAATCCTTCGGGGGGCCCCGACGGAGAGGCTCTGCCCTGCTGGCAGCTGAATGGACTGTGGCAGGATCAGTGGCTGCTGCCCGGAGCCATACCGAGGCAGTGGCATGGTCAGCTGCTGGGCAACAAAAGTCAGGAAGAGGAACAGATGCCGGGGAGAAAGCCCACAGCACCGCACACTGTGCTGCCAACCCCACCTCTGCATAGCTGCACGCATCTGCAGCCCACAGAGCCACACCCCACAGGGCACAGGGGAGCCCCCAAGCACCACTGGTCACAGCTACAGGCTACTCAGGGCCATGTGTGTCCCTCATGGGCTGCGTGTGGCTGGGAAGGAGAGGATGGAGTACAGCAGTCTGGAAACAGGATGCAACACTGCCCCAAAATTAATGGTCAGACTAATTCTAAAGATCCAAGTCACACAGGAAATGTGGGATCTTGGTGTCCTGAGCGAGACACCAAAGTCCAATCAGCCGTGTGCTACTCAGATGACAGAATAGGAAATAAGCCCTGGAGGGACCGAGAGGGTCACTGCGAAGCACGCTGTGCCTGAAGAGCAACAGGTGCCCACAAGCCTAGGTCCAGGAGGAGCAGGGTGAGCCACTCCACGTCCCCATTCCCTGTCCTCCTCATCGCCCTGCTGCCAAGTCCACACTGAGGGGTCAGAAGGATCCACTGGCATCAGGTCACTGAGACCCAGGGCACCATGGACTCCGGCTCTCGCTCCAGCTCGGAGCATGGCAGGCTAAGCACAAAGGAGGCCAGGACACACTGGCACCAGGCAACACCGGCCTGGTGTGGGCTCTGGGAGAGGACTGCCCAGTGGGACTGTGGGAGCCTGGGGGAACGTGGGGATGGCAGGACACTCCACTGCATCAAAAGGCAGAGCCCAGATGACCTGCTGGAGGTCATGGGTGTGGGGAGGGGAAGAAGCACAGGGACCGGTTGTGACAATCTAGACAGAGGGTGGACAGACCGGTGGTGCAGTGGACAGGAAGAGGCCTCCACACAAACACAGGATTTGCAGCGTGGGGTGGACTTCAGTGGCCCTCCCCACCCATACAGCCATAGTACGATCGGGGAGGATGTGGCCTCCAGCTAGGGAAAACAGGGTCTCAGAATGGACTCCCCGGCAGAGCTGAGGTCAGCACATCACCAGGTCACCAAGGCTAGGTCAGCACACACAAGAGGCAGTAAAGGGTCAGGGAGGCCACAGAAAGCAGCCCGCTGCTGGAAGGCAGGGGTGACCAACTCCTGACCTGCGGCAGCTGAGAGTCCAGCATCTGGGAGGCACCCAGCCCGGCAGCCTGGCCAAGCTGGCCTTCGTAGACCAAGGCCTGGTTTCCACTCATGGGCTGGTAGGGGGAGCCAGATTGGGGCTTCACCATCTCCAGGGGCTGCATGCCCGGGAACGCCGAATATGGAGGCTTCAAGGCCGTACCCCCAGACAGGATCATGGTGCTGGGCGGCGACAGGCTGGGGTGCATATACACCTGAGACCTGCAAAAGCCGACAGACAGCATCAGGAGGATGTCCCACCCAAATCCCCAATGCCTGCCAGCACCAGGATCCCCAGGGCTTGCTGGAATACAGGTCCCCACTCCCCCACAAGACCCCCAGGGGGCCTGGGTGACCCGATGTTGCTGGTCTAGAGAAGCCATGTAGACGTCCACGCTGTGCCACAGGAATACATAATGACGCCAAAGCCCAGGACCCTGGGTGCACCACAGCAGGAGGGCAGTGGGGGAGAGGACACTCTGCCCAGGCCCAAGGCAGAGGAACGCTGAAGCTGTGGGACAAAGCGGCGTGAAGGTCCAAAGCTCCGGCCGCGCTGCAGTCTGTGTGGGTGCTCACCTGAAGGGCTGCAGGGAGCCGAAGATCTCCTGGGACTGGGAGACGGGCAGCCCACCCCTCAGCCCGAGCTGGGCCTGGGCCTGCAGAGGCGTGTGCAGGGAGATGGGGATCTGCTGGGCAGCAGCAGCCTGTGGACAGAAGCCAGCAGCTGACCAGACGCCCTCCCAGGTGGCCCTGCTCTGAAGCCCTCCACGCAGCAGGTGGTGGCTGCCTCTCTGCCCAGTGTCCAGTATAGAGTCCTGCCTGGGCTCCCTTGCTCTGGGGTTGAGGCCACCAGTGAAAACCGGGAGCAACTCCAAGCCACTGTGCAATTCCACATGACAGCAAAAAGGAATCCTGGCTGCAGGAATCATCAGAGGCCAGTTTCAGACACTTAACACCAAACAGACCACAACAGTTACAGGTGACTGATGCAGCCTCACAACACTGTGAAGTTCAGGCCTTCAAGACAAAGGTAAGGCCACAGCTCTGTCCAGACCCTGAACCCGCACTGGGAGCAGACCCTGTTGGATAGCCCTCCACTGGGGGCTCTCGGCCGAGAGCTGACGGGAAGGCCTGGCCCAGCTCTTGGGGGGGGACGGCAAAGATCATCCGTTCCCAGCACAAGCAGGGCAATCCCGCATGGAGCTGAACACCTGCGTTTCTACCTCTTCTGACACACCTGGGCCTGGGGCTCAGGCCCTCCTTCTCTACATCAGGAGACCTGGTCACAACGAAAACTGTTTCAGCTCATTTCCCAGCTAGGGTGGGAGGGAGGACTCGCAGTGAGGCCTGTGGTGCTCAATCCTTCTTCATCCTCCCTGGTTTATTCACTCAATAATACCCTCTGGCTATCATGCATCTTGAGGGAGAAGCCTGGCCTGGGCCGAGCCCTGCCCCTGCCCCTGCCCCTGGCCCTGCCCCTCACCTGCTGGTAGCTCTGCTGCTGAGGGATGGTCTGAGGAACCAGCCGGGGCTGACTTGCAAACACGTGGCCGTCCAGGTACAAAGGTGGGAGGTGGCTGCCTGGAAACGACCCGGAGACCACAGCAAAGAGTTAAGCTGGGCTGTGGCTGACTGTCCCCTTCAGGAGCGCTGCCCACCTTCCCCAGGGGACGTGGTTCCCTGCTGCTGGGCATGGCCTCCCGCTCACTGTTCACCCAAAGCCCCCGCCTTAGGGCAGGGCGTTTACTACGGGGAGGCCGCCAGGTCTCTCAGTCACTGTCCTCCTCATCTCCCTGCTATTGAGTCCACAGTGGAGGGTCAGAAGGATCTATTGGAATTCCATCATGGAGACCTCGGCAGCTGGCCCTCAGCATCCCTGGGGCACTGACTTCCCAAAGGATAGTGACAAGCGCAAAGGCAGTGACCACTGCCAGAGAGCAGCACTGTCCAGCTTCATGGTGTGGCCACTGCATGTGGCACTGTCACAGGCCACTTCTGGGAAGCAGGCTGTGGCCCAGTGAGCTGCTCACTGCCAAGGTGGCACAGCCCTGGCACCAAATGGCTCGGGCTCTGACTCAAGGCTACTGCCCTTCCTGACAGTGGGAGGGAGGGCCTCACTGTGACCTGAAGATGGGAAGACGGGGTGCAGCTGTGCAGCACCCAGGAAGCCGTGATCACCAGACTTAGGTGGGTAAGTCAGGGCTTGGAGGGACACAGTGCTCGGATTTGTTAGATTCTGGATGACAGAAGCCCGGGCCTGGCTTGGACATACCTGGCATCGAAGCAGAAGGTGCTACAGAGGCCACAGGCATGGGTGGCATGGACACTCCGCCGAAGGAGCTGTAGTTCACTCCGTTGGAGGCTCCCACCGAGGACGGAGGCTGAATGCTGGAGCCCGCACCTCCAGGGGAGCTCTGCTCCGGCAAACTGGGGGAGTTTTCCCAAGCCTTGCGCGCAGACTCCATCTTCCGAGGCAGAGAAGGGAAGGCTGCGGATGACTACAGGGCGTGGTGGGGACCCCGGGCTCCTCCCCCACCTCTCCATCCAGTTCAGGGCCCAGTCACCTTCAGTGTGAGGTCAGCAGTGGGGAAGGACATCGGAGACAGGCCGATGGCCCTCTGGATATGATGATCTCGCCGGAGAATGGGAATACTCTGAGTTAACCCTGCCTGGAGAGTGGGGGAAAGGACACCGTGGAGACCCAGGCGGAACAGACAGAACAGGCGACCCATCGCATTGTGTCTGCAGTCCCACTTGCATGCACCCACGACTGTGACAGAAGTCCATTGGACCTCCTATCATCAGATTTGTCACAGAAGCCCGTGGACAGCCCTGCAGAGCCCTTCACTCTGGCACAGCCAACTCCAGGGAACACCCAAGTGCCCTGTGCTGCCTGGCTCAGAGAGGCCCAGGTGTAGCAGGAAAAACCTGCTGTAACTCGGCCCCATAGGGAACTGAAAGGTCGCTGGTACACAGGTAGGAAGGGCAGTGCCAGCCCCGCAGGCAGGGCCAGAGAATGTGACAGCAACGCTGAGAAATCTACATGGTGAGGGCCGCCCGGTCTCTCAGTCACTGCCCTCGTCATCTCCCTGCTTTTGAGTCCACAGTGGAGGGTCAGAAGGATCTATTGGAATTCCATCATGAAGACCTTGGCACTAGCCCTTGGTGACAAGCATGGTGATGTATGGGCAAAAATGATACCGCTGGGGCTAGAGATTTAGCTCAGCGGCATAAGCGCTTGCCTTGCAAGCAGGCAGTTGTGAGTTTGATCCCCGGTACCGATAAAAAGGAAAAAGACAAAAATAAAAAAAAGATACCGCTGCTGGAGGTCACACTAGTGCCTGGATAGGGAAACCTGGTGAGCCCAGGACTCGCTGTCACTCGATGCCTTTCAACACTCCGCAGCGCTGATATTCCCAGAAGCCTTTGAGAAATGCTGTCCAGCAAGCCTCACGCATTCGGCAGGTCTCTCCTGCCCCCACCCACCACATGGCCTGAGAAACGTCAGTGCACAGCGGGCTGGGGCCCTGAACAGGGCACAGGCCTCTGGGGTCACAGCGTTCAGAGCCAGGCTACAGGGACCACGGAGGATGGGCATGCAGGGTCTTTCCTGCTTTGACTCCATCCCCTGCTGCCCATCAGAAGTGTGCACGGGGCCTGACCATGCCTGGCCCACAGAGACTGCAAACCAAAGAAAACGACCATCCCGGACCGTAGGGATAACATCACCCCACCAGAACAACCAGGCATAGTTAGAAATAGTTGTGACTCTGACACAGGCAGGGGTGAGCTGAGAGAGCACACGCTGTGAGTGGGCGGGTTGTGGTGGGGCAGAGGAAGGGGACTCACATTACTAGCCAGGGCATCCTGCAGTTTCACAACAGGATTCCCTGCAGGTCCGGAGGCAGAGCCGGGCGGCAAACTGAAATCAGAGTCCTGGAAGAAGGACACAGAGCTGCTGTCAGCCTCCTGGCTCCTCTCCCCTAGACACCTGCATACATGCAGAGCCTCTTTTGTGCCTCCAAAGCCCCCGAGCAGGAGGAAGGACCCCCTACAGGAAGTGGCCCTCACTCCTCTCCCGTCCTTGCCCTGGAGGTCTGCAGCCCAGCAGGTGTCAGTAAGGCCACCTCTAAGGCCATCCAACAGCACTGGCCCCAGATTCCATGCCAGCCAGCAGCCATCCCAGACGGGGCTCAGCTCCCAACTCTCCTGGAAATAGGCCCCCGCTTTCCAAGTACCAAAAGAAACCAAAATCAAAACAGAGCCGCACCTTGGGGTTCACTCCAAATTCAATGGGTGGCACCGGCAACACGGAGTCCACGTGAATCTCCACCCCATTCACGGGTGGCACCACAGCTCCCTGCAGCCGCTCGGCCCCCTCCGAGCCCTTCCGGTTTTTCAGAGACCGCTCGTTGCCGATGGGCCCCGGTCTGTGCTCCTTGCTCTGTCCCGAGCTGTGCTCTGTGTCCTTGGTGGGAAAGCAGAGGCTGAGACACATCCATCTCTAGCTTCCGTGCGTCTTGGTACGGGGGCAGAAAACAGGACAGTGGCCCCTTCGGCGCAGGCCCCAGCCAGCATGGCAGGGATGGCCAGGTTACCTTCTGCTCAGACTGCTTCTGCACCTGCTCCTTGTGGCCGTCAGCCTTGGCTTCAGTCAGGCCTGGCCCACTCATCTCCTCCGGCTTCAGAGTACCATACGGGGAGCTGCGCTGTGAGGAGGTCGCAGACGACTCCCGGGACTCAGCGCTCAGGTCCACACCGCTGTCTCCCTGGCTGCTCTTAAAACCCTGCTACGCGGAGCATGGATGGGTTAGCGCCTAGTGCCTGCTCCTGACCAAGGCACCTCAAGGTGAGACTGTGTGTGGCACTGACACACAGCCCGTAGCCACTTGCCCTCTGGCCCTGGCTCTGGCCCCAGCCCATCATGTCCAATAATGCACACAGCCACATGAATGCACCGGGCTGCCCGCTCCTGACCACCAAACCCCAAGTACCCTCCAGCCAGCCAAGCTCAAACCAGAGACCATGAAGGGCCGCCCTCCTCCCGTCTCCCTACCAGGAAGGGGGTCTCCCTTGTAGTCCCCCGCTTCAGCAGGGACCACACAGGGGCCAGAGGCTGGGGTGAGCATGGCCCAGTACGCACACTCACCTCGGCACCACTGGGCTCAGGGCCACTAAAGGCGGTGACAGCTTTTCTCCAGGAGTCGCTGGCTGCCGCCTGCACAGGGAGGGCTGCGAAGCGGGGAGACAGAGAACACGTCAGAGGACACGTGGTCTGCAGACACAGGTGCAGGCTGCGGGAAAGGAACACAGAGCCAGGCCCTATGCCGGCCTCGGGTCCCATCGATGATGCCTTAGGAAAAGCTCTCACACACGGGAGTGACTCTGACAGCTCGTTCACCCAGTGTCCCCAGGTTTCTGGTCATTTCTTCGGGTTTTTGTTTTCATTTTGAGGTCAGGTCTCAGTTTGCAGCCCAGGCTGGTCTCAAACTCACAAGTGACCCTTCTGCCTCGGCCTCCTAAGTGCTGGCCCCACGTGAGCACAAATGTGCACCTCAGCACTCTCCGACTCCATGCTGCTCCTCCGTGCATCCTTGTCTGCGTTCTGCATCACCCACTTCTGCCGTAGCAATGCTTTCACTCACTTAAGCTGTCCGTCTGGCAGCTTATATAACGTCCTTTAAAGGTCCAAGCAGTGTTGCTGAGAGTGTGTAAGCTTGCAGACCCCCAAGAATCCCACAAAAGCCATGGACCCTAGGTCCAGGAAATTTAAAAGCACAAAAACATGGTGCCACTTATCTTTACCCCAGCACTCAGGAGGCTGAGGTAGAAGGACTGCCACAAGTTTAAGGCCAGCCTGGGCTACACAATGAATGCAAGGCCAGGCAGACCTGGACTTTGTCTCAAACAAAACAAAAGAAAGCAAAATCCTACTGGCATTCAGGAAGCAGAGGCAGGAGGATCACAAGATCAAGAACAACTTAGACCTAGGGGCTCAGGCCTGTAATCTTAGCACTCTGGGAGGCTGAGGCTGGATGATTACAAATTTCAGTCCAGCCATCTTTAGCAAAACCCTGTCTCAAAAAGGTTTGTGGAGGGGGTAGGGAGTTAGGCTGTATGTTATGTTGCTCAATCCCCAGCACAGAAAACAAAAACAATCCAAACAAAAGTCCAAGGCCTAGGGCTGGGGATTTAGCTCAGCAGAGTAAGCACCTGCCTAGCAAGCGTACAGTCATGAGTTCTACCCCCAGTACCAAAAATAAAAGTCTGAGACCTAGTCTCAGAAGAGCCTATGGATTCGGCTCAGTGGCACTGTGTGCCAGCACCCGGTACTGCGCCCACCAACTTTGTGTTTTGTAACTGAGAAGTTACCAGAAACACAGTGAGTAGGAAATGACTTCTACCCTCTTTTTAATTTCAGGGAGCCAGGGGTGGGGCACATAGCTGTAATCCCAGCACTCTGGGAGGCTGAAACAGGAGGATGTCAAATCCAAGCCTAGGGTGGGCAACTTAGTAAGATCCTGCGCCTCAAAAAACAGAAGAACAACTGTGGATGTCGCTCATTTGAGAGGCCTGGGGTTCAGTCCCTAGTACTGGCAAACACTAAGCATTTCAGGAAAGAATTTTCCGAGAAGGAAGGACCATCTTACTCTGGTCTCCAGAGCCCTACCCACGAGTGCCTACAAGTCCTTCCTGAGGTAGGGAAGGCCACCCTTGCAGCCCCACACTGAGCATCTGCCATTCCTCCACAACATAAATAAGATGGATAACAGATGTGAGCAAAGGGAAGTAGAGCCCACTCCCCGGGCACTCACGGCTGGACAGGCCGGGCTTCCTAGGACTGCTGGGCACACAAAAGGCACAGCCCTTTCCTGTAACGTAGGAAGGAAGCCCGCTCGTTCGGGCCACAGTGCTAAGATGGTGCTTGGCAGCGGCTGGGCGGGGCGCCTGGAAGCAGCTCAGGCTCCCCCGCTGTCTCCAATGCAGCGTGTCCCCGGGAGGAGCCCCTGCTGAGCCCGGCCCCCTACACTTACCCTGGCTGCTGCTCTCCCAGATCTCAGTTCCCAGGCTGCTACCGGGCACAGCCATGTCACCTTGCTCCAGGCACAGACTATTCTGTTTTTTAGCAAATCGAGGAGGAATCCTGGAAGAAAGGCCTCGACCTTTGACTGGCACCTAAAGGGAAAAAGAGGGACCCCCTGTAGCCCAAGCTTCTCTTAGGAAAACGCCCTGACACTAGCCCACCGTCTGAAATCCCTCTAGGTACCCAGGACGCCTGCTTGCCCAGACCTCAGCCCTACAGTGTGCTGCCAGCCTGCAGAGGAGGCGGTGCGTGGGGTCCCTGCCCTCAAAGCCCACAGGAGATGAACCTGACCTACCTGAACATGTTGGGAGAACAGGGCAAGGAAGTCCCACAGGTGGGGCCTCTGGGTGACCCTGTAGCCTGCTCCGTGGAATAGGGACTCGGTAACGGTGGGCACCAGGAGGCTGCCCAAGCTCTGTTAAATGTACCTTCCCCACCTCTTCCCCAGCTGCCCTTGCTGAGCCACACTGCTCACCTGCACAGCCTGCTCCTTCTTTCTCCTCTCCTCCTCCAGCAGGCGGCGCTGTTTCTTAGTCAGGACCTCGATGAAGCCTTCCCCCACCATGGAGCCCACCTCGCTTTCTTCCCCAGGGCTGGACCCGCAGTTGTCAATGATGGCACCTGAAGCAAGGGTCCACGAAGAGGGAAAGAGGCTCCATTCAGAGTGCAAGAGTCACCCGGTGCAACAGGAACCTGGTCTCTGCAGACAGGCTTGCTCTTCAGGCTGGCCCTGCCTGGGTGGACTGCTGTGCACCAGGACCCCCAGAAATACGGCTGCCGCATGCCCAAGGGGTGCTGCTTTTGTGAGCTGGGGATCTGAGCCCAACTGTGCTCCCACCAGCTGCAACTTTCCATACCCAAGGTCTCAGCCTCAGATACCCTAGGCTGTCTCGGGGACACAAAGGGGAAGGGATCCGAGCCCCACGTCACCACTGTAGCCCCAGGGAACTCCCAGGCCTCTGGTTCCATGGAACTCTCCAGACCCAGTGTGTATGTGACAGTGCTCATACTCACTTCCATAACTCAGGTCGAACTGCTTCCGAGGCTCCTCCTGCTCACCGGCCCGCTGGGCGGCCAGCGTGACCTCCTTCTCCAGCTTCTTACTGGAGGCCTCAGGACTGTCGGGGTTGACATGAGCAGCCCGCTCCAAGGAATAGGGCGAGTGGCTGCCCCCACTGGCACAGCCACCGAGACCTCCCGTGAGGGGCTCATCTGGGGACCTACAAAGGGAAGCAGATCTGGTGAGCTGAGTAATGTTCAGAGCCTGAGAGGAGACCAAGGAAAAACCCGTGTGCACAGGACCCACGCACAGACACAGCAGCTGACCCAGTGCCAGTCTACCAGCTGAGCCTGGGGGACCCGCAGCCCGTACTGCCAGCAGCTTGGTGTGGGCCATGTGCAGGAGCCAACTCGGCTGGCACAGGCAGGCAGAGCCCCCACCTCTGTGCTCTCCTGTGCCGCCGGCAGGTGGCAGGGGAGGGAAGGAAGGTGATGCCGACCTCTCTGATCTGCCCAGAAGAGCTTCGCCCTGCTACAGGCCCCCAAGACCCAGGCTGGACCTGGGGAAAAATGGGCACCTTCCCAGGGCTCCTCCTTGGGGGAAAAAACACTCCCAGTTGGGGTTGGGGATTTAGCTCAGTGGCGTAAGGGTCCGCCTGGCAAGCACCAGGTAGTGAGTTCAATCCCCAGTACTAAAGAACAAAACAAAACAACTATTCCCAGCTTCAACATCCTGACTTCTAAGGAGAGTGAGAGGTATGCAGCAATCTTGGGGTGCTGTCGGGGCAGGGAAAGCTGCAGAAGCCCCACACCCCTCTGTGACCTGGGGCACACCAAGGCTACCCTGTCCTCATGTAGGAGCCTGTGGCCAGAGAGGCAACACCCAGTCCAGAGAAGAGGGCTTGTCCAGCCGAAGCCAGCTGCTCCCCTCTGCTCTTGATGGCTCTGAGCATGCCAAGGATCAAGCTGACGAGCTGAGCCACCTGGGGAAGAGCCAGCCCATGCAGCTGGGGCCAGGAAGGCCCCGCCAGGTCACTGCCGGGCTGGCTCAGAGGCACAGCAGCCTGCGGGGCACCTTCCACAGGTGATCAGGACACACTCGGAGGCCGAGCTTTCTGGATGTGGCTGGGGCAGGGGCCACGAGGGACCCCTGAGAATGAAAAGGAGGGTGCGGACACCTTTAGTCTGTCAAGCCATACAACAATGACACACCACAAAGAAGGGACAGGCGATTGGGGCGGTGATGGAGACGCACACACGGCGGCTGGCGGCGCGGGGCCCATGGGGCGGGCACACGGCCTTGGGCTGCTGCCTGACAGGACAATGACAACAGAGACCCGGGATGGCTTTGCTGTTTACCTTTTGGCTTTCAGGGGCGTCCCACTCTGCTGGCCGTCATAACGGGGGGACGACTCACCACCACCTGGCCTAACCGGCTTCTCCCCAAACCCTCCCGGCTCCAGCTTGCGGCTCTGCCTGTCCGCCAGGGGCCTCTGGCTAGAGAAGCTCCGCTTGGCCAGCTCCTTCTTCTCCCCTCCGCCGGCCCCACACAGGCCACCGTCCCCCTGCGGGGCATGGGGCTCGGCCCCGGGGACCTCTCGCCGCTCCCGCTCCCGCTCCCGGCGCTCGCTGAAGTCGCTGCTCTCGGAGGCCGTCTCCCACTCCTCGTTGGCGTGGTCTGAGGAGTTCTGGTAGGAGAGCTCAGGCGACCAGCGGCCCCCAGCGCCGCCCTTGTCCCCGGGACAGAATTTGGGCCTGCCGGGCCACTGCCCGGGCCCGGCCAGCAGGTGGGGCTCCTCCTCGGGGCCCCAGAGGCCCAGGGCTTCGCGCTCCTGCCGCAGGCGCCGGAAGCGAGGGGGCTTGTCCTGGCGCGGGGGGCGCCGCCTGCGGAAGGGCCGGTTCTCAGCGCCTTCAGGGTCCGCCCCGGGGTCGTCCTGGAAGAAGGCCCTCTTGTCCTCTGGGCGGCTGTCCTCAAAAGCCCTGCCGCCGAAGGCATCGGCGTGTCGGTAGGAGTCCGGGCCGTAGTCTCGGTCTGGCGCTCTGCGGGCGGGGCCGTACTCCTGCCAGGCGCCGCTGGGGCCCCGGCCCTGCCACTGCGCTGGCTCCTTGGCTGCAAAGGGCCTGCGCCCGTAGCCGCAGTTGCTGAGCCGGGGTGGGAGTGCGCGCCCGAAGGCCCGCGGGCCGCGGCTCTTGGTGTCCGGGCCGCCCTGCGGCTCCTCGGCCACGGCGCAGGCCCTGCTGGAGCGCCAGGAGTCCTTCTTCAGGGCGCCCTCGTCCCTGGCAGGCAGCGGGCCCTCCGCCCCGCCCTCTGAGCCCCTCTGCCTACGCCGCTTGGGCAGCTCCTCGTATTCTGAGCCCTCGCTGTGGGTCTCGCTGGCGATCCTGCGCCGGGGCTTAGCGCGCGGAGAGTCCTCGGGCTGGGGAAAGCTGCGCAGGCCACGGCCCCGGCTGCTCCGCTGGCTGCTGCCGCTGCCGCCATAGATGCTGCGTGGCCCGAGGATTCCGCCGCCGCACAGGCTGGCCCCGCTCCCGCCTGTGGGCCGACCCCGGAAGGAAAACTCCCGGAAGCCCCGGCCACGGCTGCGGGGCTGCCCGCGGCCCCCGAAGGCCTGCTCCTCGTCGATGAAGATCCAGTTGTTTCTCTTGGTAGGGGGGACATCGCCAGAGTCCCTTGGTGGTCGGCTCTCCCAGGTCTTGTCCAGCTTCTCATCCGCTTCAAACTTGGCCTCGGGGCCAAAGCCGGCCTGGGCCGAGGTCTTGTCCTCCGAGGCGGAGGTGGAGGCATTGGCCAGGGCCGGGTTGTTCTCCTCGTCCTCGATGTCTTCGGCTCTGTGTGCTGCCGGCTCCTTTTCCGCTGCCATGGCCAGCTGTGCACCGTCCTCGCCCAGGCCCTGCTTCACCTTCTCCAGCTCCTTCTCCTTCTCCTCCACCTTGAGGGCTTTGAGCACCGGCTTCTTGATGGGCCCCGACCTCCGGGTCCTGCCCGGCTGCTCCTGGTGCTGGCTGCTGGAGCTCCGGGGCTTGGGCGCCCACTCTGGCTCTGGGTTTGGCAGCTTCTCGGGGTTTCCTTCCTTCTCCCAGGAGAGCTGCAAGGCTGCCTGCTCTCGGGGTGCCTCCGGCTCGACACCATTGGCTGTGTCTGCAGCCTTTGGCTGCTGGCCCACGTCCCAGCTGCTGTCCTCTGGCTTTTTCTCCGCAGGGACAAAGTCAGGCTCCAACGGGGGACACCTGAGGTTCTGGGTGTGACCCCCAAGAGCACCCACCTCCTGCACATTTTCTTGGGGTGGAAACAAAAGCTCCTGGCCTATTCTTTGAGAAGAAATACAGCTGTCAAAGTCTGCCGGGGCCTTCTTGTCAAAAGCACTCAAGTACTCCTCCTCCCCTCTCTCCTCAAAGAGATCGCGCTGGGCACTTATGCCCCCTGACCTTCCAGGGGAGGTGCAGTAAGGGCTTTCATTCCTGAAAAGGAACCAGAGAAATCAGTCAATGTGATTGGAGCTCGGTTCCTGGGGTCCATGCTGAACACAGAGCTTAGTTTTAAGAAGAAAAAAATTTAGATGCTTTTAAAAAAGCAAAGAAAACACAAGCCAACATTTGCTCTATCTGTAAACAAGGTGCTGGGCTGTAGCCCCTGGAGTCCGCGAGCAAAGGAGGAGGCCGGGTGCGGTGTGGCTGGCATGCATGGGCTCAGTGCACCAGCCTGGAGACGAGAGGAGCCGGCGGTGCCCTGGAGCAACGAACAAGCTGGAGCCTGGAGCGGTGTGGAGCCCGGACCCGACTCCTGACCCACCTGCACACCCTGCCCTGCCTGCAGGGCCAACCCTCCCACATACCCAAGGTCAGCGACCCGGGCCTCCAGCCCCAGCACCACAAAGAGCCACTCTCACACCAGCATCCATGCACACCTCACACACCCTGGCCCTGCAGCGGCTTCTCAGGAACCACAGTCTTCTTCCCACTGCAGGGCAGTGGAAATGAGCAGGCGGTGGCTCACCTGATGTGCATGTCCATGGCCAAGGTGTCACCCGACTTGGCGTGGGAGAGCGCATAGCCCTTGTTTTGCAGCGCCATGTAGCCCTCGGGGCTCCACATCGGGGCCGGGTCAATGGCGGTCACCTTCCTTTCTTGCAGTGGCAGTACACAGTTCTGATCTTCAGAGCGACAGCCAGTCCCACTGAGGGAATCTTGGGGCATCATGGGCTTCATCAGTCCTAAAGAAGGCAGAGGACTAATCAACTTCACCTCATTCTTTTATTGACTTATCTTTGAGGTCCTCTTAAGACAGGGTCTCGCTATGCAGTTCAGGCTGGCTCTGAGCTCACTTTGTAGCCCAGGCTGGTCTCGAACTTGCAATGATCCTCCTGTCTCAGCCTCCTGAGTTCTGGGATGACGCCCGGCTGGTTTACTGGTTTTGAAATAATTTTTCTTTGCTTCTGCAAGGGTCACCCTGCTCAGCTGGTAGAGATTCAGGACTCCGCACAGCCTGTGCATGGGGATGATCCTTGGGCACCTCCAACACCGCACCACTTACAAGGCGACAAGAAGAAAAGAGCCTCTCTGGATCCTCAACCCAGTCCACTTGGGACCTCAGGGCCAACCTCGTCATCTCAGACCACCAGAACGGAAGAGACCATGGCCTGCTGTGCTGGAGGTGTGCCAAGACCGCAGGTGAAAGTGCCCAAAGACCCACTGGACACCAGGACAAACTGTCCAGTGCCACCAAGCTAAACTTAAAATGACCAAAAGCAGAAGAGGAAGAGCCAGGAAGCAAATTTAAAAACTTGCTGGACAGTAAGAGTGTCAAGTGGACACAGCTGGGCCAGGAGCTGGTCCACAAACTACAGGCCTAAAGCAAAACGTAAAGATTTTTCTTTTTGGGGTACTGGGAATCAAACTCAGGACCCTGTGCTTGTGAGGCGGGCACTTAGCCCCTGGGCTATCCCTGACCCTGAAGTTTTATGGTTTATGGCTGTTTTTGTGCTATACCAGCAAATCTGAGAAACAGATCAAATCCAAAGATACTGTGTATCTGGCCAGTGACAGGGAAAGACCTCGCACACCGGGAGGACTATGTTATCTGCCCACAGAGCAGCAAAACTGGAAGCTAGTACCATAACGGTTATCTTGAGGGTCAGAGAGGAATGGACTGTGCGCTGCCAAAAGAACAGGACGATCTCAGGGGAGCCAGGAGGAAAGAACAGATGGTAATGAAATAAAATCCAGTAAGATAAAGAAAACAAAAATGTACCAATTCTTTACAATAAATGGGATCACTACGCATACCTAAAATGTACCCACGAGATATGATTGAAGAAAAATAAGATAAACGAGGGAAGGCCAGATGTGACCTCCCATACCACGTCAGTCAACACTGCAAGGAACCAATCAAGGAACAAAAGGAGCGAGAAGTCACAAAGGACGGAAAGGGGGGCAGGGTAGCACTGCAGGGCTCGGGAAAGGGGACTCATCTCCCTGGCGCTCCCCAGCAAGCACCCTGCTAGGGCTTCCTGCTGTGAGCTTGGAGAGCTGTGACCACACAGAAGCCAGCATGGTTCGGCTCGGGAAGTGACACCCTTGGGCTACACCCTGCTGGCCGGACAGGCCCAGGCCGCTGGGCTCACCTGAAGGGTGCAGTGGTGAAGGGTAGAAGTCCACAGGGGTGCGGGCGGGCGGGATGCGGGGATCCATGTAGGACGGCATCATCATCCAGCGGGGGTCGAAGCCCAGCATCTGAGGGTGGTGCGGGAAGAAGGGGCGCTGCGGGTGGGAGGGTGGGGGGTACACTGGCTGCCAGTGCTGCATCTTGTACAGCTGCTCCTGGCCAGGAAGAGGGGGAGAGAGAGGAGTCACCGAGTGCGGGGATGAGATGCCACCCAGACACACACGCTCGCACGCACCTCTACAGCCTCGCCATAGGAAGACCCCTGGATAGGAGACGGAAGTGACCAAAGCTACCCCACGGGAGCCCCTGCCTGTCTCGGCTTTTGGGCCGGGGCCTCTTCTGGAGCTGGAGGAACAGTCACACTGCTAGATCTGCAACGGATGCCCCGATCCTGTGCTCCCCATGGACCAGGTTTCCATGGCGAGCAAATGCTGTCCCAGCCCCGCCAAGTCCAACCAATGCTGGGTGCTGGTCAGTAGCCGAAAGCTGAAACCACCCTCTCCTCTCCAACAGCCCAGCTGTGGTCTCAAGCTTACAAAGGACTCTCATGGCACATGGCTGGGGTCCTGTGGGACCTGCGGGCTTCTGTTTCTGACTTCCACACCTCTGCTTGGCACACGCCCAGGGGCCATGCATACTGGGCCTCTGGGAGGCCCCTCTTCGCTCCACCCCTCCCCTGCCTTTCCAGCTTATAACTTCTACAGCAATCCCAGCCCGGCCCCTACTCCCGTAGGCCCCAAATTCCTGTGATGTACTGAGAGACCATGCAGGCCTGGTCCACCGTGGCCAGCACCACACTGGCAGGAGGAGGGAGGCGCACGAAACGTTCAGGCCCCTGGCTCCAGCACCCGCCTCCCACATCAGCCTGCACTCACATCCTGGCACGATGCCCAAGGCAAACCAGACCCCAGCACATCCTGCCCGGGAGGCCTTGGGCACCTTCAGCCTACAGCTCATCCAGCACTGGGTTCCCAGGTACTCAAGAGAGCCCCAAGGTGCTTTACAGAAGTAGAGCTAGGTATTCCCATCCCGCCCATAGAGGGCGGGAGGTCCCTTCTCCTGGCTGGACCTCAGGTCCCCAGGGACCCTGGCCAGGCAGGCAGCCTGTGGCTCCCACACACCTCTGCGCCCCGAGGATGGGCCTGCTATGCCTGGGAGGAGGCAGTGTGCAGGGCCACTGACTGAGTGCCACTTTCCAGCCATCAGTTTCTAGCACCATGTGTGACCCCCACTGGGGGCCGCCCTGCCCCTGTGGCTCAGCCTCAGGGAAGTATAGCAGCCTGGCCAGGGCTAGAGGCAGCTGGCCTGACGGTGCCAAAACCCTGGGTCACAGGTGTCACCATGCCACAGGCAACTGCGATGGCACCCACAGCCCTCGGAATCTGCACAGCTGCGTGCTTCACTTCGCCCGGGGCCCATAGGCCCCCCACATTTGTAGGCCCCTTGCACCCCTGAGGTTCACCGAGCTACTCTGAAACAAAGATGCTGCTTTCAAGCTGAGCCAGGAGCACTCAGCACTGTGCAGCCCCTTTTCCTTCCTGGGGCCTTTGGCCCTTGGCGAAGCAGTCACCCACCAAAGTCACAGTCCTGTAGTGCCACCCCGCCTGAGGTCACTGGGATGTAAGAGTGTTAAGCCAGAGGTGTGATGGGGGACAGTGGAGCCCCACACGTCACTTCTGTCTGTTCACCTGCTGCTGCTGCTGGCGTTGGAACCGAGGAGGAATCGACTTCTGGTACTTGCTGAACTCCTGGGCGGGGGACCCAGCATCCCTGGCCTCCTCCTCGCTGCCACTGCTTGGAGCCACCACCGGGGAGGTCGTGGGCGCCTCTTCCAGGAACGGGGTGGGGGTGTCCTGTGCAGGGAACTCCGGGGAGGCTGGGAACAAGCAAGCAGAAAAGTGTGCTGTAGCCCCAGAGGCTTCCTCTGCCACTGCCTTAGAGGACGTGAAGGAGAGTGAGGGTGGCGGTCACACAGCCAGTGTCAGCAGCAGAGCCAGGATCTGTCACGGACCTCCACCAAACCAGAGAGCAGCTGTCACCCAATCTACAACCATATCTGCCTGCAGATCAAATGAACTCAACACACTGCAGCTCCTGAGACCCAGGCACTTAGTTCGGCATCTCCTCAAATGTTGTTTGGTTTGGTTTGAGACAGGGTCTCACTCTGTACTTCAAACTGGCTTTCAACTCACAGCGATTTTTCTGCCTCAGCCTCCCGAGTACTGGGGCTACAGAGGTGCACCACCACCCCCATCTCCACAGGGTGCTGATGAGAATGGAATGGGACTGGACTCAGCAGGATTTCTCCTCGGCTCCTGCCATCCAGCACTAAGAGACCTGCACTGACGCCAACGGGGTCAAAGGAAAACAGGAGATTCCCCAAACCCTGGGCAAATGGGCCCCGCTGGGGTGGCCAGAAGTCAGACTCTAGCCAAGAAGACTGCAGGGCTCCTGATGGGCTTGGTCTCCTAACCAGAGCTGCTGTAAGCCTACGGGAGGCAGCTATAGCACATGCAGTTGACTGCACTCCTGGACTCCAGGTGTCCCTGTCCCAGGGTCCGGACCCAGCTGCGCGACCTGTTCCTGTGGGGCTGACTGCCAGGGAGATGTGTTCAACAGGGGTGTGTGTGTGTGTGTGTGTGTGTGTGTGCGCGCGCGTGCGCGCGCACGCGCATGCATGTGTGTGTGAGTGTGTGTGCGTGCATGCATGAGTGTGCGTGTATCTATGGCCCTGAGCTCTAACAGTGAGGGCATGGACTCGAGAGGGGCGGGCAGGACAGCATCACTGAACAGTTTAAGAAATGGAAATTGGGGCTGGAGGTTTAGCTCAGCGGCATAAGCGCCTGCCTTGCAAGCAGGCAGTCGTGAGTTCGATCCCCGGTACCAATAAAAATGAAAAAGACCAAAAAAAAGTAATGGAAATGGGCATAGTGGTGCACCCCCCATCCTCCCACCACTGGGAAGGCTGAGGCAGGAGGATCACTGCAAGTTCCAGCCCAGTATGGACTACATAGCAAACTCAAGGCCAGCCTAACTGCCCAGCGAGACCCTGTCTCAAACAAACAAAGTTGAAATAGGCTGGGAATCCACCCACATGCGCCTGCTGATACAGTCTCGTTTTAGCTACAGGCTCCACTAGAAGTCACGGTGCAAAGCCCAGGGCCCTCTCACCTTTGTGGATGACAGGCCCATTCTCCTGGGGGGTGGCCTTCTCTGGGCCCGGGGATGGCGGCGCTTCCTTCTCCGCCTGCTTCTGGGCCTCACTGGCCTTCTGGGCCTGCTTGCACTTCTGGTCCAGCAGTTTGAGCTTGGCCGCGCAGGCCGCCAGCCTCTCCTCCCGTGCCCGGCGCTCCTCCTCCTCCCGCCGCTTGCGGGCTCGCTCCACAGCCTCTGACATCTCGGACTGGATGAACCTCTGCCGCGGAGGGGGCTTGTCCTCCTTGTCTTCCACGGACTGCTGCCGGAACACACTGCCCACGGGGGGCTTCTGCCAAGGCGGGACCAAGTTTGGTGAGAGGTGGACCCGAAACCGGGCACAGGGGCCAGATCCTCTGGGAGACCCGGTTCCCTCATCACAAAACTCTTCTCCCCACGAAAACTCAAAGCCAGGAGAAAACAAATTCACCACCACACACACGGCCTCAAATTGGTCTTTACATAAAAATGAAAAATTAGGGGCTGGGGATTTAGCTCAGTGGCACAAGCACCTGCCTGGCAACTGTGAGGTCATGAGTTTGATCCCTGGTACCGCAAGGAAAAGAAAATAAGAAAAATCAACCAGGTTTGGTGGCATATTCCTGTAATCCCAACACTCAGGAGGCTGAGGCAGGAGAAGTGTTGCAAGCTAAGACCAGCCTGGTCTACAAAGTGAACTCCAGGCCAACCTGAACCATCTAAAAAAGACAGAAGAAAAAAAAAAGTTTGATTCCCAGTACCCTTTACCCCCAAAAAGGTGATGTGACTAAGGTTTCCGCCTTCTCTCGAAGGTCAGTTTTTTTTTTGTTTTTTTGTCTTTTTATCGGTACAGGGGATCGAACTCAGGACTGCCTGCTTGCAAGGTAGGCACTTATGCCGCTGAGCTAAATCCCCAGCCCCAGGTCAGTTATATTTAATCAAGGACACGCCATGTGGGGCACTCAGGTGAGCATCTGGAATCCCCACTGGAGGGATGGACAGGAGGATACAGAGCTCAAGGCCAGACTGGGGCGCACATTGGCAAGGGCCTGACCCAGAATGCCAAGATGAACAGGAGAAGGAGGAGGGCCGGAGGAGGAAGGCGAAGCAGTGTTTCCTTGGTTCAAGAACTCAACTCCTCCCCCAGTTCTGATCACAAACCCAAATGGCCATGAACCAAATCGAGTCCCCCTCTGGTCAGCACCGGACCCAGCCACTGAGTTTGACTTAGTTCACAACCATTTCGCTTTGTGACCAGAATCGTGAGAAGAGCTGTTTGTGAAACTGAGGTTCCACTGTACCATGCTGTGGTTAAGAAGCTTCCTCCTGAAATCGCCTTACAATCCACAAACAATAAGATGATGCAATTCCAAGGCGGAGGCTAGAAGGCACCACATCGCATATACGCTTGGGACTTTCTCGTCACCGCTGAGCTGGGTCCCTGCTGTGCTTTGGCAACGGCTGTGCAGTGATCACTGCCTAATTTATACCATAAACTCCCTGAGGCCCCGGATAGGTATGGTGCTGAATGCATGTGATCCCCACACTCGGGAGGCTGAGGCAGGAGGATCACTGCAAGATTGAGAGCAGCCTGGGCTACACAGTGAGTTCAAGGCCAGCCTGAACTGCATAGTGAGACCCTGTCTCAAAAAGACAAAAAAAGAAAGAAAGAAACACTACCCAGGACTTTTCAGATGCCGAGCGCAGAGTTCAGCGGAATGCCAGCACCCCAGGACAGTGGCCCTGAGACTCAGGGAATCCTGTGAGTGGTGACTGTGAGTGGTCAGGAGAGGGGGAGGGGGCCTGCCCCTGTACCTGGTGCTCTGGGCCCGACGCCCAGCTGTGCAGCTTCCTGACCGGCGGCTGAGGCTCCGGCACTTTCCAGATGACGCGGGACAAACTGGAGGCCTCACTCCAGTCCCTTGCCTCCTCCTGGGTGCGCTTGGCATCGGCACTGTCGGCTGAGCTCACGGACAACTGCCGCTGTTGCCTCGGGTCCCAGCCGTTCCTAGGATGACGGGTGCTTGTGTCAGGCGTGCTGGGCAGCCTGACAGCGTGTGAGCACCAGCCAGCTGGGGCCCTGGGCCCCCGAGCCAGGCGTTCTTACCAGCTCCCTTGGCCACACGCACCCAACACCTGCTCCTCACACATGAGTATGCACAGTGTCATGCCATTCACAGAGCTCCAGGCTCCCCCATTCCTAGGCCTTTGCACCCCACAACTTCCTGCCTTCCTCAGGGAGCAAAGGGGGTCCTGCAGGGTGACCTGGTGAAGGAGGAGAGCCATGGAGCACGGGCATGTCACACCCAGTGGAGCAGGGGCTGGAGATTTAGCTCAGCGGTATAAGCGCCTGCCTTGCAAGCGGGCAGTCGTGAGTTCGATCCCTGGTACTGATAAAAAAAAAAAAAAAAAAAAAAAAACGAAAAAGACACACCCAGTGGAGCCAGACCACGGTGCTAAGGACAGCAGGTATTTAAGAGCCTGGCCAGGGAGACTGGCGAGCAGCCTGGGTCCCCCCACACCTGCACCCACACCAGGCAGAGGCAGATGGGGCTGGGAGGTCATAAGGAGAAAGAGCAATAACGGCCAAGGACCTCTGATCTGTCCAAGAGAACCCCTCCGAAGTCTCTGGCTCTTCCAGAAAGAGCTGCGTTCTTAAGAGAACACCTCACAAAAGCTGAGTGTGACAGGTGGGCTGAGAGGACAGGGTGAAAAAGAAAAGAGAAGCCGGGCACGGTGGTGCACGCCTGTAATGTCAGCACTCGGGAGGCCGAGGCAGGAAAGCACTGTGAGTTTGAGACCAGCCTGGGCTACACCGTGAGCCCAAGGCCAGCCTACAATAAATGGTGAGACCGTCTCAAAAAAAAAAAAAAAAAGAAAAAGGCACACACAAGGAGAGGTGCTGGACCCAAGTGCCCTGGAGACCGAGGACAAGAGGGGACAGAGGCAGGAAGACATAGGGCAGCGTCAAAGACAGCCTGGAAGCTGCAGTGTGTGTCCTCGAGAAAGCACAGTGGCAGGAACAGGTCACTAGGTCACACTGGGGCACAGCCAGCCATAAGGCAGGACCCAGAGCCCAGGTTTGGGTCCTTCAGCTGAGCGTGCAATGCACGGAAACGGAAGGTGACAGGGACAAAGCATCCCACTGTCCCAAGGTCTGTGCCACCCGCCTCTTGCCTAGCTGCACCGCAGCCCTGCATCTCCTTCCGATGCTCCAGGATCGAACCCAGGGTGTGAGGCCCAGGCAGCCAGAGCTGAGGCTGGCGGCAAGGCCTGGGAAGACGGTGCCCAGCTCCCCCAAGAAAAGAGGCTCCGGCCCTTGCGTCCAGGACTTAGAGATGAGGGAAGGACTTGTACTCAGCCACAGCAACACGTGACTGCAGACACAAAGGCAGCCTGCGAGGAGAACGTGCACCAGGCCGCGAAGCTTGATGCGGAAACACGCAGAGTAGTTGCTCCTAAGAGGCGGTGCTGTGGTGTGGCCCCGCGGGCCTGAGAGGCCAGCAGGCACATTTCTGCAGCAAACACGCCAGCTGCAGCACCACGAGGATCTTAGGCAGAGCCAAGACTACCGCTATTAGGGTAAGAACCTAAAGGCGTGGGCCAGCTGTAACTGCAGCATTCAGGAGGCTGAGGCAGGAGAGTAACAAGCTCAAGCTTAGCCTAAACTATGCAGGGTGACCCTGCCCGAAAAAAACAATACAACACTGAAACCGGCAGAGTGCCAGCAGCCTCTTCCGAAGGGACACTGGGTACAATTAGGCCAATGAAGGGTGGAGGGGGCCAGGCAGGTGTGGGGAACCTGGCACATGCCTGCTCCCGGGAGCCCCTGCACGGTGCGAGTCCTCCCAAGCCACCCCAGCTGCAAACCGGACCCCCCAGCTGCTCCTGCTGGGTGGCGATGGGGAGCAGGAGACGCCTCAGGACAGCAGCCAGCACAGTTGAGCCCTGACACGTTTCCACACAGGGGACAGACACCAGGCGACACGGGCCGTGCCCGGGGCTTACCACTTGGGCCGGCCATCCTTCACAGCCTCCTCCTCCTCCTCGTCATCACTGAACTTGAGCTTCTCAGAGTAGTCTACTTCCTCGTGGAGGCCTGCAGCAGTGGGGCAACCAGGGACAACAGACAACTGTCAGCACGTGAGCCCCCAGCCACAGAGACTGCCCCCGGCCACCAGTACGCCCCACAGGAGCCAGGGAGCCATTGGCCACCTCCAGCCACCACCTGCACCAGTCGGCAGGTGCCGAGGAAGGGCAGATGCAGATAGGCCTTTATCGCGACAAAGTATTGTATACTTTTACTTCAAAGCATAGAGTGGGGAGAGGGGCAGAAAGGAGACTGCAGCCTCCCTGTGCATCACAGGAACTTTACAGGAGCTGGGAAGCCACTGCTGGGCGCTTTGCTCTTTTTTTTTTTTTTGTACCAGGAATTGAACTCAGGACCCTGCCTCTGCCAGGCGAGCCAAGTGCGGCTGAGCCATGTCCCTGGCCCCGTCTGGTACTACTGAACCCAAAAGTTCATCAGCTGATGGGCCAAAAAAACACAGTTTAAAGAAAGAAAGAGGAAAAAAAAACTCCACACGGTGGAGTTCGACTTGGCCACGCAGGGGAGGAACCCACACCTTCCACAGGATTAACCCCGCATGCACCGTGCTGAGTGCAAAGGCCACGTGCCCACGTGCCACACACAGTAAGGTTCTGTTCACAGGAAAGGTCCCAGAAACGCAAATCCACAGCGCAGAGGGCGTGGGGGGGCTGTCAAGAGCTACAGGTTTCTACTGGGTGTGGCAACTCTGTAATCGGACAGCAGGGAGAGACACAGCTATGAACAGACTAAAAATAACCCAATTATTGCAATAAGGAAAGATTTTGTATTATATGAAAACATTTCAGGTGAAACCCTGTTTTAGAAAAAGAGTAACAAGACCAGTACAACGGGGCATGCCGGGACTCCGAACACTCAGGAGGCTGAGGCAGGAGGGTTGCTGTGACTTCAAGGACAGCCCGGACTACAAAGGGAGACCCTCAAAGAGAGAAAGAAAAGGAAAAGAAAGAAAGAAAGAGAGCATAGCCAAACACCTGCAAAAACGCTCTCGGAAACAAAGAAACCAAGACCTGGCACCAAAGATACTACAAGAAATTACAGCTCAGCTTGGCCTACACAATGAGGTTCTGTCTCCAAAAAAAAAAAAAAAAGTACTCTTCTCCTACGCCCCATACTGGGGGCGCTGAACCCCAGGACAACCCTCACTCGCGTCCCCAGCTCTCTATGTTTATTTAGGTTTTAAATTTTGAGATAGCGTCTTGCTAAACCACCAGGATGGCCTGAAACTGGTGGCCCTCCTGCCTCAGCCTCCCAGACAGCTGTGGTGAGGCGTGCACCACTGCACACAGCGATTTACTCCTTTAAGCACAGCTGAAGTCCAGGGGCAACAAACAAAAAGAGGCACAGAAGAAAAGAATCAGACCAGGGTGGGGAGGGGCAGACACATCAGAAAGGAAGACGGCTGCTCGCCTGACTGAGCTCATCTTTTAGGCTGTTTTGTTTAAACCTCCACCACCTGGAAGGCTGAGGCAGGAAGATCAAAAGTAGAGAGTTCGATCTTAGCAACTTAGTGAAAGCCAGTTTCAAAAAACACCATCAAAGAAGGCTGGAGTATAGCTCAACAGAGGACCCGGCTCAGTCCCCCATACAAAGCTGAATCTTGCAAAGCTCCACGGTTCAGGGCAAAGGCCAGGAGCCCATGCAGACTGCTCTCAAAGCAGCCCTGGTGTGCCAGGAACATAGAGCCTCAGAGCACAAAAGGAAGCTGCTGTTGCCCTGGCCATCACACCTCCCTCAGAGATGGCCCCAGCTTGCCCTCCTGAGCCCCACCTGCCCAGCCATCGTCTGCATCCGTGTCCAGGTCGTCGAGGCCCTTCAGGTTCTCGGCGTTAATGATCGTGGGCCGTGGCGCACGCTCCACCAGCTGCCGCAGGGGCCGTGCTGGGCGTGGGAGCCCCGGCCTGCTTTCCTTGCTGATGGGAGACAGGTAAAGGGGACAGGGACAGTCACACCAGCACCACTTGAGCCCCCCAGGCCCTCTGCAGGGGCCCCCCATGGCCTTACCCATCCTGCTCATTCATCTGGAACAGCCTGAAAGGGACGCGGGGCTCCAGGCGGAGCTGGGGGAGAGGGAAAGAGCCTCGCTCTGCTGGGCCCTGGTTTTCCGACGACTGTGGTGAACACATCTGAAACAGAACGTCCAGGATTTTCCAGCAACGCCATGGATTCCAGGTCCCACTAGGGTCAGGGCTTTCTGTTGTGGCTGTTGTTTTGAGACAGGGTTCCATTATACAGTTCAGGCTGGCTTCAAACTCACTATGGAGCCCGGGCCGGACTTGAACTCCCAGTGATCCTCCTGCCTCAGCCTCCTGAGTGCTGGGGTTATACAGGCATTGGCACTGTTACAATTTGTTTTGGAAATGGGAGGAAAAAAAAAAAAAGCCTGGGGGGCTCCTCACGCATCTCCAGGCCCCCATTCCCTTCCTGTGGCCCTCAAGTCGGTGAGAGGACTGTTTTGAGGACCACTAAGGCTGACACTGTGGCCAAGGCACAGACACAGGGGCCAGAGACCCCCAGGACTTAAAAGTGGCAGAGGGAAACCACCCATCTGCTGTGTGGGGCACAGACTGGGCATGGAGGAGCACCCCAGCGCAGGGGGCACCCCAGGCAGGGCTGAGCCCAACCCAGACTTACAAAGGCGGGCAGCATGTCATGGTAGGTGGGTGGGTGGTACACATTGCCCACAAACTGCGAAGCCCCTTTGCGGACGGGCTGGGCTGGGCGGAGCGAGGGGTCCTTGGCATCACTGGCACCGGCTGACGAGGGGGCTCCGTCTCCCACGCCTGCACCCCTGCTGCCCGGCTCAGGCGGGGATGCGCTCAGAGCCACAGCAGTGATGATGTTCCGCCCGCCGCCCTCCCTCCAGCTCGTTACGTCTGCAAGGGAAAGGGGTGCAGAGGAGAGGAGAGCGTGAGGGGTCTGAGGGGTCCCGAAGGTCAGGGCACCAACATGTTCTGTGACTTTTCTTTTTTTTTGATACCAGGGATCAAACTCACAACCTCACACTTGCCAGGCAGGTGTTTGTGCCACTGAGCTAAATCCCCAGCCCACATTGTCCTTAAAGATAATACCAAAAAGTTAAACATCAGAGGCGGTGTCCTTAAAGATAATACCAAATACCATTGTCCTTAAAGATAATACCAAAAAGTTAAACATCACGGTCTGCCGAGGAAGGCTGGGGACAAGGGCTGGGGTTTGTCGGGAAAACTGAGGCCCACTCAGAGAGAAGGCACGGGTAAGCAAGACCTGGCTGCACTCCCAGAGCCAGGGCGCATGTGACACAGGACAGACCCCATGAGGTCACCTAGGCCCTGACCGGGCCGTGGGGCTTCAGCTCTGGGCTGACAAAAGCCACAGCAAACCAAGACACCTGGCCACCACCTAACAGAAGCCACTAGTGGCCGGGGGGGGGGTCCCTTTGCCTTCTGGGCCTGAAGACTCAGAGGAGCCCCTTATCCAAGGGGGCACCCCTAAGGCCCCCAGAGGATGCCTGAAGCCCAGGATAAACCAAACCCTAGGTAAATTTTTTTTGTGTCTATCCAGTACGGTAAAGAGCGAGCTATCACAACTAAAATACATTAAAATAGCCTCTGCCTACTCTCAGAATAGCTGTGGGTTTGTTTGTTACTAAGGATTTAACTCTGAGCCTTTGCACTAAGCTATATACTCAGTCCTTTTTCTTTCTTTCTTTTCTTTCTTTTTTTTTTTTTTTGTGCCAGGAATCAAACTCACAACCTTATGCTTGCCAGGCAGGCGCTGTGCCACTGAGCTGTATCCCCAACCCTTTTTTGAGACAGGGTCTCACTCAGCTGCCCAGGCTGGGCTCTTGCCTCGGCTTCCCAAAGTGCTGGGATTGCACCACTAATACCTGGCTCAAAAAATGCTGTATTGTTCAGTAATGTTCTAGGTAAAGGGGCCACCCCGAAGGCACAGAGACAGCAGATGTGCTGCGGCTCTTCAGTCACCTCTGACTGGGAGCTGGGACAAGAACGAAGTCCCCACATTTGGGACCCATGAGAGAGAGAGAACCAGAGGATGAAAGCCAGGCTGCCCCGCTTGGCTGTAGGGGTCCGGCTCAGCCGAGGTCACCCTGGGCCTTCACAAACGAGAGGAAACTGGTCCTAGAGGCTGCTTCTGCTCCTCATTATACCCTGAGCAGCTGTCTTAATTAACCCCAGAAAGGCGGGACTCTGCCTCGTATTTGCTGCGTTTGCAACAAACAAAACCGACCCATGCGGGCCACTGGCAGGCATCCGGAAGGTGACAGCAGCGTCATGTGGTTCACAGAAGAGGTCATCAGGGAGGGTCTGCCTGATCACAAAGATGCAGCCTCCAACAACCACCAGGAAAACATGCGAGCAAGGCAGCGACCCCGGAGGGGACCTGGCCCTGCTCAGACCAGACCAGCGCTGTGCTCCTGAAGGTGCCACCCAGGCACTCTGCACGGCACGCCCCCATGGCGCCCAGTCCACAGGAGGACCCGCAGCAGCGCTGGGCAGGGCCAGGGATGTGGCTGGCCCGGGGGGGGGAGGAACCACACCCCAGATGGCCCAGGCAGGATTCCGCAGCCGACCCTTGTCACCCGGTGACAGACAGGAAGGAGACAAGAAAGGCAAGGTGAGAGCTGCCGGGAAGGGGGCCTCCCAGACCAGGAGCAGGCGTGGACTCGCAGCCTGCCTTCCAGGAGAGCACAGACACGGCACCAGGCGGCACCAGGGCTCCCGCCACTCGCAAGGCCAAGGCCAGGCCAGGCGAGGCAACTGCGCTTACTCTGTGGGCGGAGGCTTGGTCCTGGCCCATACGACAGATCTAAGACGCCCTTTTCTTTGCCAGCCTTGTCCTGGCCCCCAGCTGCTTTCAGCGTCGGAAATTCCTCGGGAGAGAAGGATAACAGTCGGCTTGAGCCCCTTAAACCTGCGGAGACCGGGGACAGGAGGAGCGGTGAGCAGGTGGCCAGCTGTCTCAAGCCGCCCCGATGGGGCTCCAGCACAGCCTCCCCACGCCAGAAGTCAGGCAGAGTCAGGCCCTAGGCAGCGACCACAACCACATGGGGTCACGCCACACAGCGCCCTGAACTGCCTTGGGCCAGAGTCCCTCAGTGGTCACCTCTCCTGCAGTTACCGCTTCCCATACTTGGCCTGGGGCCCTGCCTGGCCAGACATGGGCTCAGGTGATATGTCCCTCCCCCCTTGGCACCACTCCTCCTTTACAGAGCGCTCCCCTCCCCGCCTCTGTCCTGAACTACTGCAGCAGAGATTCACAGCCACTTCCAGATGGCCAGGTGACAGGACCACATTTTAAATCCCCAAGTATGCACTGATCGGCTGTTCTGGACTAGGGAGCCCTCGGGACCACTGTAATGCCCCGCCACACTGACACTGCTGCCACATCTTCAGAGAGGGGATGGATGAGCCACTGGTAAGGACGGGACCCTGCGTCCTCCAGCAATTACAGGGGACATCCGAAGGCCCCCAGGAGGAGCCAGGGCTCTCAGACAGGGACATTGGTGAAGCTGCGCCATTCTGTTAAGAGTCCTTGCCAAGAAGGAAAGAGTTAAAGTCCCGTTTTTTGTTTTTGTTTTTCAGTACTAAGGATTGAACTCACACCCTCATGCTTGCCAGCGAAGCTCTTGAACTGCTGAGCTGGATCCCCCAGCCCTGAAGTCCCACTCTGAACAAGGCGGGGTGACCTGAACCTCCATGTGCCCCTCCTGCCTCTCCTTCCACCTCAAGAGCCACAAAGACGGTACCAAGAGCACAGATTCAACGTTGCCCCCACAAACAACAGGGCGAATGCGGACTTAAACCCCCAGCGCCACAACGCCAGCGGCCACAGAGCCTCCGGCTTCTGCTGAGCCAAGCTCAGGGCTTCAAGCCGTCCAGGCCACTGGGCCATCCTGTGCGTGGAGACAAACTGCCACTTCCACAACATCCCTTTGCCAAGCGCCACGAGAACATGTGTGGTCAGCGCCCCCAGTCCCCTACCCTGACAGCATCACACGTGACCCAGGCGAAGCCCGATCCTCAGCCCGCCTGCACTTGGGAGACCTCTGCGGTCACTGGCGCCGCTGTCTCCCACCGAGGACTTTCTGTGTTTTTGACTTATTTTCCAGGTGAAGGTTTTTGCTTTGAAACAGGGTCTCACTTTGTAGTCCAGGCTGGCCTTGAACTCATGGGGATCCTCCTGCCTCAGCCTCCCAAATGCTGGAAAATTCAAGTGTGCCCCACCATGCCTGGCCTCGTTTTTCCCAACTCTGAGCACTCTATCCTTGATCATGTCCCAAAGCTGGGCTCAGTCGCAGAGGCTGGCTTGTCACAACCACAGCCTGAAACGAAAGCCAGGTCCCCAATACCTTTTCCCATGGTCCCCATGGAGAAAAGTCACTAGGTGCCAGCCACAGGACCGAGGAGGCAGCAACTCCACCCAAAGGGCAGCTGAATCTGACCCGTGCCCAGGCCTCCCCGGCACCCCAAGGACTGTGTGTGGCAGCGGCAGTACAGAGTCCAAGGGTTCATGGCCCCTGTAGCGCCAGCTCCTCCGCCAGCAGCCACTTTGGCCTGCACCGGCTGTACCAGGCTTCGAGGTGCCTGGATGCTCCCAGAAGGCCTCGGGGGTCACACACACTTACCACCTTCGTGTCCTGCTGGCTTTCCATTCAGCTGTGCCCATGACTTTGGTCCACCTGGCACTGAATTTGTATTCTGGAAAACAGGAAGCGAAAGTAAGCTCTGGTGACACAGTGAGACCCTGTCTCAAAACCGAACAAAACAGCAACCCAGGAGGGCCACGCACACCCCAGGGTGGCTCCAAAACAGGGAGCAACTTGGACATCTGGGTACCGTGGTCACCAGGATCTGCACACAGCTCTACCATGCCCAAAGCCCTCAGGTCCCCAACTGGAACTGCGCCACCTTTGCCAGTTAACAGCTGCCTTCATGACCTGCCCTGAAGGTCTGTCCCTATTTGCCCAGTGATCCAGGCTCCCTGACCCCATGGGAAACTAAGTCCCATTCCCCAGCAGGCCAGCGGCACTCCTTGGGGTGCTTTTTTTGGTCTTTCTAAGACAGGGTCTCGCTATCCAGTTGGTTTGAGCTCACTGTGCAGCCCAGGCTGGTCTCAAACTTGCCACCCTCCCCTCCCAGGATTACGGGGATTATTACATGGAGCACCACACACTAGTCTCCCTGGAACATATCTGGGGAAACTGAGGAAACCTGTGGTCAATCTAAATGGCCCCACAGAAAGGCAAATCAGCAAAACCAAAGCAGGCGCCTGTGTCCTGCTCAGTATCTGCAATCTTTCTCCAAATGAACATATCACCCAGGCGCGCTGCACTCGCCTAGAATCCCAGCACTTGGAAGGCCAAGGCAGGAGGGTTCCCCAAAGTTTGAGGCCTGCCTGGGGTACACTGTGAGACTCCATCTTTTTTTTTTTGTCTTTTTCGTTTTTATCGGTACCAGGGATCGAACTCACGACTGCCTGCTTGCAAGGCAGGCGCTTATGCCGCCGAGCTAAATCCCCAGCCCTGAGATTCTATCTTTAAAAAAAAACAAAATGCACAGCTGCAGCTCAGTCCTCAAAACTGCAGATCAACTGTCTTTATGGGGACTGCAAATCCTTGGCACTCTCTCATCCTGGGCCACACACACACACCCCAGGGCACGCAGCACCCACCTCCTGGCTGATTGACTGCGTCGGCTTCTGCAAATTGGAGACAGATTTCTGCAAACCCGGCTGCGGCAGCGACTCCAGCGGCTGACAGCCCGTTGCACTGGAACTAGGACAGGGAGGACACCAAAGGGACATTAGACCCGAGCAGGTCACGGGACAGGACACACTTCCGAGCACCATGGCAGGCAGCTACTCCCTGCGCACCACAAAGATCGCTTTCTCTGGGGGAGCAGACATTGACAAGGGCTTGCCAACTGGCCAATGGGGAAAATGAGTTACAAGCCCCTTTCTCCTGACCTTGGCCCGTGCCTACAGTGGGGCGGCTGCTTTGACACTTCACAGCTTCCCTCTCCTCTGTCCCCTCATCAAAGAAATGCATTTCTAGGAAAGATAAACCCAGGACGAGCCAGGCCTAGTGGTACATGCCTGTGATCTCAGCACTCAGGAGGCTGAGGCAGGAGGATTGCTATGAGTTCAAGCCAGCCTGGACTACGTAGCAAGACTCTGTCTCAAATAAATAAATAAGCAACTGGATGGGCTATAATTTAGCCAACCTTTAATGTCTTTCCTGGGTACAGATAAAGCTGCAGTAGGTACAAATCCTTCGCTTTTTTTGTTCGTTTTAATTTGTTTTGAGACGGTCTCACTATGTAGCCCCAGCTGGTGTGGAACCGCTGGCGCGCCTCCTGCCTCAGCCTCCCGAGGGCTAGGATTACAGGTGCACACCATCATGACTGCTGGATCAGTGTTTTGTTTTTTAAGTAAATAGCTCAGTGACATGTGATCTTAGAAATAAAATTATTAGATCAACAGATGTTCAGGAGTTTAAAGACATGAGCAAACTGTCCCCCAAAAAGGCTGTGGCAAGTGCCAGTGTCCTCGCTCACCTTCTGAGGAAGCAGTGGGGGAGGGGTCTTCCTCCCAGCTCTCCACTGCACAGAGCCACAGGAGGGCAGAGGAGGGCACAGGAGGGCAACCAGCCATCTGGCAAGGTGCCACCATGCTGTGCCAAGCTCCCCTCGGACTCCTCCGCATGCCTGCAACCTAGCTCCCGCGCCCTTCCTGATCCTGCCAAGGGAGGCCACACCCCTCCACACTTCCGCACACTGAGGCTTCCAGGAAGAAGCACTCCAAATCCAAGCACTGGGTGCCCCGTTGGAGGCCCCACTTCTCCTCTTCTGTCTCCTCACCATCTCCCTGCTTTGGAACAACTGGCCCTTAAGAGAGGCACCAGAGGCTGGTAATTTAGCTCAGCAACGTAAGTGCCTGCTTGGCAAGAGCAAGGTCATGAGTTCGATTGCTGGTACAAAAAAAACAAAACAAGAGGGCTACCTGGCACCTGTGTGCCAATGCTGGCTAATACTGGATAAAGGAAGGAGAAGCCGGGCACAGTGGTGCACACAGCAGCCATCCCAGCCCTCTAGGAGGCTGAGGCAGGGAGATTCCAAGTTTGAGCCTGGCCTGGGTCACTCAGTGACTTAGTGAGATTTTGTTTCAACATGAAAAACACAAAAGGGGCTGGGGACGTAGTGCAGGGTGAAGGCCCTGGGCTCCAGCCCTGGCACCAAAAACAGGGGAGGGGGAAAGCACCTTTAGGACCCATTCCCTCTCTCCTGCTATAGGCTCAAGCACTGCCTGTGCCCCTCTGGGGTGAGGTGGCTGCAGGGGACACAGGGGACAAGGGGACGGGGGGGGGCAGGAGACACGGGGGACCGGGGCCACCAGGGACAAGGCTGCCACCAAGGCCGTCGCCTCCACCCCAAAGCCAGGAGAGGCAGCTTCCCCAGCTCCACACACGAGGCCAGCATGGTCACGCAGCCAAGCCCAGGCCGCTGGGGCCGCCTGGTACCGCTTCTGCGGCCTGGCTCACCTCTTTGGGTCTTGCTGGTCCGTCTTGTTTGCCCATCCCGTACCGTCCTTGGGTACTATTACGATGTTGGGGTCGTTTCCTTTGTTCTCAGACTTCAGGCTCGGCAAGTTTGCCGGCGGCGGCATGCGCCGGGCTGTGACCACCTTCCCGAGACTTTGTAGGCCATGTCTAGGAACAACTGCAGGGGAGAGGTGTCAGCCAGCACGGGTGTGGAAAGGGCCAGCACCCGGCCAGCACTTCCCGCGGGACCTGCAGGGGCCTCCAGGGCATGAGCCTCCCAGAGCCAGGGCCAAGTGCAAGGAGGGGGCAGAGGGTGAAGGAGGGGACACAGGGCAAAGGCCCCGCCTGCCCTCCAGGAGCCCCCAGAGGCAGCTGTGCAGGGCTGCGATGTGCAGCCAGGCCTGGGGACTCCACGGGGAGCAGCCCGAACCCCGCCCTGCCTCACCTGAGGATCTGGCCGCGTCTACTGATCTTCCCTTATACTTGTCAAACAGGCTGAGGGTCGAGTACTTGCTTTTCCCATCCTTGCCCTTCGTTATTTGCCCCAAACGATCGGACATTGCGATGAAATGTCATCGAGTAGGGAAATTTGTCTCGGCACCGCTCCCGATCTGCCTTTGGGGTGGAAAGGAGATGGTCTGTTAAGCACCAGGACCTGGGATCCCAGGACTCAGCTTGGGTCTCCCCAGCGGGGCCTGGGCTGTCGCTGAATAGCCTGCCATCCCCCAGCGTTCCCACCAGGGGGCGCTCAGCACACACCCATGAGCCAGGCTGTCCGCCACTTCACCTCCGCAGGGCTGCCAATCTCAGAGTCCCTGTCGTGCCGCTCAGGGAGGGGCACCTGAAGGCGGGGACCTGGAGTGCGCAGAACCCCACACCAGAGGCAGCAGGCTCACACCTTCGCTGTGCAAACCCAAGTCAGATCAAAGCCACCAGACACACACTTCTCCAGCACCTGTCATCCTAGCACTCGGGAGGCTGAGGCAGGAGAAGGGCCATAAGTTCGAGGCCAGCCTGCGCTGAACAGTGAGACCCAGTATCAAATAATTGTATTTAACTTTAAAACATACAAAAAATAAAGTGAAAAGAAACACAATTTAGGGCTGGGGATTTAGCTCAGCGGCATAAGCGCCTGCCTTGCAAGCAGGCAGTCGTGAGTTCGATCCCTGGTACCGATAAAAACGAAAAGACAAAAAAAAAAAAAAAAAAAAAACACAACTAAAAAAAAAAATGAAAATATACTCCCAAAGGTAGAGAGGGCCCTGAAGGAGGGCAGAACGCGGACTCACACATTTGTCAGTGGCCAGGACCACCTGCATCATCCCAGCAGGGCACACTGGGCTTGACTGGAGAACTGTGAATGTGGGGAAGGCTGGATTGGTTTTTAAACTTGTTTTGTTTTGTTTTTGTGTTTCTGAGACAGGATTTCACTATGCAGTTCAGGCTGGCCTGAACTCCAACCAATCCTTCTGTCTCAGCCTCTGGAATGCTGGGGTTACCAAAGTGCACCACCACAGCCAGTTTAAACAGTGTCGATTCTCTCAGTAGAGAGCTGGATGTTCCCATGCCCAGACCCTGTGTCACCCCACACTGCGCATCTCCCAGGACGCTGGAGGCTAGGCGATGGTCCCTGGGTGCCTGGAGTGTGCCAGGAAGGCCAAGGGCCCTCAGGGTACTGGCAAGAGCAGGGGCATCAGGCAGTGTGAGCAGGCGTGGGTCAGAGGCCTCTGGAGGAACCACATGGGCCCCCCAACATACCCTTGAGGCTCCCTGCAGACTCTGGACCTCCAGGACAGAGCGTTAGTAAATCTACGCTGTCTCAGCCGTGACCCAAATGGTCACTTGAGACAAAAGCAGAAAAAAGTAGGGCTGGGTGCGGTGGCGCATGTCTGTTCCCTCAGCACTCAGGAGGCTGAGGGGGAGGATCACAAGTTCCAGGAGCCCATCCGAGCTGCTTCCTGAGATCCTGTCACAAAACAGAAAATTCTAAAAAGGCCGGCACGTCACTCTGTGTGAGGGTCTGGGTTCCAGCTCCAGGGTCTTGGGGCAAAAACAAAAGCCAAAGGAAACAATCGCTCACTCTGTAACAGCACCAGGTGCCACAAGAAGCCGCATCCAGCCCACAACCCTGCCCTGTGAGTCCACCATGATGACAAGTGCCAAGTGGCAGCTGCATCTCCCAGGTCCCTGGCCACAGTGCTGTGCGCGTCGCTGAGCTCTAGCATCTCCCCCTGGCAGCCAGCGGTGCCACCTGCGGTCCCCAAGGCTCCACCCTGCACACGGCTCAGGACAAGCTCGGGCTCCAGCAACCAAGCGCAGTCAGTGCTGTAGTCCCTCCGCGGGGCCCTGGGGGCTGAGGGCTGAACCCCGCCTCCCACAGCTCAGGCGGCTCTCCGGCCCAGTGCACACCCAGCCCTGGGATCTTTACACGATGGGAAGACAATAAATGAAATCGAGAGGAGGCACGATCGGTCCAGAGCTACCCCCCCCCCAGCTGAGCGTCAGCAGGCTCGGGAAGCCAGCGTCGCCTGGAGGGAAGGGAGGCGCCCAGAGACCAGAGGCCACGCTCCCCATCAGACACCCAAGTCTTAGCAGTGACCAGAATCCAACGAGTACTGTGCAGAATAACAGACAGAGGAGGGGACAGGGAGGATCTTTGGCAAATGAGAGGTGCAGATGAGATTCTGCTGGGTGCTGGGATTCCAAGCGCACAGCACCGCCCCCAAGACAGTGTTAAAGACCCCTACCTGCCACATCTCAGGGACCCCTTCACTGCTGCAGGCGCGCACACACACACACACACACACACACACACACACACACACACACACGTATTTCTATTTGACAGGCACTCTCAGAGTCAGTACATGAGGATCACATTCCTCATGGCGAGTTGGGACACAGACGTGGCAACTTCTTTTGTTGTTTTTTTTGAGACTGGGTCTCACTATGCAGCTTTGAACTCCAGGCAATCCTCCTGCCTCAGCCTCCCAGGTGCTGGGATGACAGGTGTGTGCCACCACACCCTGCTCTAACCCCCTAGTTCTTAAATCAAACGTCCCTTCATTCCGAAACCCAAGGAGGGAACACCTGGTTACTATAAATATTGCCAAGAAGTCTCCTTTGAGACTGAGTCCTGGCTCCTGCCAAGGAAATGGCCCTTATCATCTTTTTGACCCCACAGTGTTGGACCAGGGCAGGTAGAGTGGACACAGGGCCCTGGGCATAGCAACCCCAAAACCAGCCATGTCCACCCACCCTGGATCCCCAGAAGAAGAAACTTGGGGCTCACACAGGCTCCTCCCCTGGGAACTGAGACCACACCAGGACTAGTCTTCGACTGCTGCTTGAGCCAGGCCCCCTGGGCAAAGTGATCAGCCACCCGAGAGCCAGCAGCACCCCCACTTTCAGGCCAGGGTGACCAGTCTGGTGAGCGGGGACACCCTGGCCCAGCGCTCCTACCCTGAAGGCACACTCGAGAGGTCCCCACTGCACACTGCCAATCTGTATACGCTTCGGCCTCCGGAGGCACATGTGAAGTGTAGGGCCTGGGCAAGAATTCTCAAGCAGCCAGGCTGGTAGTACCCGACTGTGACACCAGCACTCGGCAGGCTGAGGCAGAGGATCGCCATGAGCTCAAGGCCAGCCTGGGTTACATGTCTTAAACAAATTTTTTAAAGAATCAGTGGAGAAAGATCTCGGGCAGATGAGAAAAGGGCCCAAAACCCACACAAAGAGGGTGTTCATGAAAGCAGAACCCAATCCAGGGCTTCAGTGGGGAGGCCCAGCCCACCGGATTTAAAGCCAGCAGTCTCCAACCTAGGCAACCTGACACCTGCCACTGTCCAGACAATCCCACCCAAGGCGCAGAATGCTAGTCCACACTGGGAGCTGCCACTCCCCTCACACACACTTCCGGGGCCAGGATTCCTGTCTGTCTCTCTGGGCTGCCCGCCAGCCACATGGGACAGCCAGGTGCTTGCGGGAAGCAGGACAGCTGTGTGCTGCGTCCCTGGCCCAGGGCCCCCACTTGCTGGGCACTGCGCCTGCCCTGCCCCCATGGCAATTCGAGGCTTCCACAGGACAAGACAGGGACTCTGGTGCAAGGTTGCTCGGCCATGCGTGCTGGGGCCACTGCAGACAGAAAGATGAAGGCTCTATCGCTGCACAGGGGACCGGGACAGCCCAGGATGAGGACTCACCAGACACCCGGCTGCCAGATTTTCATCTACCGCAAATCCAGTTTCTCCAGGTCTCCCCATTCCAGTGAGGCTGGGTCAAACCCCCAGCTGAAGCCAGCTGTGGTGGCAAATGTCTGTCACCATTGCACTAGGGAGGCTGAGGAGGGTGAGAGTTCAAGGGCAGCCTGGGCTACAGGGCATGACAATGTCCCCCCACCCCCCAAAACAACCAGCCGAAGACAGCTGGAGCCAGCATCACCTGAAACCATGAAGGAACTACTGTGAGGGGGGACTTGGGGAAGATGCAGCATTCACACCAGGCCCATCAGCAAGGAGGTCACAGGCCGGTGATCCCAGCACTCAGGAGGCTGGGGCAGGAGGATCACGCCAAGTTCCAGGCCCCCCTGGGCTACACGGTGAGTGAGGCCATCTCAGAAAACCAGAAAAAACAAAAAGACGAAGAACCTGAGCAACAGCCCCAGGCCATTTCCAGGCCGACGCCCCTCAGTCCCCAGGAACTCCGTCTCTTTCTCCTGCCACACTAGTTGGGACCCGAGCCTGAGGTCCACTACAAGGACGGGGACCAGGGAGGGCACAGCACGCAGACCTAGCTCGCTGCAAGCAGGTGCTCCCCAAGCTGGGCACGGGGCCAGGCCTCACTCTCAGTGTGCTTTCCCACAGCTGCCCCTGCCCCTGCCCCTGCTGCCACCTGCTCTCCTCTGTGTGCCAGGGAAATGAGCAGAAAGGGCCTTTCCCTGGGAAAGCAGGGGACGGAGCTGTGCTGGGTCTCCCTATGCAGTTCAGGCTGCCTTGAGCTGACTCTGTAGCCCAGGCTGCTCTCAAACTCAAAATGATCCTCCTGCCTCAGCCTCCCGAGTGCTAGGATTACAGGAGTGCACCACCACACTCAGCTACCATGACTATTTTTGATGGTACTAGGGACTAAAGCAGGGGCCTGCCACTGGGCTGCACACCCCCTCCCTTTTATCTTGAGACACAGGGTCTCAAGTCGCTAACTTCCTCTGTTCGTGCTCGCACTTGTGATCCTCCTGCCTCAGCCTCCCAAGTGCTGGGATGACAGGCAGTTGCATGACCACCATGCTCCCACTACGCCCCACTGCCATGAGTGCATTTTAATTAGCAGCAAGGTGCCCATTTGTGACAACGGACCCGGCCACAGGCCACCCCTGGAGGCAGCTGGCTTTCTCTGTGACATTTGTAGTGACAACAGGAACACAGGTCCGATGAAGAAAACTGTAAATTCTAAAGGAATGCACAGGAAGCCTCCCAGCCTGCGCCCGGGTCCCCGCCCAGCTCCTCACCACCCAGGCCACAATGACAGTGATGTGATCGGCCCTGCTGCTCCCTGCATGCCTGCTCAATTCCTATTCCCAGTTTGCCAATAAAGGTCATGGAACATCCTACCTA